TACGTTCCAGTTCAAAAGCATTCTCTCATACAAAGAGGGTACCTGGAACTCACAAGTTACTATCTTTTGTAGTTTCTCATCAAATGTTTAAGGACACTCCTTTCTCCACCTTCCCTCACACTCCTTTCCTCCATTTTCTCTCACACTCCCTTTCTCCACCTTCTCTCACACTTCCTTTCTCCACCTTCTCTCACAACTTCTCTCATACTTCTTTTCTCTACCTTCTCTCACAACTTCTCTCACACTCCCTTTCTCCACCTTCCCTCACACTTCTTTTCTCCACCTTATTTTATTTTATTTTATTTTATTAGATTTCTATACCGCCCTTCTCCCGAAGGACTCAGTACCTGGAACTCACAAGTTACTATCTTTTGTAGTTTCTCATCAAATGTTTAAGGACACTCCTTTCTCCACCTTCCCTCACACTCCTTTCCTCCATTTTCTCTCACACTCCCTTTCTCCACCTTCTCTCACACTCCCTTTCTCCACCTTCTCTCACAACTTCTCTCATACTTCTTTTCTCTACCTTCTCTCACAACTTCTCTCACACTCCCTTTCTCCACCTTCCCTCACACTTCTTTTCTCCACCTTCCCTCACACTTCTTTTCTCCACCTTCTCTCATACTTCTTTTCTCTACCTTCTCTCACAACTTCTCTCACACTCCTTTTCTCCACCTTCCCTCACACTTCTTTTCTCTACCTTCTCTCATACTTCTTTTCTCTACCTTCTCTCACAACTTCTCTCACACTTCCTTTCTCCACCTTCTCTCGCACTCCTTTTCTCCACCTTCCCTCACACTCCCTTTCTCCACCTTCCCTCACACTTCTTTTCTCCACCTTCTCTCACACTCCCTTTCTCCACCTTCCCTCACACTTCTTTTCTCCACCTTCTCTCACACTCCCTTTCTCCACCTTCCCTCACACTTCTTTTCTCCACCTTCTCTCACACTCCCTTTCTCTACCTTCTCTCACTTCTCTCACACTCCCTTTCTCCACCTTCTCTCGCACTCCTTTTCTCCACCTTCCCTCACACTCCCTTTCTCCACCTTCTCTCACACTCCTTTTCTCCACCTTCCCTCACACTCCCTTTCTCCACCTTCTCTCACACTCCTTTTCTCCACCTTCCCTCACACTCCCTTTCTCCACCTTCCCTCACACTTCTTTTCTCCACCTTCTCTCACACTCCCTTTCTCCACCTTCCCTCACACTTCTTTTCTCCACCTTCTCTCACACTCCCTTTCTCTACCTTCTCTCACAACTTCTCTCACACTCCCTTTCTCCACCTTCTCTCACACTCCTTTTCTCCACCTTCCCTCCCTCAGTGGGCTGGAGGCCAGGTGAGCCGGTAGGCCTTGCTTCCCTTCTCTCCCTTCTCCCTCTCGCCCTCTCTCTCCATCTCTCTCCATCCCTTGCTCTCCGCCTTGTACCTGCAATCTTGCAATCCAGGGCTGAGCTGAAAATATTCTTTGACTTTGAAATTATCAACCTGGCTCTTGGTTTTGTTTTGTTTTTTAAATAATTTTTTATTATTTTTTTCTTTAAAAACAAAAACACAGAAAAATTTCCATTTTACAACAGTTCCGTATCAGTATATATATCCACAGTTGATATCCCCTCCCCCCTACATATTCACATACTTATTTTTGTGGTTCCCTTATTTCATATATATTATAAATAGTATTCCTTACTTCAGGGGTCGGCAACCTTAAGCACTCAAAGAGCCATTTGGACCTGTTTCCCACAGAAAAGAAAACACCGGGAGCCACAAAACCCTTCCTGTGCCTGACTATTCCTTGAGTGGCCACAAAACTAGCATATGTAGTTGAATCAAATGTTCTGTTTTCTTCTGAAACTTTTCTTTTCTTGGATTTATCCATGGCTGGCCTACCGGAGGTTGAAAAGCTCAATAAATTGCGTGCCGGCGGATATCACACATTGGCGGTTGTGACGCATATTTTGAGTGACAGGGAGCCGCAGCAGAGGGGTGAAAGAGCCACATGCGGCTCCAGAGCCGCAGGTTGCTGACCCTGCCATACTTATTATACAAACTATTATATCCATAATGTTACTTTACACATATAACATACTTAATATCATTTTATTAACGCTTCCTGATTTCTAGATCATCCCTATTATATATTTTCTTGTTTGTTATTCCTGTACCATTTCCCATACTTAATAATATTAATAATACTTAATAATAATAATAATAATAAGTATTATTCCGTTTCATCTTTTCCTTTTGTTTCTCTCGTCAATTTGTCCATCTCCGCACAGTCCAAAATTTTCCTTATCACCTCTTCGTCTTTTGCTATAACGTTATTTTTCAAAATTTTATGCATAGGTTCTCCTAGCTGCAGTTATAATATGTAGAATTAGATGTTGTATTTCTTTATTATAATTTCTTGTAGGTATACCCAATAAAAAATAGTTCCAATTTCCGAGTTGGAAGGGACCTTGGAGGTCTTCTAGTCCAACCCCCTGCCCAGGCAGGAAACCCTACACCACTTCAGACAAATGGTTATCCAACATCTTCTTAAAAACTTCCAGTGTTGGAGCATTCCCAACTTCTGCAGGAAAGTTGTTCCATATGTTGTTCTGTTATTTCTTCAAGCCACTTTTTAATTTTAGTCCAATACTTTTTTGCTGTCAAACAAGTCCACCATAGATGATAATATGTCCCGTGTGATTTCTTGCATTTCCTAACAGATCGGTGATGAGTTTGGGAACATCTTAGCAAGTCTCGCCGGTGGGAGGTGCCATCTAAAAAACATCTTGTACTGGTTTTCCTTGTATGCCGCTGACATGTGCAATTATCAACCTTGCTCTTGCTTAAGTGCCCAATATTAAAACCAGAGACAGCGAGGTCCAGAGGTGACTTCCCACACAATTAGCTGATCCGAAACAGGAGTGGACAGATTATTAATCCAACCCTGTAAATATTATTAAGTGTTTCCAGATCTTGTCCAGGGCTGAGAAAATTGCAAACAGGTTGATTGGCTTTGATGAAGGTCGAACAAGGGAAGAAACAAAACAGATTCCACCCCATATATATGATGACCCCGGTTAATAGTTGGTATTACTCATTGATATTCACTCCTGGCTCTCAACACTGGCTTGGAGGAAGGGATTTAGAAATGGGATCATCGGGTTAGAAGGGAGCTTGGAGGTCTTCTAGTCCAACCCTCCGCATGTTGTGGCCCGTCAGCGGCCTGTGCAGCTAGTAGCTGATTCCGACAGTGAGGAGGCTGGTGTGGTGCTGTGCCAGCAGCCTGTGCAGCTGGCGCTCGAGTCGGACAGTGAGGAGGCTGGAGAAGATGTGGTGCCAGAGGTGGGGATTCAGCCAGGGCCTTCAGAACCTCCAGAAGCTCCCATAAGTGAAGAGGAAGAAGAAGAGGAGCCTCTTCTCGATGCACGGGCGCGCAGAGCTGCCAAAAGGCAGAAGTGGCTCCTCAGGAGGAGGTCTCCTCAAGAGTAAAGCTTGGGGCTAACTGGCCATTCCCTTAGCTTATTTAAGGAAGGACGACGACTGAGGCAATTTGCAGGGAACAACTTTGTTCACTCTCTTATCAGTTTCCTGCAAATTGCTTCTGGGCTTTCTGCCAACCATAGTAAGATTACGATTATTTATTCTTTGGATTCTTGTAGGCTGTTAAGAAAGTTAATAAACAGCCTTTGTTTGAAAAAGACTGATTTAATTTAGTAAATTAAGGTTTGTACAGACTTTGTGCGTGCTGCGTTCTTTAGGGTCCGTAGCTGGGGCAGAAGAAGGAGACCCTATGCCAGTGATGGCTAACCTTTTTGCCATCACGTGCCAGAAGCAGGGTGGGTCACGCGTGTGCGTGCCCACACCCATAATTCTATGTGCCCCACCCCCGCGCATGCGTGTGCGAACCCCCTACACTCCCCCTGCTCCTGGCACACGATGATACGGTAGGCCGCGTTGTTTGCTCTCCCCAGCCTCCAGAGCCTTTCTAGGAGTCTGGGGAGGGCGAAAATGGCCTTCCCCCCACTCCAGAGGCCCTTCGAAGGGCGGAAACAGCCTGTTTGCCAACTTCCAGTGGGACCGGAAAGGCTCCTAGAAAGGCTCTGGAGGCTGGGGAGAGCAAAAAAAGGGGCCTTCCTCTCCACTCCCCGAGGCCCTCCGGAGGCAGGAAACAGCCTGTTTCCCTATTTCTGATGGGCCCAGAAAGCCCGATAATCACCTGAGCTCACGTGCCCACCGATATGGCTACACGTGTCACCTCTGGCACGCGTGCCATAGGTTCGCCATCACGGCCCTATGCCATTCTGGATAAATGGTTGTCCAATCTTTTCTTGAAAACCTCCAGTGATGAAGCACTCCCAACTTCCGTTTTAATAAAAGAAGTTTGTTGAGGACTGAATTGTGGTTGGTAATCACTACTTGGGCCTCCGTCACAACAAGACCACGGTGAAGGTGAAGGTCTCAGGAATTCTGGGAGATGAAGTCCACACAGGTTGTAAAAGGGGCACATTTGCCCACTCCTGAGCTAAACGGTTTCCTCCATTGAGAACTCTTGAAAGCACGAAGAAAACTATCCAAGTCGCTCATAACCACTGTGACAATTAAGGCCGTAAAATGGAGCAAAACTCACTTAGCGACTGTCTTGCTTAGCAACAGACATTTTGGGCTGAATTATTTTGGGCTGAGGGTTACCTGTAACTGGTTTCCTCCATTGAGGACTTTTGAAAGTTACGAAGAAAAATATCCAGTTGCTTGTCTCCCCAATGACGTCCGTGACTTCTGGAATCTCGGTCCTCGCCCTCTTTTTCTCCCACTTTGGAGGCAAAACGCACAACTGCAAATTGTCCATATTTGACTGGCCTCACGCCTGCGACCTTGGCATATTAGATGAGACCTCTGGCATGGACAGCAATGACTTATGCTTTTTAAGAGACACGGACCACGCAGCCGGTGCCCTCCCTACGCAGACCTCTCAGCAGTATAAATGCCGGTAGCTACCAAGAAGAAATCCAGACGAGATTTTTCGGGGCAATTCTATAAACTAGGCAACTGGCGGTGGTTGCCAAAATGTCTTACACCATGTTGACTTTCTGCTTATTTTCGTTGTTGGCTTTTTCTTCCGCTTGCTACATCCAGAACTGTCCCATTGGAGGGAAGCGGTCTATTCTGGACATGGAAGTCAGAAAGGTAGGTACTTGCCTGGAAAATTTGACGCAGAATTATAGGGACAGAGGTAGCCACCAGTGGTGGGTTTCAAATTTTTTTACTACCGGTTCTGTGGGTGTGGCTTTGTGGGCGTGGCAAGGGAAGGATACCGTAAAATCTCCATTCCCTCTCCACTCCAGGGGAAGGATACTGCAAAATCCCCATTTCCTCCCAATCAGCTGGGACTCGGGAGGCAGAGAATAGATGGGGGCGGGGCCAGTCAGAATTTTTACTACCGGTTCTCCGAACTATTCAAAATTTCCGCTACCGGTTCTCCAGAACTGGTCAGAACCTGCTGAAACCCACCTCTGATAGCCACAAATCGATGGATTCATCTCTGTCTTGGTGCCAAAATGATGTACCCAATAAAGTTTTGCGTTCAGAGATTGGATCGTCTCGCCCGTGCTTGCTTTGGTTGGGTTCGTCAGCTGAAAAATTGACACTGGGCTACATTATTTAAGTTCTATTTTAATCCTATCGTGATGGTTTTCTGTAGGCTGCTGCCTGCAAGATGATGATGAGGACATACACTAAATATTTACTACTGTCAGCATTCTGATGCTGCCATAAAAAGGAGGAGACGAGGCTTGACTTTTCACCTACTTATTTTCTCTGTAGATAATATCCCCTAGGACAGGGATGGCTAACCTTTTTGCCATCGCGTGCCAAAAGCGGGGATATGCGGGGGAGTCGCACGCATGTGCCCACACCCATAATTCTATGTGCCCCACCCCCTGCGCATCCGTGTGTGATACCTCTGCACTCCCCCCCATTTTTGGCACGTGATGGCCCGGTGGGCCCATTAGGTCCTCTCTTTTTGCCCTCTCCAGAGTCTTTCTAGGAGTCTGGGGAGGGCAAAAAACAGCCTTCCCCACCCCGGAGGCCCTCTGGAGGCCGGAAATGGCCCATTTGCTGACTTCCAGTGGGGCCAGAAGGTCCAAAAATCAGTTGGCCAGTGCACGCATGCACGCCGGAGCTGAGCTTGCGTGCCCATTGATATGGCTCCGCGTGCCACCTGTGGCGCACATGCCATAGGTTCGCCATCACGGCCCTAGGAGATGGGATGGGAGGGGGGACATTCCTGTGGGCTGAGGTCAGAAGCTGGGGAGACTGACTTGGAAGATGGCCAATGAGAAGATGAGAATTGGGGAACGGAAAGGGAAGGGTTTGGGGGTCAGAGGGTTAGTATCGGGCTACGACGTAGTCGGGGCCAGATCTGTCGTACTCAATAAATGGAATATTTCAGCAAAGATTAATTGTTTGGGAGTGCAATTTATTTGAGATGACATCGAAACCTGACAACTACATTATATTTACTAAACATTCGGATGTTGGTGTTTCTCACTAGTGCATTTCCTGCGGACCTAGGAACAGAGGCCACTGCTTCGGGCCCAGCATCTGTTGCGGGGAAGAGCTCGGTTGTTTCTTTGGCACAGCAGAAACGTTGCGATGCCAAGAAGAAAATTTTCTCCCAACCCTTGCGAATCTGGAAGGAAACCGTGTGGGAAAACAACGGAGGGACGTGTGCTGCCTCCGGCATCTGCTGCAATCACGGTGAGCAACCCTAACCCTCTTCCGGAACAAAACCAAATACATGTAGTCCTTGACTTATGTCCGTCGCCGAGCCCGGAATTTTGATTGTACGTCATGACGGTTTTGAAGTGGACCATTAAGCAAACAGGGCGTCTGATTTTATGATCTGTTTTGCCGCAGTCGTTAAGTGAACCCAGCAGGCCTAAAGCGACCCTCGTTGCTATTGGTAGTTTTCACAGGAAACCAGAAGCAAATGTCAGTTTCAAATGTCAATCGCGGTTGTGTGACTGCAAGAATGGCTGTAAATGGGGGCAATGATTTCTTTAACAATTGGGGCAAGGAAGGTCATAAAATGGGGCAAACCTCATTTAACAACTGTCTTGCTTAGCAAGTTTGGACAATTGTATCTGTAAATCGAGGACTGTTCTTAGTTGCGAAGTCGTGTCCGACCTATTGCGACCCCATGAACTACGTTCCTCCAGGCCTTCCTGTCCTCTACCGTCTCCGGAATCCATTTAGGCTCCCGCCGACTGCTTCAGTGACTCCATCCAGCCACCTCGTTCTCTGCCGTCCCTTCTTCTTTTGCCCTCAATTTCCTGAAAGTTAGTACAATGAATCAGTGGAACAGCCTGCCACTAGAAGTGGGTGCTCCTCCATCACTGGAGTTTTTAAGAAAGTTTGGACAACCATTTGTCTGAAATGGTAGAGGGTTTCCTGCCTAAGCAGGGGTTGGACTAGAAGACCCTCAAGGTACTTTCCAACTCTGTTATTCTATTCTATTCTATTCTATTCTATTCTATTCTATTCTATTCTATTCTATTCCATTCCATTCCATTCCATTTCATTCCATTTCTATTCTATTCTATTTCTATTCTATTCTATTCTATTCTATTCTATTCTATTCTATTCCATTCCATTCCATTCCATTCCATTTTATTCTATTCTATTCTATTCTATTCTATTCTATTCTATTCTATTCTATTCCATTCTCATTCCATTCCATTCCATTCCATTCCATTTCTATTCTTATTTCTATTCTATTCTATTCTATTCTATTCTATTCCATTCCATTCCATTCCATTCCATTTCTATTCTATTCTATTCTATTCTATTCTATTCTATTCTATTCTATTTCTATTCTATTCCATTCCATTCCATTTCTATTCTATTCTATTCTATTCTATTCTATTCTATTCTATTCTATTCTATTCTATTCTATTCATTGAAGACCCTGTTGTTCCGCCAGGCCGGGCTATCAACTTAATAATTTTAAATTGGGGTATTTTAAATTTTTGGGGTTTTAAATCGGCAAATCTATTTAATTATTTTAATTTTTAATTATTGTTGTGTCTTGTGTTTTTAAATTGGTTGTACACTGCCCTGAGTCCTTTGGGAGAAGGGCGGTATAGAAATAAAATAATAATAATAATAATAATAATAATAATAATAATAATAATATTATTATTATTATTATTATTATTATTATTATTATTATTATTATTATTATTATTATTATTATTATTATTATTCTATTCTATTCTATTCTATTCCATTCCATTCCACTCCACTCCATTCAAGTTGCATTTGGCTATAGGCAAAATGAGGAATCGACAGTAAATTTAATCTGTTTTAAACACATGTCAAATCAGTGCTTCTTAACCTGAACAGAATAACAGTTGGAAGGGACCTCAGAGGTCTTCTAGTCCAACCCCCTGCTGAAGCAGGAGACCCTCTACCATTTCAGACTAGTGACTGTCCAGTCTCTCCTTAAAAAAACTCCAGTGATGGAGCAGCCACAACTTCTGGTAATAAGCTGTTCCACTGGTTAATTGTCCTCGCTGTTAGGAAATTTCTCCTTAGTTCTAGGTTGAATGTCTCCTTGATTAGTTTCCATCCATTGCTTCTTGTCCTGCTTTCTGGTGCCAACACAACTTTTCTAGGTTAGTCAGAGACAGTATATTGCGCAATAGGTTCAAAGCTTGTAGGTGAAGCTGTGAACAAAGACAGAAATTAGTTACAATGGTTTTATACCCTTCTAAGACAAAGGATTCTGCTAACACAGCAGTTTATGTGGTCATATACATTTGTTATATTTAATTGACATTTCCTAATTACTAAGTTTCATATTATTCTTGCCAAACAGTCATAATTCTTCTTGTAAATCACTGAAGCATAGATTCATGGCTGGCCTTGGATTAATAAGTAACTTTTTGTTTCATATGGATGTCTGCATCCTTGACAGATGGGCCCCTCACTGATATATGTTGCCAAAAATGGAATTTAGCTGACAGTGTAATCTCTGAACAAGGACATTTCTTTCTTTATAATAATGTGAATAAAGAGGGCCCTTCAGTGATCATCCAGCTGGACCCGCATTACCTACATTATTGGAGAATAGCTTGACCCCCTCTTCTTTGTGGCAGCCTCTCAGATATTGGAAGACTGCTATCATATCCCCCCTAGTCTTTCTTTTCACTAAACTAGACCTACCCAATTCCTGCAATCGTTCTTGCTTTTACTATATTTGATTTTATAATTATTATTATTATCCCTTGATCCAGTATCTTACCTACCTCTTCTCTGGCCTAATATCAAATCTTGTAGAGAGCAAGGAAGATGACGTTGATACAGATAAGCAAAAGGGGAAAATATATATTCTCATGTCTAAAATAATATCATCAGACATTTGGGAAAGCCTAGCCAGGCTTCCTCCCTGGTGTACTTAGAGTGTAAGGAGTGTGAGAAAAGTCTGCATCCAGTTTGCAAGAGTTTGTGATGATAGCCAACTTCAATAAAAAGTGATTTTAATCTTCCTGTGAAGTCGATTTCCTTACCTGGTTTACCTATTGGGCAGAGAAAATTATATTCGCTGTGGTCTAATATCTAATCTATCCAGTGACGGGATTCAATTTGTTTTACTACCAGTTCTGTGGGCGTAGCTTGGTGGGCACGGCAGGGCTTGGTGGGCGTGGCAGGGAAAGGATACTGTAAAATCTCCATTCCCTCCCCACTCCAGGCGAAGGTTACTGCAAAATCCCCATTTCCTCCCGATCAGCTGGGACTTGGGAGGCAGAGAATAGATGGGGGCGGGGCCAGTCAGAATTTTTACTACCGGTTCTGTGAGTGTGGCTTGGTGGGCGTGGCATGGCTTGGTGGGTGTGGCAGGGGAAGGTTACTGCAAAATCCCCATTCCCTCCTGATCAGCTGGGACTCAGGAGGCAGAGAATAGATGGGGGCAGGGCCAGTCAGAGGTGGTATTTAACCGTTCTCCGAACTACTCAAAATTTCCGCTACCAGTTCGCCAGAACTGGTCAGAACCTGCTGAAAACCACCTCTGAACCTAACCTGAAATTCTACAGGTCCCAAAGATACAGCTTGAACTCTGTTGTTGGTATTCGCTTCTTTACCATTGCTTTTGTTTTCGCTTTTCCAGAGGGTTGCCTGGTTGACTCCATATGTGATCAAGAATGAGAAGACTCACGGAAGGACACCGCAAAAACAATTTTTAGCTTATGAACTGGTAGATAATGCCAAACTGATGCGACAGATGGTTCTGAAATGTTTGCTAGAAGCCTGCAATTCATACATTTGTGCAAAATAAAAGTTGAACAGCCATTAAAATCCACAGTGTATTTTCTTAGCTTTCCAATAATCAATAGAACCCCTTCTTGAGGGACATGGGTTGAATGAATGAATGAATGAATGCTTTATTTATTTATTTTATTATTTAAATTTTTATACCGCCCTTCTCCCGAGGGACTCAGGGCGGTGCACAGCCACAATAAAACAACATATATCCATAAAATTTTAAAACATATTAAATAATTTGGCCCTTATATTAAAAAACTAAAAAACTAAACACTCATTAAAATTCATTATTTAAGGTAGCCCATGAATGAATGAATGAATGGATGGATGGATGGACGGATGAATGAATGAATGAATGAATGAATGAATGAATGAATGAATGAATGAATGAATGAATGAATTTATAGATGTATATTTAAGGGCCAGTGGTGGGTTTCAAATTTTTTTACTACTGGTTCTTTGGGTGTGGCTTGGTGGGCGTGGCAGGGGAAGGATACTGTAAAATCTCCATTCCCTCCCCACTCCAGGGGAAGGATACTGCAAAATCCTCATTCCCACCCCACTCTGGGTCCAGCCAGAGGTGGTATTTACTGGTTCTCCGAACTACTCAAAATTTCCACTACCGGTTCTCCAGAATTAGTCAGAACCTGCTGAAACCCACCTCTGTTAAGGGCCAATTAGGCTGGTAAGGAGTGAGAAAATGAAATGTATTTATTTTTTTTTTACTGGCTGGGTTTGCTCCAAACAACCCAAACAAACCAGAAACGTGTTAAAAATTCAGATCAAGCAATTAAAAAATAGTAAAATTTTAATCTTTCACACGTAGCCCTCGTTGGATGTCGTCGAGGGTTCTTTAACAAATATTTCAAAAGCTAAATTGGAAGTTGCTTGTTTGATCGCAAGAAGAACGTATTCCATACCTTAAGCTTGCAAGAGGTACCTTTTGAATACAGGTAGTCCTTGATTAATGACCACTATGAAATTTCCCTTGCTAAGGGAAGCAGTTGCTAAGTGAATTGTGCTTCATTTTACCTTTTTCTGTCACAGCGGTTAAGAAAATCATTGAAACTGTTAAGTGAATCGTGCGGTTGTTAAGCAAATCTGGCTCCTTCCATTCACTCAGCTTGTCGGGAGCCAGCGGGGAATGTTAGAAATGTTGATCACATGACCCCAGGACTGGATAGTGCAACTGTCATAAATACATGGGGATTATGGGAAAGGCAAGCAAGGGATTGTGGGAATAACTCAAAAGCAGGCAAGGGATTGTGGAAGATGTAATCCAACATCATATCTGATAGCTATCATCTAGCCCAGGGGTCTGCAACCTTAAACACTCAAAAAGCCATTTGGACCCGTTTCCCACAGAAAAGAAAACACCGGGAGCCACAAAACCCTCCCCGTACCTGATTATTTCTTGAGCGGCCACAAAACTAGCATATGTAGTTGAATTAAACGTTCTGTTTTCTTCTGAAACTTTTCTTTTCTTGGATTTATCCATGGTTGGCCTACTGGAGGTTAAAAAGCTCAATAAATCACGTACCGGCGGGTGTTGCACATTGGCGGTTGTGACGCATATTTTGAGTGATAGGGAGCCACAGCAGAAGGGTGAAAGAGCCACATGCGGCTCCAGAGCCACAGGTTGCTGACCCCTGATCTAGCTGAAGGATCGGATAAAGACAAGATAGGTGCCTCCTCCATAGGACAAGCAAAAAGGGGCTCATCCGGTGCCGTATCTATATCTACGTAAGGCTTAATATGGCCACTTTCTAGGTTGGGGGCCTTGGAAATAAAAGAATCACACAGGCTGGTATAGGAAGAAAAATCCAGATCTGGTTTCAAGCCGGGAGAAAAGCGCTGGAAATAAAACGGGGGCTGATTGGAAAGAAGGATTCCGTTCATTGATGAACGGAACCAACAGCATATAGTTCTGGGGCAGCTGACCAATTGGTTGAATGATGGATGGATCTTTATAGGTTTCCACGGTTTTATGCAAAGCTCATGATTTTTTCAGCGCTCTGAAACAACGGACCCCAGAAAGCGGAAAAACTAATACATTTTCTGGCATATAACCCAGTGTTTGTTAAGAGTCATCTCCCATTAGGTTGCTGAGAATCCACATTTTAAGTTACAAGCAAGGCTAAACTGGGCAATTAGCCTGAAGGCTTTAATCTCCTCGGTTGGCACATTAGGTTACAACAGAGCTTCCGCTCAGCAAGGCATATCGTAAATTGTGTTAGTTACACTCTGTACATGCTCTAATCCTTTCACTGGGATGCTGCTGCTGCTGCTGGAGATCGTGCCAGGTCTGAAAATGCTGTTGGAAATGAATTCAGCCAACAAGCATGGATCAATGAAAACAAAGAGACTTTATTAAAAGAAAATAATAAAAACAATTTTGCAAAATAGGGTGGTATCCCAGCAGATCTCAACAAGGAGTTTGAGCCAGGAAGTCACACCTAAAGTTTCAAAAGCATTACATTTTATAGTTCCCTATCCCGATGCCCCCCCCATGCCCCTCCTACATCGCATCCAGGGACCGATCACCGCTAATCCGAAGTGCCTTTTAGAGAGAATATCATCTCTTTCTCTAATTACATGTTCATCAACATCTCCCTATAACTACCCATAAAATATTTTGCGAGCATGGCTCTTCCTTATCTCTATTGCCTTGGCATTAAAGAGTGGGCCTCTTTCTAATGGGCCTCAAACTAATGTAATGAAGCGGGCTCTGATAGATGACCACTGGATAACTTTCTATTCACTCTATTCTAAAAAGCAATGCATCCGGTTGGAAAAAGTACAACTCAGCCAAAATCCTTTTGGTTCCTCTAGGAGGCCTCTAAGTTGTCAGAAGAAAGGAACATTCTAATGACATACAGCTTAAAGGTTGGTTAGGTCAAGGGGATCCACATGAGTTAAAAGTTGTCCATCGTCAAAAGATGATTTGAATCTATGCGTCAGTAATCTACAAAAAGAATTATAACTGTTTGCAAAGAAACTCTGTAATTAGGAAATGTCAATTAAAAATGATAAATGTATATGACCATATGAATTGCTGAGTTAACAGAATCCTTTGTCTAGAAGGGTATAAAACCATTGTACCTAATTTCTGTCTTTGTTCAACGCTTCATGTACAGAGCCTTGAACCTATTGCGCAATATATAAAATCTGTCTCTGATTAATCTAAAAGTTGTGTTTGTCTTATTAAATCCACAACAAAACAAAAGATCTATTCTAATACAACATTGTTACCTATTGGTATGCTTTTAGCTGTGTTCTCCAACTATCTTAAAGCAGAATAACGTCTAACAAATTTAACAGAGTAGCAGAGTTGGAAGGGACACCTGCAGGTCATCCAGTCCAACCCCCTTGCCTGAGCAAAATCGAATCTTCACTTATATGCATTTCTAACCTATATAGCTACATACTATTAGATTTTTGAATTTTCTCATATCCTACCATGCCTATAGGGGGTTCTGCAATGGAGTGAGCTTTTGTCTTTTTAGCGTGTCTTTGGCTGTTCCAATGTTGGTGGGTTAATCCTATTACGTCCTTAAAGGGTCATGTCTTGTTCTTAGAATTTGGGTGGAGAAATTTTAATCCCTTCGCTGGAGGGGAAGGTGTTTTGTTTGTGAATAGGCCAGTGGTGAAATGTAAAATTTGTTACTACTGGTTCTGTGGGCGTGGCTTGGTGGTGGCGGGTAATGTGACTGGGTAGGCATGGCCAACCTTTTTTTTTTTTTTTTTACTTTTAAAAGCATTTTTTCTACAACCTTAAAAGCCTCTGATGATCACGCGGCTCAGCTGGGATTGTCAGAGGCTTTTAAAAGCATTTTTTTTCCCTACAACCTCTTCGGCCAAAGAGGTTGTAGAAAAAAATGCTTTTAAAAGCCTTTGACGATCCCAGCTGAGCTGTGCGATCGTCAGAGTGCTTTTTTTTTTAACTTTTAAAAGCATTTTTTCGGCCGAAGAGGTTGTAGAAAAAATGCTTTTAAAAGTTTTTTTAAAAAGTCTCTGATGATCACGTGGCTCAGCTGGGCATGGGGGGGGGGAACAGGGATTTTTTGCTACCGGTTCTCTGAACCATCCGCCTCCATCGCTACTGGATCGGGCGATCTGGTCCGAACCGGGAGCATTTCACCCCTGGAATAGGTTTTCTGCCTCTTAAGAATCTGTTTCTCCATTTTTCCTTTGCGGGAAATATAATATTCTGCCTCTTTTAATAGTCCCCCAAATATTTCATTTTCTGGGGAGAGAGCTTCCCACGCTGGGCTGCAGAACATTCTGGAGAAGATCACCGAACCAACGTGAGAATGCAAGCCTCAGGAACAATCACAGGCGTATACAGATAGTCCTCGACTTATAGCAGTTCGTTTAGTGACCGTTCGAAGTTACAGCGGCAGTGGAAAAAGTCACTTATGACTGTTTTTCACACTTGCGACCATTGCAGCATCCCCATGGTCACGTGATCAAAATTTGGCAAACTGGCTCATATTTATGACGGTTGCAGTGGGGGAGGGGGAAGGGGGTCACGTGATCCCCTTGTGCGACCTTCTGACAAGCAAAGTCAATGGGGAAGCCAGATTCGCTTTATGACTGGGTCCCTAATTTAGCAACTACGGTGATTCGCTTAACAGCGGTGGCACCAAATGTCCTAAAGTGGGATAATATTGACTGAACGTCTCGCTTAGCAACAGAAACGTAGGGCTCCATTGTGGTCGTATGTCGAGGACTACGTGTATTGGCCAGAATTCCTAGAAGGGCACTCCACTCCCAAACGCGTTCAGGCTGCTTCCGGGTATGAGATGACGTTTTTCCGCCGCTGGACCGGAAGCTCCCCGCGTGTCCCATCATCCCTGGCGTAACTTCCGGTCTGCGGACTCTGAAAGGAAAGCGAGCGGTGCTTCTCCCCGCTCTTCTTCTTGCGGTCAGCGGGACTGCATTTCCCGGCGTCCCTGGCGCCACTTCCGGATCCGGTTCGTTTTCCGGTGGTCCTGCGCCCGCGCTTCCCGTCCGATGCTGGCGGCGGGGCTGAGGGGCCTTCCCGGCCGGGCCGCCCTCCTGGGCCGCGGCGTCCCGAGCCTGGTCCCCTCGCGAGGCCGCAAGACCCGCTTCGACCCTCCGGCCAAGTCCAAGGCGGACCGGATCAAGGTGCCGCCGCCCGTCGACCCGGCCGAGCTGCTGGTCATCCTCGACCGCTACGAGCAGTACCGGCGGGTGGTGAGCGCCCTCAGGTGAGGCCCTCCGGGACTGCTGAGCCCATCATCCCCAGCAGGGAAGGTCCTTGGGAGGGCAGGAAAGGGTCTTGCGCGCCTGTGAGGGTCTCCGGCCTGCTGACGAAGAACCGCTCTCTCTCTCATTTCTCTATGATCTGTCTCTAGGTCTGTCTGGCTATCATCTGTCTCTATGATTTATCTATGTCTATTCTTTCTTTTCCTTCCTTCCTTTTTTTCCTTCCTTCCTTCCTTCCTTCCTTTCTATCTCTATAATCTATATCTACCTATTATTTCTCTATTATTCATCATCTATCTATATTAGTCTGTTTCTATATCTGTTGAACTATCTCTATAATGTATCTATGTCTACCTATTTCAATTATTTCTCTAACATTTATCATCTACCATCCATCTCTGTCTATTTCTGTCTATCATCTTTCTATCTATCTATCCATAATTTACAGTAGCTATATCTACCTATTATTTCTCTATCATTTATCATCTACCATCCATCCATCTCTATTATTCATCATCTATCTATATTTTTTCTGTCTGTCTGTATCTGTTGATCTATCTATCTTATCTCTATATCACTATAATGTACGGTATATATCTACCTATTATTTCTCTTATCATTTATCATCTACTATCCATCCATCTATCTATCTCTGTCTATCATCTTTCTATCTATCTATCTATCTAATCTACGGTAGCTACATCTATCTCATTTAAGAAAAAAACTCATTTATTTGTTATAAAGAAAATAAAACGTCTAACTATCTAAATAATTACATTTTGGCAACATTCCTGCCGGCCACCCCTCTGCAGCCGGACCTCTCCTGGCAGGAGAACAAAGAAAGTGAGAAAGAAAGAATGCGGACATGCGTAGTTAGCTTACTGATAAGAAACTTGGCAAGCTACGGAAAGTCTTAAAGTCCAAAAATATGAGCTCATCTGGTAAATACAAAAACGCAGTGACACCCCAGACTCCTAGAAAGACTCTGGAGCCTGGGGAGAGCGAAAAGCGGGCCTTCCCCACCCCCCTGGAGGCCCTCCAGAGGCCAGAAACAACCCGAAAATCAGCTGGCCGGTGCACGATTGCGTGCTGGAGCTGAGCTAGAGCAATGCTCGCATGCCCACTGATATGGCTCTGTGTGCCACCTGTGGCACGCGTGCCATAGGTTCGCCGTCACGGGCTTAACGGGTGCCAAAAGACTCTCTTGTAGCTGGGGGAATGAAATCTTTTTAACATTCTGTCCTGGGCTCCCTGCTAGATTTGAGATGAAGGAAGAAGTACAATTTAAAAGCTACGATCTCAAGTACGGGGAAACGGCGAAGCTGAGGAAGAAAGCTGAGGACGACGAACATCAACGTCTCATGGCCTTGAATGATGCAGAAAATAAGCGTTTACTCGAGCGCAGGTAAAAATCAGTGTGCACCTGCCTCATTCCACACATTAGACAGCATCAAGATCAGGAGAAGTGAGACTATTTCCCTATATTGCACTGGTTGATACCATGCTTGGATTAATGCGTTTTAATTCTGGTTGCCATGCTACAGAAATAATGTTGAGGCTCTAGAAAGAGTGCAGAGAAGAGCAGGAAAGAGGATTAGGGGACTGAAGGATAAAACATAGGAAGAACGGTTGCAGGAACTGGGTATGACTAATTTAATGAAAAGAAGGACTAGAGGAGACCTGATAGCAGTGTTCCAATATCTCAGGGGCTGCCCCAAAGAAGAGGGAGTCAAGCTATTCTCCAAAGCACCTGAGGGCAGGACAAAAAGCAACGGGTGGAAACTTATCAAGGAGAGAAACAACCTGGAATTAAGGAGAAATTTCCTAACAGTGAGGAATGTCTACGGAGATTCTCAGTGCTTTTTTCCCCACAGGCAATTGAATGTTCTGGTTTGTCTTTGAAGACGTTTCGCTTCTCATCTGAGAAGCTTCTTCAGCTCCGACATAGTGGGGAACAGAAGGATTGGTACTCCTTGCAGACAGCTGGTCATTTGCATCCTTTTAGAGGGTCATTGAGGCTACTTGGAGGTTTAGCAGTGCCCTCAAGGTCACCTGAATAGTGCAAATGGGTGTGGAGCCTTCTCGGAACTGCTGAAAGGACCGTGTTGTAGGCTGGAGATAAATCATGTATGGCATAAAATAGAACAAATCCATCAGGACTAGGTTGAGGAGTCCGTCTGTATTTAAAAAGGCACAGGCCACTCTTTTGAAGACAGCAGGAGGCCAATCCACCCGCCAATCTGCTGCTCGTGCTGAATCAGGCCATAATGTGTTGAAGCTGACCTGGCTGTTTGCTATTTGCTGCAAGGATTCAGAGTTTGCAGCAGCAATCACATCCAGAAAGCACACACAAGTAACTTGATTCAGCAAGATTCAATAACTTGTCTTTATATATAATATAACATGAAGTAAATATACAATACCAAAAGCAGGTTTTCCAAAACAAAACACAAGCAGAGGAGAGGAGTTTCAGTTTCAGTTTTGAGCAGCAGACTAGTTTAGACTAGTTCAGCACAGACTCAGAGCTGCAGACCTAAGCCACGCTCAGGCTCCTTGCTGTCTCCTTCCTTGTTGCTCACACAGCAAATACTGTTTCCGTTTGCAAACAGCCCTCAACTCTGTCACACACTGACAGGACGGTAGCCAGATGAATACCGACGGATGCTGGTAGGCAGAGGCAGAATTTTTTTTTTACTTATTTTCCTCCCCCAAAACTTAAGGTGCGTCTTATACTCTGGAACGTCTTATACTCCGAAAAATACGGTATATCTGTATTTGTCACATTTTGAACAGTAGGTCGTCTCTTTCTTCCCTATTCTCTATTCCCCCACACTAGGTTGGAGCGTCTCCGGAAGGCGGAATTACTGGAGAAGTCCCGCAAGCTAGAAAGTGACCAACACAGGGAAGTCTTCCAGGAGGAATTTCTCAAGAAGAAAGAGGAGGAGGTGCTTCAGTTACAGGTAAAGCAGCCCCAAAGCTCCAGTCACTCACCTTCACCGGAACGTTGTACATTCTCTCTATTGTATATCTAATCTGTCAAGGCTTTTTCAAACCACACACAACTCACGGTGATTTCATGGTCGCACTTGTGTAGCTTTCTTGTGGCTTTTCCTTGCCGAGTTCCCATGTGCGTTCTTTCAGCCAAATTTATTTAATTTTGTTTTATCTCTATTTTAAATTTTGTATCTATATGTTTTCTTTTATGGCTGTTCACCGCCCTGAGTCCTTTGGGAGTAGGGCGGTATACAAATTTAATAAAATACAAAAATACAAATACAAATACAGTGGTGGGTTGCTACCGGTTCGTCCCGGTTCGGGCAAACCGGTAGCGGCGGGAGGCTCCGCCCAGACACCATCAAATACAATCTGCGCATGCGCAGAAGTGATGCGCGAGCGACCAAAACGGTAGCCAAGGTAAATGAAAACCCACCACTCGTTCTCTTTCCCTCTGCTTCCCGGTCTAACCTATAATTGAAGGATTCTCCTTTATCGGTAATTGTGGGATTTCCTAGTGGTCTCCTATCCCCATGCAAAACAGTTCCAAAACCCTGTGTAGCTTTTCAAGAGGTGGCCTGTTGGGTTGATCACACAATAATGGAGAGATTTCGGGGGGGGGGGGCGCACTGCAGCGTGACTTAATCTGAGTTTGTTAACCGCCGTTTTGCAAACGATGGTTTCAGATTAGAAAGAGGGTTAGAAGATCGCTTTTACAAATTTGTGTATTGGGTTTGTATTTATTTTTATTTTTTTTTGGTAAGACGCCCAGGGATTGAAGAAGAGCTGCAATTCTGTAACTAAATCGATTTTATGAGGCCCTCTCGTAATTTCTCGTGACGTCGAGCCTTAAGCACAATCTTTTTAACGCTACAATCCGGTGTCGCTCAGCTTCGATCTCATTCTTGCCTTCCTCCTTTCCAGGAAGAATCCCAGAATTTCATCACTCTCGAAAACTTGGATCAGCGGATCGAGGAGTGCCTGAACAAGACCCAGAATTACAATTTTGCCATCGATAAAGACGGGAGAATAGTTAAGAGGACGGCCGTATCGTAAGCCACCTCTCACACAAGGAAAGGAGCCGCCTTCCATCCAGATCCGAGGTTTGCGGTGAGCGCATCGAGGGATCCGCGTATGGCTCCACCCCATCAGTATCACTGCCCTCAAAGCGGGGAGCGGCGGATAATTCATGCTTTCCAAACTGTTTCCAAGGCTGGTTTGGCTCTGGTTCTTTGTTCAGGACGAAATGCATCTTCTTCAGAGATTTGGGGTGTGTGTGTATGTGTCTTATTTTGGCATCTCATCCTCAGTTGTTCCTGCGTTTTTAGATTTCAGTTTTTGAAAAAAGTGATCCTGTCTCTGCAAGTGTGCAAAACCGATTTGCTCCTTCCTTTTTCACAGGTTGGTTTCTTCAGAAAAAGGAAACGGTGCTTAGGGAAGTCTTTTTCTTTGAAAAAAATAATTTGACCTATTCTTTAGGTTCTCTGGATTGCTCTGTAATTAAATACAATATTTTATTTTCTGGCTCCGAGCTGTTTATTTGTCTTTTTTTTCCCCACCAGCACAGACTGAGTTCTTGGATGGTTAATTCCTAACTTGTGCCCAGTGATGAAATGTAAAATTTGTTACTATCGGTTCTGTGGGCGTGGCTTGGTGTGTGTGTGTGTGGGGGGGGTAATATAACTGGGCGTGGCCAACTTTTTTTTTTTTTTTAACTTTTTAAACTATTTTTTCTACAACCTCTTCGGCCTTTTGTATATAGTGTTTGTATGTAGGGAATCTAATCGGATGGTGTGGTGGCCTAGAGGTGTCGCTCTCGCCTCACAATCAGGAGGCTGTGAGTTCGATCCTAGGTAGAGGCAGATATTTCTCTCTCTGGGCACACTGAGTATATATATCTGCTGAAAAAAACTCCACACTGGCGACAGGAAAGGCATCCGGCCAGTAAACACTCAGCTCCATTCAGTTGCCCAGACTCCACCTCGCAAGGGATTATGGGGTCGTTAAAAGAAGACGACGATGATGTAGGGAATGTAATGTCGGCTTCGTGGTTCAGAAGTTCTCAAATTCACAAAGGATGAATTCCGTCAACAAGATGTTGGAGGGAGAAAATCTCATGTTGAGGAGTGAATCATTTCCAAAAGCACACAAACCATTATTTGTTTGTTTATTTATATTTCATTTATATATATATATATTTCATGTTTCTAGGCTGCCCGTCTTCCTCAAGAAAGGGGTTCTTTTTTTCTTTTCCTTTTTTTTTCCCCTTCATTTCTTTTTCTGAAATTGTCCAGTCAGGATGCCAGCCTGATAAAATTGAAAATATGGTCTCGTCATCAACAGAACTTATTGTATTGTTGCAGTTTTAACTTTAAAAGAAGAATAAAAACTGGTTTGGAAACAAAACATAAAAGCAAATCACAGCAACATGGACTGAATAATGTAAATTATACACCTGTCTTGAGGATCTCCTTTGGATTAATTGGAATAGCCTCAGGAAGAATCCAAAGTCACAATATAAAAATGACTTCACCTGAACTGGAATATTCATATACAAATAGCCCTTGACTTAACGACGATTCTTTTAGTAACCGAACTTACAACGGCACTGAAAAAAGTGACTTAGAAATATTTTTCACACTTAACAACCATTGCAAAATTCAGATGCGTGGCAACTGACACAGATTTATTTATTTGTTTGTTTGTTTGTTTAATTTGTATACCGCCCTTCTCCCAGAAGGGACTCAGGGCGGTGAACAGCCAAAATTAAAAAAACATACAAATACTTCAGTTAAGATAATTAAAAAGAATTAAATCACTAGCTTCCCAATTTAAAACCCCCAAATCCATAAAATTTAAAATCCCATTTAGGCTAGGCCGGCTTGATGGAATAAAAACGTCTTCAGGGCTTTACGGAAGGTCCGGAGGTCCGGGATCAATCGTATTCCAGGAGGCAGCTCATTCCACAGGGCGGGTGCCCCCACAGAGAAGGCTCGCCCCCTGGGGGCCGCCAGCCGACATTGCCTGACCGACGGCACCCTGAGGAGGCCCTCTCTGTGGGAGCGGATTGGCCGGTGGGAGGTTATCGGTAGCAGCAGGCGGTCTCGCAAATACCCTGGCCCTAAGCCATGGAGCGCTTTAAAGATGAGAACCAACACCTTAAAGCGCGCCCGGAAGACCACCGGGAGCAAATGCAGCTCGCGCAGGAGAGGTGTTACGTGGTAGCGCCATGTCGCTCCCATAATCACCCGCGCGGCCGCATTCTGCACCAGCTGGAGCCTCCGGGTGCTCCTCAGGGGGAGCCCCATGTAGAGAGCATTGCAGTAGTCCAGGCGTGACGTGACCAAGGCATGAGTGACTGTGCACAAGGAGTCCCGATCCAGAAAGGGGCGCAACTGGCGTATCAGGCGAACCTGATAAAAAGCCCCCCTGGCCACGGCCGTCATATGCTCTTCTAAAGACAGCCGTGTGTCCAGGAGGACGCCCAAGTTGCGAGCCCCCTCTGTGGGGGTCAGTGACTCGCCCCCAATAGCCAGCGATGGCACAGCTGGCTATACCGGGACGCCGGCATCCACATGACGGTTGCAAGCTGACAAGCAAAGTTCATGGGGAAGCCATGTTCCTAACTTAACAGCGGCAGCCATTCATTTAACAACATGGCAGGAAAGGTCGTAAAACGGGGCAAAACGTACTTAAGAAATGTCTCGCTTAACAACAGACATATTGGGCTCAATCGTGATTGTAAGTCGAGGACTACCTGTGCTACTCCTTATATCACCTACTCTTCACATTCTTCTCTTTATCAGCCTGTATTCCGTAATCTGGTTATCATGCCTCGGCTTACTCTATTTAGGAAGATCAGAGTTGCTCTTGGTTTACTCTGCAGAAATCTTGAATTGTCTCTAAACGTCACCACAATTATATTTCTATTTGTGATTCCTTTTTTGGAATATTGTTTAGCCTTCATGCTTTGCTCCTTGGACAACCTATTTCCTCAAACAATGTAAGAACTCAAAAGAAAGTGTTACTCAATCTCATTGAAGCTCATCCTACAAGTCATCTTAAAGGTAAAGGTAAAGGTTCCCCTCGCACATATGTGCTAATCGTCGTTCCCGACTCTAGGGGGTGGTGCTCATCTCCGTTTCAAAGCCGAAGAGCCAGCACTATCCGAAGACGTCTCTGTGGTCATGTGGCCGGCATGACTCAACGCCAAAGGCGCACAGAACGTGGTTACCTTCCCACCAAAGGGGGTCCCTATTTTGTCTACTTGCATTTTTTACCTGCTTTCGAACTGCTAGGTTGGCAGAAGCTGGGACAAGTCACGGGAGGTCACCCCGTTATGTGGCACCAGGGATTTGAACCGCTGAACTGCTGACCTTTCGATCGACAATCCCAGCATCTTAAGCCACTGAGCCACCGTGTCCCACATACAACTCCTCTTACTTCTCCCCAACAAGGTCCCAAGAAGCTTTCCTACACTGGATCTTTTCATCAAGTGGCATGAACTTCTCCAGAAGAAGAATTCAATGTTTTTGTCCCAAAGCTGCTTTTCCAATTTACTTGGGTTTTTTTTTTCCTTCTTGGAAAACGTTTCGCTTCTCATCCAAGAAGCTTCTTCAGAACTTAGATGAGAAGCAAAACGTTTTCCAAGGGGAAATGGAAAGTCCAGCTGCCCTTTGGAAAAGCACTTTCGGTACAATCATCCATGACCTGGATGATTGAGGATCTCCATAGACAAAATCTCAACTGCTTACCAGTAAGTGCTTCATCACTTTATCGCTTGGGACTTCTGGATATGGGCAGCCTCCTCCATCACAAAGTTTGCCTTCTTCAGAGTCCTGGAAATGAGACGAGGGAAGAGAAAATTGCAGATTGACGGAGTTGGAAGGGACCTTGTGGGTCATCTAGTCCAACCCCACCTTTCACCCAAGCAGGAGACCCTACGCCATTTCTGACAGATGGCAGTCCAGTCTCTTCTTGGAAAGCCTCCAGGGATGAAGCTCCCACAACTTCTGAAGGCAACGTCTGTTCCATCGGTGGATTGTTCTCACTGTCAGAAAATTTCTCCTTATTTCCAGGTTGAATCTCTCCTTGGTTAGTTTCCATCCATTATTCCTTGTTTGGCCTTCAGGTGTCAGCTTGACTCCCTCCTCTCTGTGGCAGCCCCCCAAATATTGGAAGATGCTATCATGTCTCCCCTGGTCCTTCTCTTCACTAGACTAGCCATGCCCAGTTCCTGCAACCGTTCTTAGAATAGAATAGAATAACAGAGTTGGAAGGGACCTTGGAGGTCTTCTAGTCCAACCCCCTGCTTAGGCAGGAAACTTCAGACAAATGATTATCCAACATCTTCTTAAAAACTTCCAGTGTTGGAGCATCTACAACTTCTGAAGGCAACTTGTTTCACTGATTAATTGTCCTCACTATAAGGAAATTTCTCCTTAATTCTAGGTTGCTTCTCTCCTTGGTGAGTTTCCTCCCATTGCTTCTTGTCCTGCCCTCAGGTGCTTTGGAGAATAGCTTGACTCCCTCTTCTTTGGGGCAGCCCCTGAGATATCAGAAGACTGCTCTCATGTCACCCCTAGTCCTTTTCATTAAACTAGACATACCCAGTTCCTGCAAGCATTCTTCATATGTCTTAGTCTCTAGTTTTTAATCATCTCAGTTGCTCTTCTCTGCACTCTTTCTAGGACATCTTTTTTTAATAGTGTGGTGACCAAAATTAAAACAGTCAATTTTAGGCCTGTCTTCCCTGAGCTGGCAGCCACCCCAAGTATTGATCCATCGTCTTTGACTAGCTGGCTCCCTGGGGCGAAGATCATCAGTTGAATGCATCTGGAATGAGCGATATGGACAGGGGATCTAGGCTAGCGTTGATGTACCTCAAGGTTTCCAGGGAACGCAACGTCTCGCTTCCCTCCAGGATACCAGCCGTGGGACCAGTGCTGAGTTCTTGTCAGTTGCACGCCGATAGAAAAAACGATGCAGAGGAAGACCAAGAGAGATCTTTCGTACACCATGATGTGGTCTTCAACCCCGCTATCTCTGCGGAATCTGGAAGGACGGGAGAAGAATGGAAATGTGGAAATATTTCTTGGCCGGGTTACCGTAAGCATTCAAGTCTCAACCCAGTCCTGTTAAGACAACCACAATGATGGAGATAACGGCCAAGTTTTTCTTCTGTCCCTCAAGATTATCTCAAGATGTTGTGCTCCCTACAGCGGCATTCTTTGAGATGCAATTTTAAGGGTAGGCATGGCAATGTCTTCTACCCAACAGGCCACCAAATTCTAGCATTTATTTCGGGTTCTTCCGGTGTTCAAAACACTTTGGGAAAAAAATTAATTTTGATTTATATTTCTAATGCCTGTTTCTTGGGTTAGCTGGTAGATGTTCATAGTTTTAAATCTGTTTTCAAGCTATGTTTTAAAGCCATGTTTTAAATCTATGTTTGGGGTTTAAAACTATGATTTAAACCCCAAACATAGTTGTGTGGTTTGGGGTTGAAAATGGACATGCTCAAATAAAAACTACCAAGAAGTAGTATTTTGCTCATATAAATCTACGTCATGAGATTAGAGTTTTTAAATTTTACAGCAACTATGGCAGATTGGAGACCATAAAATCCCTCCCGCTTTATTTATTCATTTATTTATTGGTTTGATTTATATGCCACCCTTCTCCGAAGACTCAGGGTGGCTTACAATGCGTTAAGCAATAGCCTTCATACTTTTGTATATACCTGCTTAGTAGGGCTTTTGGCTCTCCCCAAGCGGTGTTCTATTTTATACAAAGTCAGCTTATTGCCCCCACAAACAGGGTCCTCATTTTACCTACCTCGAAAGGATAGAAGGCTGAGCCAACCTTGAGCCTGGTGAGATTTGAACTCGCAGTAATTGCAGGCAGCTGGCAGCTAAGTGCTACTTAACAGCACTTTAGTCCGCTGTGCCACCAAGGCTCTTTCGGAATTGTTAGTGGTAAGCAATGTTTAGATTTTATTTTTTTTTTACGTTTTATTTTTATTTATCAAATGTATATGGCTGCCTATCTTATGGACTCTGAGTAGCGTATAACAATCTAGTAAAACACTAAAAATATACAATAGTCATCATCTAAAACTATAGAATTCTTTATTGGCCAAGTGTGATTGGACACACAAGGAATTTGTGTGCCTGGTGGCGCAGTGGACTAAACTGCTGTTAAAGTAGCACTTAGCTGCCAGCTGCCTGCAATTACTGTGAGTTCAATTCTCACCAGGCTCAAGGTTGACTCAGCTGTCCATCCTTTCGAGGTAGGTAAAATGAGGACCCGGTTTGTGGGGGCAATGAGCTGACTTTGTATAAAAAAGAACACCGCTTGTGGGGGACCAAAAGCCCTACTAAGCAGATATATACAAAAGTATGAAGGCTATTGCTTAAAAGCATTGTAAGCCGCCCTGAGTCTTTGGAGAAGGGCAGCACATAAATCGAACTAATAAATAATAAATAAATAAATTTGTCTTGGAATTTATTTATTTACATAACTATTTACACAATTATTACTAAACAGCATTAAAATCCATAAAAATATAACTAAAACAAGCAAGCAAAAAAACAACCAGAGGGGCATATTTATAAGGGATCCACCTCAGTAGGTATTGTCCTTGGTGCTCTCTGAGCTTGGCTGTTTTCTTGCAAACGTTTCATTACCCAAGTAGGGAACGTCATCAGTGCTAGAAGGAAGGGAGGTTTATATACAATAAATATATAAAACAGTTTATTGTTGAAGTCCTTGGAGGTTTCTTTGTGTCCTCAGGGTCACAAAGTGAGTGGTGCAAATGGTTTTTGTAGTCTGCCATTTTTCCTCTGGAAATCCATTCCAAATTTGGGATGAGCACCCTTGGAATGGTGTGGGAGTAGGAATGGATTTCCGGAGGAAAAAAATTGCAGACTACAGGAACCATTTGCACCACTCACTTTGTGACCCTGAGGACACCAAATAAACCTCCAAGTGACCTCAACGACCCTCTAAAAGGATGCAAAGGACCAGCTGTCTGCAAGGAATATCAATCCTTCCATTCCCTGCCATCCTATCAGAGTTGAAGAAGCTTCTTGGATGAGAAGCGAAACGTCTTCAAAGAAAAACAAAGAAAATCCAGTTGTCTCCTGAAAAAAAGCACCTTTAATGCTGCTTTCTGGTTGTTTTCTTGCACCAGCATTTTTAAGTTTGGGTGATGAAACGTCTGCAAGAAAACAGCCAAGCTCAGAGAGCACCAAGGACCCCATAGTCCTCCTCCTCCTCCTCCTCCAATCCCTTGTAGCATTGATGACGTTGCCTAGTTGGGTCATGATATGTCTGCAAGAAAACAACCACGCTCAGAGCACCAAGGAGCCCTCATTTCAACCCTGAGCTACAAATATTCTCCTTTATTGGTAGTAATCTATATTGCTGGCTCCACAACCCTCTGTCTGTCTGTCTTTCTTTCTTTCTTTCTTTCTTTCTTTCTTTCTTTCTTTCTTTCTTTCTTTCTTTCTTTCTTTCTTTCTTTCTTTTTCTTTCTTTCTTTCTTTTCTTTCTTTCCTTCCTCTCTCCCTCCCTCTTTTTCTTTCTTCTCTTTCTTCTTTTTCTTCCTTCCTTTCTTTTCCTTCCTTTCTTCTGCTCTCTCCCTTCCTCCCTCTCTTTTTCTTTCTTTCTTCTTTCTTCTTTCTTTCTTTTTTCTTTTTCTTCCTCCTTTCTTTCTCTTCCTTCCTTTCTTCCTTCCTTTCTCCTTCTCCTTCCTACCTTCTTTCTTCTTTCTTTCTTTCTTCCTCCCTCCCTCTCCTCCCTCTTCTTTCTTCCTTCCTTCCTCTTCTTCCTTCCTTCCTTCTTCCTTTCTTCCTCCCTCCCTCCCTCCCTCCCTCTCTCCTCCCTCCCTCCCTCTCCTTCCTTCCTTCCTTCCTTCCTTTCCTTCCTTCCTTCCTTCTCCCTCCCTTTCCTTCCTTCCTTCCTTCCTTCTCTTTTACAGCATCTGTTTTTGTTTTTCTTTTGTTTTTATTGGATTTCTATACCGCCCTACTCCCGAAGGACTCAGGGCGGTGAACAGCCACAGAATAAAACACATAAATACAAAAATTTAAAACAGAATAAAAACGAATTAAATAATTTGGCTGAGACAAATTTAAAATACCCAATAATTTAAAAACAAATTAAAATTTACATTTAAAAGGGGGAAAGATTTAGGCCAGGCCAGCTTGATGAAATAAGAAAGCCTACTGCTCACATTAGTTGTTTCTAGAGCCTAGCTGCCCCTAAGAAAGAACTCTCTTTTTTTTTCCTTCAAAAAAACCGTTTGCCACACGCTTTGATTGTTTTCCTAGAGCTGGGCACCAGAGAGGAAACTTTAAACAACGCAAAGCAAAGAACGACTCCCGAAATTGAGCAAAGAATGATGAAAGAAAACAGGCACATCGCTGCCTGCAACCCAATCCTGGTTTAACAGCCGACGCCAAACACTTTGCTTGTTTCAATCCTCCATGACCCAATTTGACAAGGCTACACTGGCTGTCCATTTCACCTGTGCAACCAGGTTCGGCAGCCACCCACGTCTCACTGATTGGGGTGGGCAAAAAAAGAAAAAAAAAAGCATCGTAATACAACCCAAGGAACTTTGCATCTTTGCCATCTGACATTGCCTGCAACTGCAATAAATATACGTGCCCATCTGAACATGCAGTTTCGTATCCCTCCCTTAAATTGCTCAGAAGATGCAAACTTGTTAAGAGAAGCTTAGCAAAAAAAAAAAAAAAAATCTGCTCACCTCCGATGGATTCTTAAGTCCTCCTCCTTCGTCCCGGAGATCTGACTGATGCTCACACCCTCCGCTGTGGATACTTATAGTCCCTTCCCGTGTGCCGGGCAAGTCATTGGTCACCCAATTTGACGTTAGCTGCATCTTAAAACTCCGTGGAAGGTCTTTTGAGTCTCTAGGATGCTTTGCTGAGGTTGTGCAATGCCGGGACTTTTTCAGCAGTCTGTCTTTTGACTTCTCTTGATCTTGCAAAGACTTAATGAAAAAGCCTTATAAAATATTTAGCATCAGTTGGTCTCAGCCGGCAAGTAGCCTAGATTAAGTTTTGCAAGCTAAGCAAGATTGGCTGTGGGGGAAATTTGGATGGGACAATAGCAAAAAGCTCTTAGACTTATACGCCACTTCACGGTGCTTTCCAGACCTCTCTAAGCGGTTTACAGAGTCAGCCTCTTGCCCTTCCAACAATCTGGGTCCTCATTTTACCCACCTCGGAAGGATGGAAGGCTGAGTCAAACCTTGAGCCGGTCAGGATCGAACTGCTGGCAGGCAGCAGACTTAAGCTGCAATGCTCCACTCTAACCACTGTGCCACCATGGCTCTTGTTAGGGAATTCTACCATATAGGTAGTCCTCGACTTACAACAGTTCATTTAGTGACCATTCAAAGTTACAATGGCACTGGAAAAAGTTGACTTATTGTCGTTTTTCATACCTCACGACCGTTCTGGCATTCCCAGATCAAAATTAGGACACTTGGCAATTGATTCAGGTTTACGACGGTTGCAGTGTCCCGCGATCATGTGATCCCCCTTTCGCGACCTTCTGACAAGCAAAGTCAGTGGGGAACCCAGATTCACTTAACAACCATGTGACTAACTTAACAACGGCAGTGATTCGCTTAACAGCTGGGGGAAGATAGGTTGTAAAATGAGGCAGAATTCACTTAACCAATGTCTCACTTAGCAACAGAAATTCTAGATAAGACAGAGATAGATGATAGATAAATAGATGGAGATGTTAGATTAGATAGAGATAGATAGATAGATAGATAGATAGATAGATAGATAGATAGATACATAGATAGATAAATAATAGGTAGATAGATAGATGAATGATATAGATGCATAGATACATAGAAAGAGAGAGATAGAGATAGATAGATAGATAGATAGATAGATAGATGATAGATAGATAGATGATAGATAAATAGATAGATAGATAGATAGATAGATAGATAGATAGATAGATAGATTATGGATATAGATATGGATATGGATATGGATATGGGGATGGATGGATGGACAGACATACTGGTAGATGATAGAGAGATATCAATAGAAAGATATAATGATAGATAGATATAGTTAATGAGAGAGAGAGAGAGAGAGAGATGATGATAGAAACAGACAGACAGACAGACAGATATAGACAGAAATATAGACAAATGAGACAGACAGATTGATAGATTATAGATCGATCGATCGATCGATAGATATAATACAGTATATGTGGGTATATACATAATTTTGTATTTATTTGTCATGTTCATGTGTATATTGGAGGTGGTGACCCTTTGAGAGCTGTATGTAATGAAATTTCATTTTAATGTATGCCAATTAGTGTACATTTCAAAGTGACAATAAAGTTTTCTTTTCTTCTCTTTTCCTTTTCCTTTTCCTTTCCTTTCCATTCCATTCCATTCTAGATAGCTAGATGATAGGTAGGTAGGTAGGTAGGTAGGTAGATAGATAGATAGATAGATAGATAGATAGATAGATAGATAGATAGATATAGTAACTTGCAACATTTCTTCTGAAAACACAGAGATTGGGTGTTCTTTTAAGATTCCAGCTGTTTTTAAAATACATATACAAATGCATGTGGGCTCAGCAAGTGGGCATGCCACATAAGGCTGTTTTAGTTAAGATTCAAGCTCTAGTAATCATCACCCAGGAAAGCTAAAATGTTGATCTAATAGAGGTCGGGGCAACTGATTCTCTTTCAACGCTGTGATTCTAACTCCCTTCAGCTGCAGCCAACCTCCAAGTTGGACAGCATCTGGAACCCAGCAACATCTGGATTGTCTGTCGTTAGTGCTAGAAAAGCCCCTGGAAGAGAAGGAACTTCGGTGAACTGAAATTCACACATCAGCCTCAGAACTGCTTGTATCTTTGTTCAGTCCGACGCCACAAAATCTCTTTACAAACACGAACAGAGCCATTAATTGACCATTGGAAAGTGCGGACGGAGATCTCCCAAGAATCCAAAGTGATCAGGTGTATTTCTGAAGCTAGTTTCGGGTAACAGCCAGAGGTGGGATTCATATAATTGAACCTACTGGTTCTCTCAGCACCAAAAATAATAATAATAAGAAGAAGAAGAAGAAGAAGAAGAATTTTATTTCTATACCGCCCTTCCCCCGAAGGACTCAGGGCGGTGTACAGCCTAATTAAAAACAGAATAAACATCAATTTAAAATAATTTAAAAATATTAAATAAATTTGGCTTAATTTAAAACCCCAAAAATTTAAAACATCCAATTTAAAATTATATTGCTAACCCAGCCTGGCGGAACAATAGGGTCTGTGAACGCAGTGGTGGAGTACAATTTTTTTTACTACCAGTTCTGTGGGCGTGGTCTGGTGTGGCTTGGTGGGCGTGGCTTGGTGGGCATGGCAGGGGAAGGATACTGCAAAATCCCCATTTCACCCCACTCCTGGGGGAAGGATATTGCAAAATCCCCATTCTCACCCCACTCCAGGTGAACGATACTGCAAAATCCCCATTCCCACCACACTCCTGGGGGAAGGATACTGCAAAATCCCCATTCCCTCCCCACTCCTGGGGGAAGGATACTGTAAAATCCCCATTCCCTTCTCACTCCAGCGGAAGGATACTACAAAATCCCCTGTCAGCACTTCAAGCTGCATTTACTCTAGTGCTGACATAAGTAGGAGAAGCGGAGGCGTCTGGAAAGGGACGTTTGACTTTTCGCCTACTTATTTTCCCTGGAGATAATATCCCCTAGGAGATGGGAGGGGAGGGGGGAAATTCCTTTGAGCTGGAGCAGTAGATTAGCGGTAGAGTGACTTGGAAGATGGCCAATGAGTGCAGGGGAGTGGGGAACGGAAAGGGAGGGTTTTGGGTCTGGAAGTCAGTGTTGGCTGCGATGGAGTCGGAGTTAGAATGTCGTGCTTAATAAATGGGAGTTTTTCTTCAAAGACTTTGTTTGAAATGCAATTTATTTGAGACGACCTCGAAACCTGACATCCCCATTCTCTCCCCACTCCTGGGCGAAGGATATTGCAAAATCTCCATTCCCACCCCACTCTGGGGTGAGCCAGAGGTGGTATTTGCTGGTTCTCTGAACTGCTCAAAATTTCCGCTACCGGTTCTCCAGAACCTGTCAGAACCTTCTGGATTTCACCCCTGTGTGAGTGCTTTGCTTGTGCGCGCACTTTCCGCGCATGTGCCCAGCCTCAAAAACATGCCTATATAGGACAGCATAGAGCTGGAGCGGGTCCCCTATGATTTCTACTACCGGCTCTCCCAAACCGGTGCGAACCGGCTGAATACCACCTCTGGTAACAGCAACAGATTAGAACTTCTTCCTGTTTTAATGACGATCGAAAGAGAGGGGGAAAAATAAAGTTTACAAAAACAGGAAGCATCATCTACTGGTCACCCTTTGCCTCCCTCCGCATGGAAACCTTGCAAATCTAATTTTAAGCAAGGCCACGGACTAATTTTATCCCGTCCAGTTTCTTCTGAAATTGTCTACTTAAAAAAAAAAAAAAGAAAGAAAGAAAAAAGCAAACACAGCTTAACCCAAACAAACGGTGTGTCGGGAGGTCGGATGCCAAGAAGCGCGTCATTTCTCCTGCCTCACGGTCCACGGTCTCATCAGCCCATCAGCCGAGGACTGGATGGAGAGGATAAACAAACATCAGCCAGGTGGACAAGGGGCCGTTTCATCTTGCAAAGGAAGCCGTAGCGGGCTAGAGCTAATTTAAGAAACATGTTTTGTGAAATCTGTCACTGAAGTTTTTGTCGCACATACACACACACAAAAATACACAACATTGGAGCTGGGATGGCCTTGATGGCGCTGATGGATGACCTCTGGTGGGAACGGGATAGGGCTGAGCATCCATCCTTGGTCTTCTTGACCTCTCAGGGGTCTTCAGAAGTATTGGATGGGTTGAAGCATCCATCCTTGGTCTTCTTGTCTTATCAGGGGTCTTCGGGAACATCGGAGGGGGTGAGAGATCCATCGTTGGTCTTCTTGACCTCCCAGGGGTCTTCAGGAGAATGGGACAGGGTGGCACATCCATCTTTGATCTTCTTGACCTCCCAGGGGTCTTCAGGAGCATGGGACAGGGTGGCACATCCATCCTTGGAGGTCTTTGGGGTCTTTGGAAGCATTGGATGGGGTGGAGCATCCATCCTTGGTCTTCTTGTCCTATCAGGGGTCTTCAGGAGCATAGGAGGGGTGAGAGATCCACCCTTAGTCTTCTTGACCTCCATGGGTCTTCAGGAGCATGGGACAGGGTGGCGCATCCATCCTTGGAAGTCTTTGGGAGCATCGGATGAGATGGAGCATCCATCCTTGGTCTTCTTGACCTCCCATGGGTCTTCAGGAGCATGGGACAGGGTGGCGCACCCACCCTTGGAGATCTTTGGGAGCATCGGGTGGGGTGGTGCATCCATCCTTGGTCTTCTTGTCCTCTCAGGAGTCTTCGGGAGCATCAGATGGGGTGGAGCATCCATCCTTGGTCTTCATGACCTCCCAGGGGTCTTCGGGAGCATGGGACAGGGTGGTGCATCTATCCTTGGAGGTCTTTGGGAGCATCGGATGGGGTGGAGCATCCATCCTTGGTCTTCTTGACCTCTCAGAGATCTTCAGAAGCATCGGATGTGGCATCCTTCTGGACCAGTTTGGGGAGTTGTGGGTGGGTGGCAGTATTCTGTAGGTTCTCCATCTTCTGGGGTGGGTTCCAGTCGGGGGTTGATAGGGGAGAGAGGCCCAGGCCAAAGCCTTGACTTTGTGGGGTGCCTCATGGCTCAGTTCTCTTTCCCTCCTATGTAACACCTTGGTCACCTCCTGCCTTGATTACTACAATGTGGTCTACATGGGGCTACCCTTGAAGACTGTCTGGAGGGATCAGTAAGTTCACTTAGTGAGCATTCGAAGTTTCACCGGCACTGAAAAAGTGACTTTATGACCTTTTTTCACACTTAACGACCGTGGCAGCATTCCTGTGGTCACACGATCGAAATTCAGGCGCGTGGCAATTGACTCGTATTTATGACTTGGTTGCAGCAGTCATAAATATGCAACCTGCTGCACAAGCAAAGTCAAGGGGGAAACCTGATTCACTTAGCAACCATATTACTAAAACTGAGGGGATTCACTTAACAGCTGTGGCAAGGAAAGTCATAAAATGGAGCAAAACTCCAGCAGAAACGTTGGGCTGGATTGTGGTACTAAGCCAGGTTTTACCTGTAATGGGCGTCTCTAGGTTCATCCATCTCACACCTCTGTGGTGTGAGCTGCACTAGCTTCCAGTTTCTTTTTGAGTGACGTTCAAGGTGCTAGTCCTCACCTTTAAAGCCCTGTATGGCACAGAGCCAGGTAATCCGCAGGACTGTCTTTCCCCTAAGGACACCCACCTGTCCTACTAGATCAGATAGGATGGGCACAATCCTGATTCCTTCTAAATATTGCCGTCAGTTAGGAGTTAGGAAGTGTGGCAGCTCCTGTCCTATGGAACTCTTTGCCTCATGAAGTTTGGCAGCCCTCCCATCGTTTTAGCCTTCCGTTAAGAGCTCTGTATCTCAACCTCAGACTGCGAGTGATGCTGTGAATGTCCGGTCCAAGTGTTTGGATTGGCCCAAAGTCCTCCAGCCAGCTTTCATGTCTAAAGTGGGACTAGAACTCACCGTCTCCCGGTCATTGGCCCAAAGTCACCAGCTGGCTTTCATGCCTAAGGCGGGACTAGAACTCAGAGTCACTGGTGATTGGCCCAAAGTTATCCAGGACCTTTCATGTGTCTAGAACTCATTGTCTCCTGGTGATTGGTCCAAAGTCACCCAGCTGGCTTTCATGCCTAAGGTGGGACTAGAAGAACTCATATCCTGGTGATTGGTCCAAAGTCATCCAGCTGGCTTTCATGCCTAAGGTGGGACTAGAACTCACTATCTGCTGGTGATTGGTCCAAAGTCATCCAGCTGGCTTTCATGCCTAAGGTGGGACTAGAACTCACTATCTCCTGGTGATTGGTCCAAAGTCATCCAGCTGGCTTTCATGCCTAAGGCGGGACTAGAACTCACTATCTGCTGGTGATTGGTCCAAAGTCATCCAGCTGGCTTTCATGCCTAAGGCGGGACTAGAACTCACTATCTGCTGGTGATTGGTCCAAAGTCATCCAGCTGGCTTTCATGCCTAAGGCGGGACTAGAACTCACTATCTGCTGGTGATTGGTCCAAAGTCATCCAGCTGGCTTTCATGCCTAAGGCGGGACTAGAACTCACTATCTGCTGGTGATTGGTCAAAGTCATCCAGCTGGCTTTCATGCCTAAGGTGGGACTAGAACTCAGAGTCGCCTGGTGATTGGCCTAAAGTTATCCAGGAATCTTTCATGGGACTAGAACTCACCGTCGCCTGGTTTCTAGCCTGGTGCCTTCACCAGTAGACCAAACTGGCTCAATTGTGCCCGTGAAGCCAGTAGTCACCCATTGGCTTGGTCCCCAGTTATGTCTAAAGCGTATCTAGGACTTTGTGTGTCTTCAAATAAGCCAAGATGTGCTAATAAGGATGGGCTGTTTTGTCACCCCTCTGTCCAGGAAACAGGGCAAATGTTCCTTATCTAGCAATGATCAAACCAGCTTCCATTGGAAACCACATATGGGGAATGAAACATCCGCAGGGCTTCCAAATTCAAATGAATCCATCATCCAACTATTAAAGGGATGTCTTGATTTGAAGACGGAAAAGAAAATATGGCCGCTAAGAGCATCCAGGCGTAATCTAGGGTTTGTTCCCTCCCCCCACGGATGTGTTTGACTCTTCCATCTAACTGTTGTGGCCTGTCAGCAGCCTGTGCAGTTAGTAGCTGATTCAGACAGCGAGGAGGCTGGTGTGGTGCTGCGCCAGCAGCCTGTGCAGCCGGTGCTCGAGTCGGACAGTGAGGAGGCTGGAGAAGATGTGGTGCCAGAGGCGGGGATTCAGCCAGGGCCTTCAGAACCTCCAGAAGCTCCCATAAGTGAAGAGGAAGTAGAGGAGGAGCCTCTTCTCGATGCACGAGCACGCAGAGCTGCCAAAAGGCAGGAGTGGTTCCTCAGGAGGAGGTCTCCTCAAGAGTAAGGCTTGGGGCTAATTGGCCACTCCTCTAGCCTATTTAAGGAAGGACGACGACCGAGGCAATTTGCAGGGAACAACTTCGTTCAAATTCCTTCGCGTCTTGATTACAGAAAATGTTTGATTTGGCTCGTTTCTCTGTTATCAGTTTTCCTGCAAATTGCTTCTGGGCATTCTGCCAACCACAGTAAGCTTACGGTTATCTGAAATACTGTGCCTCAGAATTGAGTTATTATTCTTTGGATTCTTGTCGGGTGTTAATGAAGTTAAATTAACAGCCCTTGTTCAGAAAAGACCGATTTAAACTGCACTTGTGTTCGAACAACCAGTAAGAAAGCTCATTAGTAGTCCTTAATTAGTAAACTAAGGTTTGTACGGACTTTGTGTGTGCTGCGTTCTTTGGAGTCCGTAGCTGGGGCAGAACACTAACGCAGGTAGTCCTGGACTTACAACCGTTCATTTAGTGACCGTTCAAAGTTACGACGGCACAGACAAAAGTCGACTTAGGACCGTTTTTCACACTTACGACCGTTGCCGCATCCCCAGGGTCACGTCATCCAAATTTGGACTCTGAGCAACTGCTTCATATTCATGACGGTCCCGGGGGAGTGGTGGGGGTGTCACGTGATCCCCTTTTGAGAACTTCGGACTGCGGGGAAGCCCGATTCACTGAAGAACTCCTTGCTAACGGACGTTCGCTTAACGGTGGCCAGAAATGGGGCAAAGTTCTCCAGCGTCTCGCTTAGCGACGGACAGTTTGGACTCGATGGTGGGTCGTGAAGTCGAGCGAGGATTAGGCGCCTGGCCTTATTTTGCACGGTGGTGGAAGAAAAGAACCAGCCCAGTTAAAAAATAAAAAGAAAAGCATTTACTTGGTCAACAAAAATAAATACAAGATATTAAGACATTCGGAATGAGGCAGCGAAGAATTACAATTACGGAGAGAAAACGGAAGGGAGGGAGAGACAGTTGGCGCGGACTGCCTTGGCGTAATCCTGGGGAGGTGGGGGCGGGGACACAAGAGACTTGGTTTTGGCACAAAGCTTGACCCCCCCTCTGGTTAAGGCAGGTATGATGCCCCTCGGACTGCAAGCCCAACGAGAGAGAACGAAAGCGAGACAAAAGTGGCTATCTATGAGCCTACCGACACCACAATCTTGTTTATAATGTGTAGCTTTAGGATGGAGAGATGCGTGTGTGTGTATATAGGGTAGCCGGGATTCCACTAATAAGTTGCTCCGACAAATATTTGTAGCTCAGGGTTGAAAACGAGGAGTCCTTGGGGCTCTCCGAGCTTGGCTGCCTTCTTTGGAGACGTTTCATGACCCAACTAGGTAGCATCATCAGTGCTAGAAGGGAGTGGGGTTTGTGGCGAGGAGGAGGAAGAGGAGGAGGAGGTGGCTGACTGTGGGTTCCTTGGTGCTGTCTAAGCTTGGTTGCATTCTTGCAGACGTTTCGTGACCCAACTAGGTAACATCATCACGGCTAAAAAGGAGCGAGATTTGCTCCTTGATAGAGTTAATGGAACTTGGTAGGTGGAACTACCAACTCAGGCAAACAGTAAACAACAGCTTAATCAAGGATCTACCAAGAAGGAAACAACACTCCCATCGACGCTGATAGAGGAAGCCACTTCTATATAAACTAGCAGCAAACCACATCCCTCACTAGCACGGATGATGTTATCTAGTGGGGTCACGAAAGGCCTACAAGAAAACTATCCACTTCAGAGGCCAGCAAGGACTCCTAATTTGCTCTAGCTTTCAGCAAGAACGTAAGGGGGGGACCTTCCTGTAGCAGGATCTTCCCAGCCACGTCCCACACCTGATGGACCATGAGAATCTTATTTTTTTAAGGAGCCATTTCCGTGGTCTAGTAAGATCAACCCTGGTTCTCTAGACTGGCATGAACTTCCAGATGCTTCGGCTAGTGAAGAGCGAGAAGGTCTAGGACAGTGATGACTAACCTTTTTGCCGCCGTGTGCCAAAAGCGGGGGCGGTATGGGGGGGGTCATGCGTGCGTGTGTCCACACCCATAATTCAATGCCCCCCTGTGCCCCCCACACACTTTTGGCATGTGATGGCAAAAAGGTGGGCCTGGTAGGCCTGTTTTTCACCCTCCCCAGGCTCCAGGGACTTTCTTGGAGCCTGGGGAGAGCGAAAAGGGCCTCCCTCACCCCTGCCCGGAAGCCCTCCGGAGGCCGGAAACGGCCCATTTCCTGACTTCCGGTAGGCCCACAAGGCCCAAAAATCAGCTGGAGCTGAGCTAGGGCAATGCTCACGTGCCCGCAGATATGGCTCAACGTGCCATCTGTGGCACGCGTGCCATAGGTTCGCCATCACGGGTCTAGGATCTCCCAAACTTGATCATCTCCTGAAGGGGTTCTTCAACGTCTCAGATTCAGAACCTCCTCTCCAGCTGGCATCTCACCGTTGAGATGGGCCACATCTGGAAGGCACAAAACCCAGGAAGGATGTTAGGTGTCCCCATCACCCATGGGAGCACCTAAAGACCTGATCCTTCCCTCTGCTTGAAAGGCACCCAGCCCACGTCACGAATGTGGTGGCTGGAAGAGTCACATGGGGCAGCTGAACTCCCAGCCATGTGTAGCCCGTGAGAGGGGTCTTAGATGTCTCTTTAGCGTCCTTCTTTTGGATGATCTTCCTTTTTCTGCCATGAAGAGACTAGGTGGGTGGAAGAAGGAAAAAAGAAGGAAGCCAAAATCTTCCATCTTGACGTCCCTCAAGGCTGATGGGCGTTTTCCTCAAGCTTGAGTGTCGTCATCCTGAAAGCAACTTTCAGATGGGTGGACTTCAACTCCCAGAATTCTCCAACCAGTATCTGTGCGTTTCCTGCTTGAGCAGGGATTGGCCTAGAAGACCTTCGAGGATCCTTCCCACTCTTCATATTCTGACTTCAAATCCCAGAATTCCCCAGCCAGCATGTGTAGACTTCAACTCCCAGAATTCCCCTGACAGTGTCATTTGAGATGTACCAGCCCACAAGGGGGATTCCTTATACTTAACTACCCTATTTCCCAGAAAATAAGACCTAACTGGAAAATAAATCCTAGCATGATTTTTCAGAATGCTCGTAATATAAGCCCTACTCCCAAAATAAGCCCCAGTTAAGATTGTCAGACAGACGGATGCATTTAGTACCGTATTTCCCCCAAAATAAGACCTAACCAGAAAAGAAGCCCTAATGCGTCTTTTGGAGTAAAAATTAATATAAGACCCGGTCTTATTTTTGGGGAAACACAGTGTCAGCACTTCAAGCTGCATTTACTCTAGTGCTGACATAAGAAGGAGAAGCGGAGGCGTCTGGAAAGGGACGTTTGACTTTTCACCTACTTATTTTCCCTGGAGATAATATCCCCTAGGAGATGGGATGGGAGGGGGGAAATTCCTTTGAGCTGGAGCAGTAGATTAGGGGTAGAGTGACTTGGAAGATGGCCAGTGAGTGCAGGGGAGTGGGGAACGGAAAGGGAGGGTTTTGGGTCTGGAAGTCAGTGTTGGCTACGATGGAGTCGGAGTTAGAATGTCGTGCTTAATAAATGGGAGTTTTTCTTCAAAGACTTTGTTTGAAATGCAATTTATTTGAGACGACCTCGAAACCTGACACACAGTACTTTTGTGATCCGTTAGGATCAGCCCTTCCGGCTCGGGAATTCTGGGAGTTGAAGTCCACCCATCTTCAAAGTTGCCAGGGTTGAGAAATACTTAGAACCCAGCTGGACTCGTTGAAATATAAATCGCCACTAGAGGGCGATGTAGAGATTCAAGCCAATTTACTCTTTGGTGCCCCTGCTGGTCACTCTGGGTCATTGCAAGCACAGACATGCCCGATTTTTACTGTCTACTAACTTCACCGAATGCAAGCCGCATGTCATGCACGGAGGCATCAGAGGAAGAACGGGGATGCAGCTGGAGTTGGGTGAGAGCAAAATTAAGACAATGAAGAAAATGAGTTGAGGATATGCTGAGCAGTGTGCGCCTGTGTTTGAGGGGAAAAAAAGACCAAAAAAGGAGGCTTTGGATGTATTTTTTTTGACAGAGGGGTGAGGAGAGAAAAAAAGAGGAATTATGGGTAAAGTGATAGAAACTTAACTATTTTTTTCCCCATTGTGTTGGGGGCTGTTCTTGAAAGAGAATGACGAGAAGGCAGATGAAGGAACGCAGAAGACCGAGATGACTCATTCCTGAACGGATGCTGGTTAGATGACGAGAGAATGAATGGAACGCATGGGGGGGGGGGGGAAACAATAAAAGGATGAACAAAATCATGGGAGAAAAGAGTTCTTTGGGCGGGAACTTCCTCGTTACCCATCCGCAGCCTCCAAAAATTTATTTCCTCCTAAGTTAACAGTCCTTGGACAAATCCTAGGAGGAGTTGCAACGGATAGTATGCTTCTAACAAGAGAGGGAGAAAGGAAAAAGGAGAGGGGGGGAAAAAAGGGGAATTTCAACTCTAGGTTGGGATGGGTAGGACGGACCAACTCCAAAATCTATTGGAGTTCTGAGCCACCACTTGCAAGAAGGAACAAATCACGATGGTTAAGATCCACCAATGAAGATACTTTTGGTCTTCAGGTAAGGTTGAGGCCCCTGCTTCCTACTTTGTTATCATGCCAGTGGTATGACCTTGGTATGTTGATCTCGGGTTTCATCTCTCAGTAGATGGAAGACCTAACTCTATGTAGATCATGAGAAGACACAAAGTTGGGCTGCACATTCCTTCAGCACCCAAAGATCTTTTCCAGGCACGTAGGTCCATGGGAGAAGACATCTTAAGGTGGGCTAACGAGAAGGACAAGGGATCGCCTCCCCCTTCTCTCCATCCAGAGATGGAGCCCACAAGGCAAGGACTTCCCGAACGCACATCTATCCCCGTAAAAAGAGAATTATGAGGTCCATTGTTGACCTCAAAAGTGATGGTTGGCCTAATGCGCTCTGCCGGTGTTCCAATAAATTTATTTATTTCGGATCAAGGGGGTGGGGGCAAAGGACCGTTTCAAAGCCTTGGTAGTACAGTGGTCTAAGGCACCCTGTTATTAAGCTGGTTATTAAGACCAGCTGCCTGCAATTACTGCAGGGTTCGAATCTCGCCAAGGCTCAAGGTTGACTCAGCCTTCCATCCTTTCTAAGGTAGGTAAAATGAGGACCCAGTTTGTGGGGGCAATAAGCTGACTTTGTATAAATATACAAAAGGATGAAGGCTATTGCTTAACGCATTGTAAGCCACCCTGAGTCTCCGGAGAAGGGCGGCATATAAATCAAATTAAAAAAAAAAATCATTTTTGGGCAGGGGTGACGGTGGATTTTTGGTGAGATTATATTTCGAGGACTTTGTCTCGCCCCTTTTGACAGATTTCAGTGCGACACTGCAGTGTTTGGCTGGCTGTTTTACTTAATATTCCTATTATGCCACTTTTAAAGACTTTTCTTTTTTGATGAGTTATCTTCAGTCAAGTTTTTAAATTAGACGAGCGTACCCTTGTAAACGCAGAAAGCTGTGGTCCCAAAGTAAGAAATGGGGCGAATGAAGAGATAGGAAGATTGGGGGGGGGGATGTTTTTTTTAAAACATTCCTGTGTTTGACTTCCATCTCTCCCTCATTTTTCCACTCTCAACAGGACTCTGCTTGCTTTTCCATTTTTAGTGAAAACAAACCCAATTTTTACAGCATGACTCACTTGTGCAAAGTAAAGAGAGAGAGAGGCCAGCTGACCCCAGCCGTCTAAGAGAAGAAAGTGAAGAGAAAAGCAAAAACAGGTTTCCAAAACGGAATCCAGAAATTTTGGGAAGCTGCAATCCCAGGATATTTGGAACAATCCACGTTAAGGCGGTTAACTCTAGAAGAATTTTAGCTAAACTTCTGGAAACCGGGATCTTTCTAAAAAAGAGAGAAGGAGCTGCGAGCCCAAATAGAAGAGAAAAATCATCATCATTATCATCATCAAAACTCTTTCGGTGAAGTTTAAATAGCTGCAACTTTGGGGGATGTTTCTGCTCCTGATGGGAAGGATAAGGAGATGGAAGTCAACCAGGATAAAGGTAAAGGTTCCCCTCGCACATATGTGCTAGTTGTTCCTGACTCTAGGGGGCGTTACTCATCTCCATTTCAAAGCCGAAGAGCCAGCACTGTCCAAAGACGTCTCCGTGGCCATGTGGCCTGGATGACTCAACGCTAAAGGCGCACAGAACGCTGTTCCCTTCCCACCAAAGGTGGTCCCTATTTTTCTACTTGCATTTTTTACATGCTTTCGAACTGCTAGGTTGGTAGAAGCTGAGACAAGTCATGGGAGCTCACCCCGTTCCGTGGCCCTAGGGATTTGAACCGCTGAACTGCCGACCTTTCAATCGACAAGCTCAGCGTCTTAGCCACTGAGCCACCACATCCCTTAGGTCTCTGGTAAGTGTATGCTTGGCCAAAGCTGGGACAAGTAACGGGAGCTCACTCCGTTATGCGGCACCAGGGACTCGAACCGCTGAACTGCCGACCTTTCGATCGACAAGCTCAGCGTCTTAGCCACTGAGCCACCGCGTCAACCAGGATACATCGGTCTAATCTGGAACTAAGGAGAAATTTCCTGACAGGGAGGACAATCAACCAGTGGATTCTGGCTTATCTCCAGAAGTCGTGGATGTTTCAACACCGGAGATTTTTAACAAGAGACTGGGCAACGATTTGTCTGAAACGGGTATTGGGTCTCCTGCCTAAGCAGGGGGTTGGACTAGAAGACCTCCAAGGTCCCTTCCATCTCTTTTCTTCTGTTATTATATTTCATTCATTACATTCTCATGCCGCTGATCTCTCCTATAAGGTGATGCTGGCGTATTACAAACTATATGTATATCATCCACCCTGCTTACAGTAGTGGCCAAAATTGTGGAAACCTTTTGGGAAACGTGTATTTTTGAGGTTTGATGGCTAATAACACCACTTTTTTTTTTTTTTTTTTTGGAGTTTCAAGATAATCTTATTCCACTGCTGGAATGGCCTGGGAAGAGCCCAGACTAGGGGTCGGCAACCTTAAACACTCAAAGAGCCACAAAGCCCCCATTCAATTCTGGAGCCAACTGGAAGTCCAGTTCCCACATCGTCGTCTCCTCCGAGCGCGGCATCCTTTGCTGACCAGAAGACCAGTTCCCCCACCATAGAGTCTCCTCCTAGCACAGCATCCTTTTCCCTCTAGCTGCCCTTGACACCGCGTTCTTGTATTTGTCAGCTGGGCTCCCATTCTGAGACTTACGGTAGACTGATCTGACTCTTATCTCTGAACTACTGCGCATGTCCACATTCCTTCACTGTTCTCTCTTTGTTCGTCTGCCAGAACTTCTGCCGGCAAGGCAGGAACGCTGCCAAGATGTAATTAATAGCTAGTAAGATCCTTTTTTTTTTTTTACTTCTTTATAATAAAATGTGTTTTATTAGAATGTATCTCGGGTTTTATTTTCTTTAAAAGTATACTCCAAGGAAAAGCCACAGTCCGTCTCTAATTAGCGGAATGGGACTAAATGCCACCAACCAAACCAAAAGCCCTATCAATTGTGAAGCCGACCAGCAACAGGGAGCTGCAGCAGAGGGATGAAAGAGCCACATGCGGCTCCAGAGCCGCAGGTTGCTGACCCCTGCCCCAGACCAATAACCCAATTGAAAATCTATGGAGCTGACTCAAGAAACTTGTTAGTCAGAAGCGACCCAGCAATAAATAGAAGCAATCCTTCAATCTTGGTTTCACATTATAAACAGCTGCAGAACTAAAAGACTTGGTTCACTCCATGGGAAGATGGTGTAAGGCCGTAATTCATGCAGCATTAATTGACACGGGGATAATTTTTGTATATCTCATTTTTTTTTTACGGTGATCATCTTTGTGTATCTCATTTTTCCCTTTTCTTTATACTGTAACTGCTCTTCTAATAGCAAAATCCTTCCTAAAAGTGATTGCGTTACATTCTTGATTAAATTATCTTTCCATTGATATATAATTTTATGGTACTGCTCCAAAAAAAATAAAAATAAAAATGGTGTTATTAGCTAGTTTTAGAAAAATACACTTTTCTCAAAAGGTTTCCACAATTTTGGCCACTACTGTATTATAAATTCATATGTATGGCAATTTCCAGATATGGGGATTTTGAACTGCCAGAATTCCTTATTATTTTAGGTTTTCTAATATCAGTTCAGGAACATCCAGTCTGAATTCCAAAGAGCAAGGAAGGTTTCCTCGCTTTTAACTACTTATGGTGAAGAGGTTTTGGGAAGGGATGCAAAAGAAGGAGAACATTCTTTCTCGTCCACCAAAATCTCCGCTAAATATTCTTTTTTTAAAAGAAAAACAAAAAAAACTCTGTAAAACAGGGGTCTCCAAACTTGGCAACTTTTAAGACTTGTGGACTTCAACTCCCAGAGTTCCTCAGTCAATTTTTAAGACTTGTGGACTTCAACTCCCAGAGTTCCTCAGCCAATTTTAAGACTTGTGGACTTCAACTCCCAGAGTTCCTCAGCCATTTTAAGATTTGTGGACTTCAACTCCCAGAGTTCCTCAGCCAATTAAGACTTGTGGACTTCAACTCCCAGAGTTCCTCAGTCAATTTTAAGACTTGTGGACTACAACTCCCAGAGTTCCTCAGTCAATTTTAAGACTTGTGGACTCAACTCCCAGAGTTCCTCAGCCAATTTTAAGATTTGTGGACTTCAACTCCCAGAGTTCCTCAGTCAATTTTAAGACTTGTGGACTTCAACTCCCAGAGTTCCTCAGCCAATTTTAAGACTTGTGGACTTCAACTCCCAGAGTTCCTCAGTCAATTTTAAGACTTGTGGACTTCAACTCCCAGAGTTCCTCAGCCAATTTTAAGATTTGTGGACTTCAACTCCCAAGTTTCCTCAGCCAATTTTAAGACTTGTGGACTTCAACTCCCAGAGTTCCTCAGTCAATTTTAAGACTTGTGGACTTCAACTCCCAGAGTTCCTCAGTCAATTTTAAGACTTGTGGACTTCAACTCCCAGAGTTCCTCAGCCAATTTTAAGACTTGTGGACTTCAACTCCCAGAGTTCCTCAGCCAAATTAAGACTTGTGGACTTCAACTCCCAGAGTTCCTCAGCCAATTTTAAGACTTGTGGACTTCAACTCCCAGAGTTCCTCAGCCAATTTTAAGACTTGTGGACTTCAACTCCCAGAGTTCCTCAGCCAATTTGAAGACTTATGGACTTCAACTCCCAGAGTTCCTCAGCCAACTTTAAGACTTGTGGACTTCAACTCCCAGAGTTCCTCAGGCAGCTGGCTGAGGAACTCTGGGAGTTGAAGTCCACAAGTCTTCAAAGTTGCCAAGTTTGAAGACCCCTGCTGTAAAATAACAAAACTCCAAGGGATTTCCCAGGAACGGAGGAGAAAGAAAAAACTTTTTTTAAAAAAAAACGTTATTGGTTGTGCCACTCCTTTTCTTTTCGAAGAAACCGCTGATAGGAAGAAATCTCATTTTGGTTTTTAAAAAGCTTTACTCCCTCAGGAAGGGGAAAAAAAAAAAAGAGATTTACAAAACAAAACAAAACAAAAAAACCGAAACAAAACCAGCCTGCATAAATTCTCCACGACAGAGATGTGATTTTCTTTTTTTTTTTTTTGACAATATTAATCCAAATATCACACTATTTAATTCCCCAATAAAACATTGGAAAAAGAAAGTGCCTACAATCTTCTTTTATCTAACACTTTTTTTTTTTTGCTACATATAAAATCTCAAGCTAATTAATAGCAATCTTATGGTACCAACCCTTCTAGAACAGTTAAGATTATATACACGTTTGAGGGGGGGGGAAGGGTGCGGGGCGATAGGGATATTAACAAACAGAATATTACAAAGTATTAAAGAAGGCAAGGCTTTTTCTGTCTTCCGGCGGGATCGGCTTCACTTGAAGTTGGCGTAATCTGAAAAGGCATCTATATATTCCTGGACTACCTTGTAGCAGAATTCGTACTGTTCCTAAGGGATTAGACAGAAGAGAAACGGGAGGTGAGTGACGGAACAAATCGGGATTTCCCCCCCCCCCAGAGTTAGTATTCAGCCGGTTCTGGCAAACTGGTAGCGCTGATCGCGGATGGGCCCGCCCATCAGCCCCGGCTTTAAGTCGTGCTATTTAGGCACGTTTTCGAGGCCGGGCGCGTGTGCAGAAGGTGCATGAGCAAGCAAAGCACATGTGTGGGAGGCCGGGCGCAGGCACGACGAACCGGTGGTAAAGATAAGTGAAACCCCCCCCCAAAAGATCTTCGGAGAAACTTGGGAACTTCCCAGAATTCCTAAGAATTTGGGGAAATTCACGCATAGAGAAGTCACCTACTTAAGTGACTGTGCTTAGAGCTCAGAGCCAGGGGTGAAATACTCCCGGTTCGGACCGGATCGCCCAATCCGGTAGTGATGGTGGCGAGTGGTTCGGAGAACCAGTAGCAAAAATCCCTGCCCCCCCCCCAACATGCCCAGCTGAGCTGCACGATCATCAGAGGCTTTTTTTTTTTTTTACTTTTAAAAGCATTTTTTCTACAACCTTCCGCTGCGCTCTTAAAACCTTTTTATTCCATCAGGCTGGCCTGGCCTAATTTTTCCCTTTTAAAACACAAATTTTAATTTGTTTTTAATTTATTGGGGTATTTTAAATTTGTCTTCGCCAAATTGTTTAATTCGGTTTTATTCTGTTTTTAAATTTTGTATTTATGTGTTTTTATCTTGTGGCTGTTCACCGCCCTGAGTCCTTCGGGAGTAGGGCGGTATACAAATAAACTAAACTAAAGTAAACTAAACTAAACTACAACCTCTTCCGATGAAAAAATGCTTTTAAAAGTAAAAAAAAAAAAAAAAAAAGCCTCTGATGATCGCGCGGCTCAGCTGGGATCTTTCAAAGCATTTTTTTCTGCAACCTTTTGGCCGAAGAGGTGGTAAAAAAAAAAATGCTTTGAAAAGTCTCTGACGTCCCAGCTGAGTTGCCTGATCGGCAGAGAGGCTTTTCAAAGCATTAGAAACAATGCTATGAAAAGTAAAAAAAAAAAAAAGGCCACGCCCACCCAGTCACATTACCACCACCACCACCAGGCCACGCCCACTGAACTGTAGTAACAGATTTTACATTTCATCCCTGCTCAGAGCATTGCTAGAGACCTTCCACCCCCCACGCCATGGTCTGTTTCTGTTTTGAAGTATCTATAGTAGGACTACTAGATTGTGTAACAGCTTTCGTTCCTTAGGCCATCCGTCTTGGAAACTTGCAGGATTTGTTCCCCCCTCTCTCCCCCACCATGTATATGTTACATCAGGTGGGTTCTACTTACCTTTACTACCAGTTCGCAACGGGGCGCGGGTGCGCTCACTTCGCTCGCGCACTCTTCTGCGCAAGCACAGAAGCATTTTGATGACGTCGGGAGTTGGTGGGCAGAGCCTCCCGCCGATTTTAACCACCGGTTCTATAGGACCAGTGCGAACCGGGGGCAACCCACCACTGGTATACATTCAAAATAGACTGTGATGCTTCTCTGTGTCACTATGTGTGTGTGTGTGTGTGTGTGTGTGTGTGGGTATAGGCATAACGGTTATCTTTTGAGAGCTGAATGCAACGAAATTTTATTTTAATCTATGCTGATTGGTGTACATTTAAAGTGACAGTGAAGTTCTGTTTCTATTCCTTATATAGGGATTCTTCTCTATACTATTTATATACTATACCCGTGATGGCGAACCTATGGCACGCGTGCCACAGGTGGCACACGGAGCCATATTAGTGGGCACGCCAGCTCAGCTCTGGGGCACATGCACGTGCTGGCCAACTGATTTTTGGGCCTTCTGGGCCCACCAGAAGTAGGTAAACAGGCTCTTTCCTGCCTCTGGGGGGGAGGGGGAGGCCCATTTTTCTTTCTTACCTGGCTCCAGATCCTCTCTATTTATCTGGGAAGGGCGAAAACAGCCTTCCCCACTCCCTTGGAGGCCCCTACGGAGGCTGAAAGGGCCCATTTCCCGACTCCCAGTGGGACAGGAAGTGACTTTTTTGCTGTCCCCTGCCTCCAGAGACTCCTAGAGAGGCTCCTAGAGACTCCTAGAGAGGCTCTGGAGGCAAAAAATGTCACTTCCTGTCCCACCGGGAGTTGGGAAATGGGCCCTTTCAGCCTCCGTAGGGCCTCCACAAGGGAGTGGGAAAGGCTGTTTTCGCCCTTCCCAGATAAATAGAGAGGATCTGGAACCAGGTAAGAAAGAAAAATGGGTCTACCAGGCCATCATGTGCCAGGAGCAGGGGGGGGGGGAGGAGGGAGGGTTGCGCACGCATGCGCGTGGACACATGCACACATGACCCTCCCCCGCCCCCCCCTCTCCTGGCACGTGATGGCAAAAAGGTTAGCCATCACTGTACTATACTATTAATACTATTTTGTATCTTCTGTTATGGACTGCACCCGTGATGCAGTGGTGGTATTCAGCCGGTTATATCCGGTTCGGACAAACCGGTAGCGGCGGCTGCGGGAGGCTCTGCCCATCCGCCCGGACATCATCACGTCCTGTTTTGGACGTTCTACGCATGCGCCAAAGGTCCTGCGTATGCGCAGAGGTGCCACGTGCGTTCACATTTGCGAACCGGTAGCGAAGGTAAGTGAATCCCATGCCTGCAGTGATGGTGGAAGCTTACCAGTGTTTGCACCATGTGCGGCCTCTGTAACCTCAAACTCTTCACCGTCTGAAAGACGTCCAGAATTCCTTCTGCCTTGACCCTTTCCAGGACGGTGCCCAACGCGCAGAAGGTCCCCGTCCGCCCAGCTCCAGCGCTGTGAAGAAGACGAAGAGGAGTTGAATGGGGTTTCTTCCTTCTCCAGACACCCAAACAAGGATGGGCTGCTGGGGGTTCGCGAGAATCTCTAGCTAAAATTCTGTGCAGTTCGGAAAACCCCCAAATCCCACTCCTGGCTGGCCCCGCCCACCCCACCCCTCTCAGGTGTCCCCACACGGCCTGTTTTGGATGCAGGTAAGTGCAGGTCACATACGGAGGCTTGGGAAGGGCGAAAAACGGGCCTACCGGAAGTTCAGGAAGGCCGGAAATGGGTCCGTTTCCAGCCTCCAGAGCCTGAAGAGGCCGTTTTCATCCTCCCGGAGGCTCAAAAAAAGCCTCCAGAGCCTGGGGAGGGCAAAAAATGCCCCCGCCCGCCATGGTGCAGGAGGCCAACTAAGCTACGCTCACCATAGCCACACCCACCCGGCAGAGAACCCCTTGCTAAAATTTTTGAAGCCACCTCTGGACCCAATTTAGAGGAGGTAAGAGCTAGGAAGGTCTACTCAGTGGCTGAGTAGTGGTCTACTCAATGGTTGGGGGAGGAAGAGGAAGGTTCCCTGAGCGTGGTGGAGAAAATGAGCTTCTGTTGAAGGAAGAAGGGTTGGGGCCAAGGCTATTCTGAAAGTACCATCTACTCCAGGATCGAAGAGTCATGGAGATTGTGAAGCAAAGTTTCTTCAAGGAAGAGAGGTAGTTTGGTGTAGTGGTTAAGGTGCCAGCTTAGAAACCGGGAAACTGTGAGTTCTAGTCCCGCCTTAGGCATGAAAGCTGGCTGGGTGACTTTGGGTCAACCATCAGGAGATGGTGAGTTCTAGTCCTGCCTTAGGCATGAAAGACAACTGGGTGACTTTGGATCAATGACCAGGAGATGGTGAGTTCTAGTCCTGCCTTAGGCATGAAAGACAACTGGGTGACTTTGGGCCAATGACCAGGAGATGGTGAGTTCTAGTCCTGCCTTAGGCATGAAAGTCAGCTGGGTGATTTTGGGCCAATGACCAGGAGATGGTGAGTTCTAGTCCTGCCTTAGGCATGAAAGTCAGCTGGGTGATTTTGGGCCAATGACCAGGAGATGGTGAGTCCTAGTCCTGCCTTAGGCATGAAAGACAACTGGGTGACATTGGATCAATGACCAGGAGATGGTGAGTTCTAGTCCTGCTTTAGGCATGAAAGCCAACTGGGTGACTTTGGCCCAATGACCAGGAGATGGTGAGTTCTAGTCCTGCCTTAGGCATGAAAGTCAGCTGGGTGACTTTGGGCTAACCACCAGGCGACAGTGAGTTCTAGTCCCGACAGGCAGGAAAACCAACTGGGTGACTTTGGGCCAGTCCTTCTCTCTATCCCAACCTACCTCACAGGATTGTTGTTGTGGGAAAGAGAGGAAGAAATGAACACTGGACATGTTCGTCCCCTTGAGTTATTTGTAAAAAAAAATAGTAAAGGCAAGATACAAAGAAATAAAATAATTTCTTGGGGGACCAATGGAACCGGTCCATGGTGCTGTTCAAACACCTCAGGGATGCGAGTCGATCATCGCAAAGGGGGAGCCCCTAGAAACCCCCCCACCCCCACCCCCCGGTTACCTGCAATGCACAGTGATGGGGTGATTGCCGGATTGCTGTTGTTGCTTCTGCACAGCTGCTATAATATTGATCATGCCTTTCCCGTCGCTGGGGATCCCCACCTCTGGCCACCCGTGGAAGTGGAACTGTCGGATTTGCCGGCTTTTGTTTTCCTGTGTGGGGGGAAAAGGGGAGGAGAGACGCTGAAGCAAGCTTGTGTTCTGTCCCCGTCTCACACACGCACACAAACAGACAGCCGGGAGTTAAATAAACTGGCAGACAACCAATTCTTCCGATAAGACGCTTGGCAGCAACCCAGTAGCTGCTTGCCAAGAACTTTTACTCAATAAACAAAATACCCACAGTCAAGAATTGTCCAGTTCGTAAAATAAATCCAAGGCCGATAATGTTGTTTCCACAGATGCAATGTGACTCGATAGTAGTTAGTTTTGTCCGTCACAGAGTCTGAATGGCCACCTCATCCCCTTTTATACCCTGTGGGGTGTGGTCCAGTGACTCAGCCTAATCCCTGGCATGCCTCTTCTTCTATTGCGCGCGCTTATCTCTGCGACGCTGCCGAGGATCCAGCCAAGACTCATCTCCCTCATTACTGTCCACCTGTGGCTGCGTGGATGTGCTTGGCCCCGGCCCTATCTCTTGCCCTTCAGAGGACACCGAAGGCATTGCCAGAGAGGAGGGTCCTGGAGAGGGAGGCCTTGCCAACTCCTCTCCTTCACCCTCAGAGTCCTCTCCTGCCGATGACACAGGCTCAGATAATGGAGCCACAACAGCTTGATCCCCAGAGGTCATAGAATAATAAAGAGTTGGAAGGGACCTTGGAGGTCTTCTAGACCAACCCCCCCTGCTCGAGCACGAGACCGTATACAACTGCAGACAAAGAGTTGCCCAATCTCTCCTTAAAAACTTCCAGCGTTGGAGCATTCGTGACTTCTTGTGGCAAGTTGTTCCACTGATTCATTGTTCGGTCAAGAAATTCCTCCTCAGTTCTAAGTTGCTTCTAAGTTGTAGTTATTTTTAAACAATCCTAACCCACGTGTTTGTTGTAGTATTCGTCACCATAATACTAATACTATATTAATAGAATAATAGAATAATGATAATAGAATAGAAATAGAATAACAGAGTTGGAAGGGACCTTGGAGGTTTTCTAGTCCAACCCCCTGCCCGGGCAGGAAACCCTACGCCACTTCAGACAAATGGTTATCCAACATCTTCTTAAAAATTTCCAGTGTTGGAGCATTCACAACTTCTGGAGGCAAGTTGTTCCGCTGGTTAATTGTTCTCACTGTCAGGAAATTTCTCCTTAGTTCTAAGTTGCTTCTCTCCTCGATTAGTTTTCACCCTTTGCTTCTTGTTCTACCCTCAGGTGCTTTGGAGAATAGCTTGACTCCCTCTTCTTTGGGGCAGACCCTGAGATATTGGAAGACTGCTATCATGTCTCCCCTAATCCTTCTTTTCATTAAACTAGACATACCCAGTTCCTGCCACCATTCTTCATATGTATTAGCCTCCAGTCCCTTAATCCTCTTTGTTGCTCTTCTCTGCACTCTTTCTAGAGTCTCCACATCTTTTTTACATTGTGGCGACCAAAACTGGATGCAGGATTCCAAGTGTGGCCCTACTAAGGGTTTGTAAAGTGGTACTAATACTTCATGTGATCTTCACGTGATCGCTCAATCCAGAGTGATCCAAGGAGCTTGCCTGACCACGAAAGGATTGAAACAGGAGGCTAACACTGCAACTTCCCCCCACCCCACCCCCCCCACCGATCCTTTGCTTCAACAGAGCTTTCTTCCTTAAAAGACACACTGTTTGCAGGCTGTAAACAGCGGAAAATAATTTGCAGGTAATCCTTGACTTATGGTGACAATTGGGGCCAGATTTTCCAATAGTTAGCAATGCAGTTGTAAAACATGACTGCATTGCTTAAGGATGGCAATCCCTGTGATCTCGGTTGCCATCGTTCAGCGAACCACACGATTGTTACGCCAGGAATTTCCTGCTGGCTTCCCCAGCTAAGTCATTGGGGAAGCCAGCAGGAAGTGGTAAGTCTTCAAAGTGGCTTGAAAGCAGGCCGGCAGGAAGTAGGTGGCTGCTGGTGGGGGTGGAGAGGGTGGGGCATGAGGGTGCAAAAAGGCGTGCATGGAGATGCGAGGGAGGTGCAGCAAGGCTCAGGGAAGGTGTGCAAGGGTGTCCCGGAGGCATGATGTGGCTCGGGGAGGATGGGCAAGGGTGGTGTAGTAAGGCTCAGGGAAGGTGCACGGGATGGAGGGCCGCAAGTGCAGATGCAGAGGGGCTGGGAAGGATGGAAGAGACTGACTCTAGCAACTTGCAACCTTCTCTGCTGGCTTCCCCATTGACATTCTGGGGAAGCCAGCGGGAAAGGTTGCAAATGGAGATCACAAGATCACACTGCAACCAATCATAAATGTCAGCTGATTGCCGAGCAACCAGATGAGTGTGGGAATGCTGGGATGCCAAAAACTCAGAGGACTGGTCATAAGCACTATTCACTCGGCACCGTCGTAATTTTGGCCATTTAACATATAACTGTGGTCGTAAGTCGAGGGCTACCTAGATAGTGAATCATCAGAGCTCTGCATCCTTTTCCAGACACCGTGAAGCCGGTTATGACTGGTGGGTCCCTGTAGACGTAAGGCTGGGTTTCTCAACACGTACCCTGTTGTTGGTCACCAGCAGATCCCGGACTGTGTAGCTCTCACACTCTTCCTCCTTCTTCAGTTCTATGGCGATGTCTCCGTAAGATACAGAGCCGTCCGAAGGCCAATACTGAGCACACTTCTCCTAGCGAGTCAGGAAACAGGAAAGACAGGGCCATCAGAAAGCTCATCGAGAAGAAGTCCTCTCATGTCCTCTCCTTCGTGTTTGATTTGTTATATTTATATAACATTCAATTTCCATCAAACAGTGTGTGATCTGTGTACAGTTATTTTTAAACAATCATAACCAACATTTGTTCTAGTATTCATCACCATAATATTAACAGTATATTAATATAATAATACTTAACATCATATTTTTAACAACTCTCCACATTAACATTTCCTCTTTTTATATCTCCTTTCTAACTTCTGTTTCTATTGTCTATTCCATTGATAGACTATGTCCCATATCAAAAAATATTCAGTTTCTTCTTTGTCCTTAATAGTAGACGTTAATCTATCCATTTCTGCACATTCTAATAGTTTCTTAATTACATTCCCCTCAGACCAGGGGTGAAATCTAGAATTTGTTACTACCGGTTCTGTGGGTGTGGCTTGGTGGTGGGTAATGTGACTGGGTGGGTATGGCCAACTTTTTTTTTTTTTAACTTTTAAAAGCATTTTTTCTACAACCTCTTCAGCCAAAAAAAATGCTTTTAAAAGTAAAAAAAAAAAAGCCTCTGACGATCAGAGGCAACTCAGCTGGGATCGCCAGAGGCTTTTAAAGGCATTTTTTTTCCCCTACAAAAGCTCTTCGGCCGAAAGGTTGTAGAAGAAATGCTTTTAAAAGCCTCTGACGATCCCAGCTGAGTTGCCTGATCATCAGTCATCATCACTACCAGCTGGAGAATTCTGGGAGTTGAAGTCCACCAGTCTTAAAAGCAACCAAGCTTGAAGACCTCTGCTTTGGATGTTCTTCTCCAGGGGCTCACCTGGCCCCTCTCTTCCAGCTCTGTCAACATCACGATGGAGCAGGACTTCCACTCCCAGATCATCCGCCAGAAGTCCTCAATGGTGTGCTGGAGCGGTCCTTGGCTGGCGATGTAGGAATCCTTTTGACGGTAACCCTGGGAACGCCAAAACAGGGCGTCACAAAGAAGCAGGATAACAATAGCACTTAAGACTTATATACCGCTGTACAGCCCTCTCTCAGCCGTTTACAGAGTCAGCCTCTTGCCCCCAACAATCTGGGTCCTCATTTTACCCACCTCGGAAGGATGGAAGGCTGAGTCAACCTTGAGCCGGTCAGGATTGAACTGCTGGCAGTTGGCAGAATTAGCCTGCAATCCTGCAGTCTAACCACTGCGCCACCACGGCGCCTTCCTTCTTTCCTTCCTAAATAGCAATAGCAGACTTATATACCGCTTCACAGTGCTTTACAGTTTTCTCTTAAGCGGTTTCCAGAGTCAGCATATTTCCCCTCAACAATTTGGGTCCTCGTTTTTACCGACTTCAGAAGGATGGAAGGCGGAATCAACCTTGAGCTGGTCAAGATCGAACTCCTGGCAGTCGGCAGAATTAGCCTGCAATCCTGCAGTCTAACCCCTGAGCCACCAGGAAAGAGAATGAGAAAGGGAATTAAGAAAGGAAGGAAGGAAGGAAGGAAGGAAGGAAGGAAGGAAGGAAGGAAGGAAAGGAAGGAAGGAAGGAAGGAAGGAAGGAAGGAAGGAAGGAAGGAAGGAAAATAGCAATAGCCCTTAGACTTATATGCCACTTTACAGTTCTTTACAGCCCTCTCAAAGCGGTTTCCAGAGTCAGCCTCTTGCCCCCAACAATCTGGGTCCTCATTTTACCCACCTTGGAAGGACGGAAGGCTGAGTCAACCTTGAGCCTGGTGAGATTCGAACTGCCAACCTGCTGGCAATTGGCAGTTAGCAGAAGTAGCCTGCAATCCTGCATTCTAACCACTGCACCAAGAGATTTATTCTTATCACCTCTTGTCTTTCCTGTTAACGATTTTGTTACTGGTATAAAATTCTTTTGGCCTGTTTTGTAAGGGGTGGGAGGTTAACATTGTTGTAGCATATTAATCAGCATTCAACTAGGGAGTAAGTTACGTGTATATATATTCAGCTTTCTTTTTTTTAAAAGACACTTTTTAAAATGTCTTTTTTTGTTGGGGGTTGTTTTCTTTTGGTCAACATTTTGGCGTTTTGTATTTGAACTTTTCTTGAATAAAACTAAATATTGTACACAGAAATCTGACTAGGTGGCTCAGTGGCTAAGACACTGAGCTTGTGGGTCAGAAAGGTTGGCAGTTCGTCGGTTCGAATCCCTAGTACAGGTCTCCTGCGTGAGCAGGGGGTTGGACTAGATGACCTCCAAGGTCCCTTCCAACTCTGTTACTGTTAGATTTTTTTTTTAAAAAAAACAACCCTATTCAAGGCTTTCATACCAGGGACTGAATATTCTCAGCTCGCATTAGAAAACTCATGAGTGGCGCGGTGGCCTAGAGGTGGAGCTCATCGCCTCACAATCAGGAGGCTGTGAGTTCAATCCTAGGTAGAGGCAGATATTTCTCTCTCTGGGCACGATGAGAATATATCTGCTGAACAAAACTCCTCATTGGTGACAGGAAGGGCATCTGGCCAGTAAACAACTCAGCTCCATTCAGTTGCCCAGATTCGATCCCGCAAGGGATTACGGCGTCGTTAAAAGAAGATTGTTAGGAAATGGCTATTTGTCTAACTAGTTGGTCAGGCAATATATAAACTAACAATGTATGTTTGCAGTCAAAAGGTATTATATTGCTTTAAGACTGTATTGCATCATCCTGTATCCTGATTGGCTAAGCTCTGTAGCCAATGTACTTAAGGGAAGTCTGAATCATGGTTTGTGGACACTACACCATTTTGCCTGCTTATTTGCTGTAACTCTCTACCTGATCTCTCGGCATGATCACTGTTTGATCATAGCTACATGTTGCTTTCTACTATTTATTGAATGTTTTGATATTGAACTTGTTCCTGTTTTGAAACTCAAGAAGAACTTTTTTAATGTGTATGACTACAACTGGTAAGAAGACTTTGTACTTGAAATATTGATCTTTTAACTCTTTTATCTGTGTATGACTTGGATTGTTTTTGGACTTTGCTTTACTTTTTCATAAAAGTAAAAGGCTACCACAACTCAGTGTGTTTGTGTATTAACTGTGATTGTTCACAACTACTCCCAGCCGCTTTCATGCGTATACTCAAAGGGTATACTCTGCTCAATAACCTGCAACATCGGTTATGAGCTAGAATATCCTTAACAAAGATGATGCATTATAAAACTTCATTAAAGTAACACTCACGTCAATAAAAGAAGCATTTACATAATCTGTATTTTCCTCGCCTCTCTTCACTGGAATGATTACGCGGTTGAACTCATCTGAAGGGGGTGGTGGAAAAAAAAGAGACAAACCATTTTAGAAATGTTTGGTAAGAGGCATTTAAGGAAGGATTCTGGACTGGCATGATGTGGCTCGGAAATGATGGGTTTCCATAGCAACCCCCCAAAAACGGCGACGTCTCCCTGCAAGCACTCTCATCGGCCATTCTGACGCAGCAGTGATGCCCACTTTGCAAAGCTAAACTGCAGAAAACACAGGTAGTCCTCGACGTGCGACCGCAACGGAGCCCCCAATTCCCGTCGCTAAGCGAGACACTTGTGAGTTTCGCCCCCTTTTTTACAGCCTTTCTTGCTGCCGTTTGGTCAGTGAATCGCTGCAGTTGCTAAGTTAGGGATACGGTCGCTAAGCGGATCTGGCTTCCCCCACCAACTTTGTCCAAAGGTCGCAAAAGGGGATTACGTGACATACACACATACACCCCGGGACACTGCAACCGTCGTAAATACGAGTCAAGTCGCCAAGCGTCCGACTTTTGATCAGGTGGTTGTGAGGATGCTTGCAATGGTCGTTAAGTGTGAAAACTGGTCATAAGTCACTGTTTTCAGTGCCATGGTCACTTTGAACAGTCACTAAACGAATGGTTGTAAATTGAGGACCACCTGTACTTTGAAAAAAACCCCAGCTGATAAAATATTAAAACAACCCGATTGCTTTCTGGAACATCAAGCCACGATTCATGGTTTAATCCGATGAAGCTCTACATTTCCCTCTCCCTTCCATCCCAGATCTTGTGAAGCCGACATACAAAAGTTAGATCCTTCAATGATTTCTCATGCCTTAAAATGTGAATTTCAAGGTTTCCCCCACCAGCTAAACACGTAATTCCTTACATGGGATTATCTGGAGCACTCTGTTCTTCTTCATGTTGGCCGGCAAATTGCCTGTTCGCATTTTGTCGTTCTGGATTTTGATGGAGGTGAGTTTCTGCAGAAAGAGAGAAGCGGGGCATAAGCATCGAAGGGCCAAAGAACTGGGTGAATTTGGGTCAATCACCAGGAGACGGTGAGTCCTAGTCCTGTCTTCGGCATACTAGACAGCTGGGTGACTTTGTGCCAATCACCAGGAGACGGTGAGTTCTAGTCCCACCTTAGGCATACCCACCTAGACAGCTGGGTGACTTTGTACCAAGCACTAGATGGTGAGTTCTAGTCCCACCTTAGGCATACTAGACAGCTGGGTGAATTTGGGTCAATCACCAGGAGACGGTGAGTTCTAGTCCTATTTTAGGCATACTAGATGGCTGGGTGACGTTGTACCAATCACCAGGAGACGGTGAGTTCTGGTCCTGCCTTAGGAATACTAGACAGCTGGGTGACATTGTACCAATCACCAGGAGATGGTGAGTTCTAGTCCCACCTTAGACATGAAAACCAGCTGGGTGACTTTGTACCAATCACCAGGAGATAGTGAGTTCTAGTCCTATTTTAGGCATACTAGATGGCTGGGTGACTTTGTACCAGTCACCAGGAGACGATGAGTTCTGGTCCTGCCTTAGGAATAATAGATAGCTGGGTGACTTTGTACCAATCACCAGGAGATGGTGAGTTCTAGTCCTATTTTAGGCATACTAGATGGCTGGGTGACTTTGTATCAATCACCAGGAGATGGTGAGTTCTAGTCCCACCTTAGGCATGCTAGACGGTTGGGTGACTCTGGCCCAATCAGCAAGAGATGGTGAGTTCTAGTCCCACCTTAGACATGAAAGCCAGCTGGGTGACTTTCTACCAATCACCAGGAGACGGTGAGTTCTAGTCCCACCTTAGACTGGATCATCTTGTGCCAATTACCGGGAGACAGTGCACTCTCTCCCTCTCAGCCCAACCCACCTCACAGAATTGTTGTTGTGGAACAGTAGGGGAAGGAAGGTGTGTTGGATGTGTTTGCCAGCTTGAATTATGTTTTATTTAAAAGTAGCTAATAACCCGGCGTTGCCCGTTTTTTTTTTTATTTTTTTAAAGAACCAATCCCCTTACCAGAGGGAACTTACCATGGCAACTCCACTGTGCTGTACAGTAGAAGCCATTTTAAGGCACAACAGGCTGTATCTTAATAGAACTTGAATCCAAAAGGCACACTATCACTGTCAAAAGTGATTTGACACTATAGATATAATTCATTCCTTTTCATTTCAGCAGCTCAGACGTTCCAGAGTTATGCTGGAACACACACCCAGACACACCCACACCCCGAGGAGTGTTAGGGGTGTCTTACCCCCACAGTATTTGTTTCCAGAGAGTAAGTTTGGTTGAAATTGCTCGAGGCGTTCCAGAGTTATGCTGGAACATACACAAACAGCCATTTTTATATTTTAAAATGATAAAGTCAAGAGACACACACACACTCAAACAAATATATAACCCCAGACCCATTAATATTATTCCAGCCATCTCTTTGCTCCCTAGTCTTCTACGAGTTGAAAGGATGGCCTTGCATTAAATACCATCAATGTTATGATTGTGAACAGCCCGAATCCGTTTTTGTTCGTGGCGAAAGAGAAATTCTTTGGCTGAATTGATCGGTTCAGTCACCAGACCTTGATCTGGAGATCTCAGGCTTCCATGAGCAAGTGGCTTCCACGGATCCAAATTGCTCCCTACCTTAAACTCTTCCTCCAATCCGTTGCTGCTGCTCCCCAAAATTTTGTTGTAAATCTTCTGGAGATGGACCTCCAGCGAAGTCACCTCCAGTTCTGTGTCTCCATATAAGTAATGCTCCAGAAGCGCCTGGTAGATGAATACGTACTGCATCTAAGAGGAGAGAGGATTCTTGTTTGGCTCTGGAGTTTTATTTTATTCGTTTCTCTTTTTTTGGCCCTGTTTGCAATCCAAAAACTCTTTGGCATTTCCGGTCTCCCAACAGAAGAGGATATTTGGAGCTCAGGGTTGGAATTCTGTGGAATTCTTGGTGCTCTGAGAGCTCGGCGGTTTCCTTGCAGATGTTTCATGACCCAACTAGGTCCCGTCATCAGTGCTGAAGGGAATGGGGTTTGTGGAGAGGAGGAGGGGAGGAAGAGGAGGAGGACTGTGGGCTACTCTCTGTGACATTTCATGACCCAACTAGGACACGGCATCAGTGCTAGAAGGGAATGGGGTTTGTAGAGTGGAGGAGGAGGTGGAGGAAAAGGATCCTAACTCAACCCCACTCCCATAATCCTAATCCCAAAATCCGAATCCCAGGATTCCTAATCCCACCCATAATCCCAATCCCAGGATTCTTAATACCAACGCATAATCCCAATCCCAGGATTCCCAATCCCAGGATTCCCGCTCCCATAATTTATTTCTTTATTTATTTTATTCATATTTATATGCCGCCCTTCTCCCGAAGGACTCAGGGCAGCTCACAACAACAGCAGCCCATAAAACAACAAAACAATAAATTAATGCTAAAATAATCCAATTAAAATCCCCAACAGTTAATGCCAATCCCAGGATTCCCAATCCCAACCCATAATCCCAATCCCAGGATTCCCATCCCAAGATTCCCACTCCCATAATCCCAATCCCCACCCCCATAATCCCCACCTCAAGCTTCCCAATCCCAACCCCATCATCTCAAGATTCCCAATCCCATAATCCCAGTCCCAGGATTATGAGTAGAGTAAGAACGAGTGGAAAAGTGCCAGGCCAATGATAGAATCTGGGGTGGGGTGGGGGGGAAATGGATCCCATCAGAGACGGGCCTTTGACTTACGTCAGTCTGTACCATCTGGCAGCGTTGGGCCCGGATTCGGCTCACAAACCCATAAACATCCACCTTCTTCTCGGCGTGCATCATGTCCAGCATGGCATCGATCACAATGAACGTTCCCGTCCGTCCCACACCGGCACTAAAGGACAGGGTGGTGAGGAGGGAGAAGGGGAAAAAAATGTTTTTAAATTTTATAATTAGGAATTCTGGGAGTTGACATCCACCGCTCGTGAAGTTGTCATAGTTGGCCACCAGTTAAAAAATGGCGCCTGGCACGACCAGGAATGGCCCTTTTCCTCTACGGAGGACGCACTGACCTGCAGTGGACCACGATGGCGCCCGCATATTGGGGGTTGCAAGTCTTCACCTTCTTCAGGAACTTCAGCATCCCGATGGGCGTGAAAGGCACCCCAAAATCCGGCCAGCTGGTGAAGTGGAACTGCGTCACCAGGCGCTGAGGTTTTTTATTGGTGACGTCGCCAACCTGGGTTGGAAAAGGTGGCGAAGATTAGCCAGGGTTACTCCCTGAGAACATCTGGAAGGCTCCCCCCCTGCCCCCCGAGGACCTCCTTGGCTTCGCCCCCCATTTTGTTGCAGAGGGATAGACCGGAAGATTGAAGAAGGGAGGGAGGGAGGGAAGGGAGGATGAGGGAAGCTGGAGAGAAGGAGAAGAGAAATTTGGGATGGGAAGAGGTGCTTCTCGCCTTATTTTTCTCACCATGACTTTGTTTTTTTTTTTAAAAAAATAATAAATCACATTTTGGCTTGGTTTCTCAATAGCCCCATCTCCCCCTAAGCTGGGGAATACCTTTGCATAGGTGGGAGGAAGAGAGACAAAGCAGCACTCTCTCTTTCTTTTTTTTCTCTCTCACATTCTCTGCTTTTCTTTCTCTCTCTCTCTTATTTTCTGTCTACTTTATTCTTTCTTTCTTTCTTTTTCTTTTTCTTTCTCCTTTTCCTTTTTTTCCTTTTCTCCTCTTTTTTGTTTCTCTCCTTTTCTCCTTCCTTCATTTTTCCTTTTCTTTTTGTCTCCCTCTCCTTCCTTCCTTTTTTCCTTTTCTTTCCCTTTTTGTCTCCTTCCTTCCTTCCCCTCCTTCTTTCTTTTTCTCCCCCTCTCTTTCCTTCCTTTTTTCCTTTTCTTTCCCTTTTTGTCTCCTTCCTTCCCCTCCTTCTTCCTTCCTTTTCTTTTTCTGTCTCTTTCTCTTCCTTCCTTCCACCCCTCCTCCCTTCCTTCCCCTCATCTCTCCATTTCTCCTTTCTTTCTCTTTCTCCTTTTCTCCTTCTCTCTTTCTCCCTTCCTCTACCTCCCTGGTTCTGGTCTGGCTATGTTCTGCCCCAGCTATGGACCCCAAAGAACGCAGCACACACAAAGCCCATACAAACCTTAGTTTACTAATTTAAACCAGTCTTTTCCAAACTGTTAAATTAACTTCATTAACAGCTGACAAGAACCCAAAGAATAATAACTGTAATCTTACTGTGGTTGTCAGAATGCCCAGAAGCAATTTGCAGGAAACTGATAAGAGAAACAAGATCAAGACGCGAAGGAATGTGAACGAAGTTGTTTCCTGCAAATTGCCTCAGTCGTCGTCCTTCCTTAAATAGGCTAGGGGAGTGGCCAATTAGCCCCAAGCCTTACTCTCGAAGAGACCTCCTCCTGAGGAGCCACTCCTGCCTTTTGGCAGCTCTGCGCTCTCATGAATCGAGAAGAGGCTCCTCCTCTTCTTCCTCTTTACTTATGGGAGCTTCTGGAGGTTCTGAAGGCCCTGGCTGAATCCCCGCCTCTGGCACCACATCTTCTCCAGCCTCCTCTCTGTCCGACTCGAGCACCAGCTGCACAGGCTGCTGGCGCAGCACCACACCAGCCTCCTCACTGTCGGAATCAGCTACTAGCTGCACAGGCCGCTGACGGGCCACAACAGGCTAGGATAAGCTTAATGACAGCATGCATTATATAGCACCAGGAATTTTTGCACCCATTTACTTAACAGATAAACCAGCAATCAAACAAGCAGCCTATGAGGGGTAAATAAGCCTGCCTCTCTGAAGGCCAGGCACCCCGAACGCCAGCGAGGCCTACCTGTTGAATGCAGAATTTCCGTACTGTGTAGTCAACAAGGATGGTCACATCTTCCACGGAAACCCGGATATTCCCATACGTCCAGCAACCCTGATCTGGCCAATACTGGGCACATTTACACTGAGGAGAGACCACAAAACAGACCAAGATTCAGGGCAGAAGGGAAGAGGAGATGATCTAACCCATGATCTCCTCAGGGTCAGTTTTCTCCCGGTGGAGATCAGCATCTGTTGTAGGTTAAAAACAGGGATGAAATGCTACCAGTTCATTCCGGTTCGAGCAAACCGGTAGTTTAAAAAATGCTTTAAAAAGTTAAAAAAAGGTTCTGATGATCACAGCTGTGCCGCGCGATCATAGGAACCTTTTTAAAAAACTTTTTTAAAGCATTTTTTTACTACCAGTGTTGTGACCCCGACTCCTGAGCCTGTCCTAACAGAGGAAGAGGACTCAGAAGGTGATGGGGAGGAACTGATAAGGCCTCCCTCTCCAGACCCTCCTCTCTGGCAATGCCTCAGGTGCCATCCGAAGGCCAAGAGGAACAGCCTGGGATGTGCCAGGAGGACGGCATATCGAAGCACCAATTGATAGGGAGCGAGGAGGATGAATCCTGGCTTGATCCCAGGCAGCGTCGGAGGGAGAAGCGTGTGCAGTAATGGAAGAGGCGTGGGAGGGCCAGAGATTGAGCTGAGTCACGGAGCCACACCCCACCAGGAATAAAAGTGGGTGGGATTGCTCTTCAGGCTTTGTGATGGACAAAGTTAAACTCTGAAAGTCACATCGTGATCTCTGAAATTCGGCTTGGATATATTTTGGACTGAACATTGACTACACTCTTGTCTCATGGATAATTTGTTGCTTTTGGAACAGACTGAAGATAAGTCCTCTTCTGCTTTATGGGAGTGAAAACGGTCTTGGCAGGCATTCGGCAGTTTGCTGCCAAAACCTTGGTCTGCCAGGAATTCTAATCTGTTTACCTAATAAAATATTGGCAGGCGTGCTTGGTATTATGTTTGTCTGTGTGAGGAAGGGGGACAGAACAACCAGTTCGGGCGAATAGGTAGTAAAAAATGCTTTAAAAAGTTAAAAAAAAAAAGTTGGCCACGCCCACTCAGTCACATGATCCCACCAAGCCACGCCCACCAAGCCACGGCCACAGAACTGGTAGCAAAAATTTTTTGCATTTCACCACTGGTTAAACGCCTGTCCAAATTTGGCTGGGGCAGCCGCACTGTGGACCAGACGTGATGTGTAACTTTCCAGGGAATGGAATACCAGGAGAAAAGAGACCACTCAGTGATCCGACAACGCAAGCTGGTCGAGGGTGGACAATACATTGAAATAATGTGGAAATTCCCTCTCTCCGAGCAGCCCAAATATCTGGCAAGCACCGAAGAGTTTTGCCTTTGTTTTTCTGCCAAGTTACACACTGTTGAAAATGCCAGGATTGTACTGAATTAGTGATTGTGGCTACTGCGTAGTCACGAAGAGCTGAAGATGGCACCAGACAGCTGGGAAGATTTTCCTCCAGGCACCCTTACTACAAGAAAGCTCAACTGGGGACACAAAAATAAATGTTTTGTTTGTTTGTTTATTATTTATATCCGCCTTTCTTGCTTTTTTTTATAAACTCAAGGTAGTGAACATATCAAATACTTCTTCCTTCTCCTGGTTTCCTCACCATAACAAACTGATGAGACAGGTTGAGTTGAGAGACAGGGAATGACCTCAAAGTCGCCCAGAAAGCTTTTGTGGCTAAGGCAGCACTAGAACTCCCAGTCTCCTGGTGATTGGCCCAAAGTCACCCCACCAATTTTCATAACTATGGCGGCACTAGAACTCACAGTCTCCTGGTGATTGGCCCAGTCACCCCACCAACTTTCATAACTATGGCGGCACTAGAACTCCCAGTCTCCTGGTGTTTGGCCCAAAGTCACCCCACCAACTTTCATAACTATGGCGGCACTAGAACTTACAGTCTCCTGGTGATTGGCCCAGTCACTCAGATGGCTTTTGTGGCTAAGGCAGCACTAGAACTCCCAGTCTCCTGGTGACTGACACAAAGTCACCCCACCAACTTTCATAATATGGCGGCACTAGAACTCCCAGTCTCCTGGTGATTGGCCCAAAGTTATCCAGCCACCTTTCATGCCTAAAATGGGGCTAGAACTCACTGTCTCCTAGTGATTGGCCCAAAGTCACCCAGCTGGCTTTCATGCCTAAGGCGAGACTAGAACTCCCCATCTCCTGGTGATTGGCCCAAAGTCATCCAGCCAGATTTCATGGCTAAGGCGGGACTAGCTCACTGTCTTCTGGTGATTGGCCTAGAGTTAGCCAGTCAGCTTTCATGATTAAGACAGAACTAGAACTCACTGTCTCCTAGTGATTGCCCAAAGTCACTCAGCTGGCTTTCATGCCTAAGGCGAGACTAGAACTCCCCATCTCCTGGTGATTGGCTCAAAGTCACCCCAGCAACTTTCATAGCTAAGGCGAGGCTAGAACTTCCCGTCTCTTGGTGATTGGCCCAAGGTCACCCATCCAGCTTTCATATCCAAGGCGGTCACTACAGCCTTACCTCTTTCCTCTCCTTCAGATTGGTCACCATGACAATTGTGGCTGTGTTTTGCTCCCAAATCATTCTCCAGAAGTCGTTCACCGTTTCTTCTTTGGGCCCTGCCGAGACGCCAGAGGTGAGAAGCAGAGAAAAATCCGTTATCAAGAAGGAACAAGATGAGCTGAATCGCTTCTCCCCACGTTGGCCATGTAAACTTTCAGCTCAGATATAGCCGCTGTGAACCACCATAGCTTTTACTACGTTTGAGATTGTCTGCAGACCGGATTCCCGCTCCCTACAGGTAGTTTTTGCCAAAAACGTGCCTGTTTTCGCCAAAAACGTGCCATTTTTGGCTTGCAGAGTGCCGGGGAGGGCAAAAATGTGACTCGCTTGGGAGCCCAAAAACAGGCCTGGTTTTTTTGGCGAAAATGGGCCATGCGGAGCCCTGCAGAGTGCTTCTGGGGGCCTCGGAGGGCGAAAATGCGACGCACGAAAGTTTCAGGAGGCCAAAAACGCCCCTATTTGGTCTATAAGATGCACTTAATTTTTCACCCAATTTTAGGGGCTAAAAAAGTTGCATTTTATTATTTATTTATTAGTCCAATTTATATGCCGCCCTTCTCTGTAGACTCAGGGCGGCTTACAATGCATTATAGCAATAGCTTGCATACTTTTTTATGTATATACCTGCTTATTAGGGCTTTCGGCTCCCCCTAAGCGGTGTTGTTCTATACAAAGCTGGCTTATTGCCCCCACAATCCGGGTCCTCAATTTACCTACCTCGAAAGGATGGAAGGCTGAGTCAACTTTGAGCCTGGTGAGATTTGAACTTGCACTAATTGCAGGCAGCTGGCAGCTAAGTGCTAGCACTTAACAGCACTTTAGTCCGCTGCACCACCGAGGCTCTTTTTATACTCCGAAAAACACAGTAAATGTTGATCCGATATGAAAGCTGTCCAACTTGAAAAGCAAAAACTTTCAGGGAGGTGGAAGAAGTTGGTCAGCTTTGCATTTCCCCCCCAAAATCACGAAGAAATGAGCCATATTTATTTTAACCATTTCCTTCCTTTAGATTAGGAGCCACTGCAGCAAAATGCAGCAAGATTGGGGAAACTCTGGAGGAGGAGACATTCGAAAATACACACTGCTAATCCTTGTAGTGTAGAAATTCAAAGGAAATACATATTATTTACCTTGTGCTGCAATGAACCTGTTCTTCTCCTGATACCCCTGTAAGAACAGAAGCGAAACAGGAATGAAAAAAAAAAAAAAGCAACGGTTTTATTTCTGGTGTTGGTCAAAGGCCAAAAAATTTGGCATCTTCTCCCACGGGGTTTAATTCTTTACTTTGCAAATATTGTCACTGTATACAAACTATCTTGCAGCCAGTAAAAATAAGATTTATCTGTGGATGATCTGGATCTGCAGGTTACAACAGATGAAAATGACAACAAGAATCGACAGCTACTTTTCTTCATTCCTAAATCTAAATCTAAATACCTAAATCTCCTAGATTGCAAAGGAGTCCTCAATTTACGACCACAACGGAGTCCAAAATTCCCATTGCTACATTTGTTGAGTGAATTTTGCCCCGTTTTACGACCTTTCGTGCCACTGTTGTTAAAGTGAATCCCTGTGGTTGTGAAGTCAGTTGCCAAGCATCTGGATTTTGATCATGTGACCACGGGAATGCTCCAATGGTCGTAAGTGTGAGAAATGGTCGTAAGTTGTTTTTTCCAGGGCTGTTGTGATTTTGAATGGTCACTAAATGAACTGTGTATATGTATGTATGTATGTATGTATGTATGTATGTATGTATGTATGTATGTATGTATATGTGTGTCTGTGTGTGTGTGTGTGTGTGTGTGTGTATATATATATATATTTTCTCAGGTTTTCACGGGTGTTTGTATGTAGGTCTTTGGTTATTCGGGTCTTCTCCCACGTAAAATTGGAAGTGTTTTGGCGACGTTTCGACGAAGTCTCATTCGTCATCTTCAGGCTGGTGTTCTCGGCTTCGTGCTTCATTGCTCCTGGAAGCACTTATATATATATATATCCTTTTAGGGATATGTTTACAATTACACGGGAAGAAACCCGAGATATTAACTGTACACACACACACACATGCTGATAAAGAAATAAATATATAAATATATTCATATAAATAAAGATAAATTTGGTATAAAATGGTTTGTCGTGAATGCGACTGCTTGAGGGCTCCTGGATTGGAGCTGAAAGGCGAAAGGGATGCAGTATGCTTCCTCCCACATGGTGGGGTAGACCAGGTGCCTCGATATAAAAACACTTTATATATATATAAATATTTATATATATATTTAATATATATAAAATTTTGAATATATATCAATATCAATAAATGAACAGTGAGGCATCTGGGTATCATTCATTTAAATACAAGTATTAATGATAGTTTTATTATTATTTGTTATTTAGATCATATTTATATAATTATGTTATTATATGTATTTGTGATAAAGTATAGGCCTTCATTACTTAGTTGTTCAACATTTTAGTCCCTCATTCCAATGACAATAACAATACCATTAAAACATACATAATGCCACCATCTTCCAACATCTAAACTTTATATCTAGTTATTACTTTTAGTATATTATAAAAATATGCATAATATTTTCCCCTATTTCTTGTTTCTGCCTGTGTTCTAGCTCCTAATAAAGCCAATCTTGTGTTACATAACATTGCCTCTATCCATCATCTCTTGCCTGTTTTAATACTTCAATTCCTATTCGTTTTTTAACTTGCCTCCCAAATTCCTCCCTTGGGTCCTCATCTCCATCTATTTCTTTCCTGGTTAGCTTATGTATTTCTTCCCTCTCTACTATCTTTTGCTGCCAAGCCTCCAGAGGATCTGCCCAAATCTCTGATTTCTAAGTGAACTGTTGTAAGTCGAGGACTATCTGAACCTGGGGAACGTTCCTAAGCCTTTAGCAGATACTTACATTAATGAACGAGGCGTTGATATAATCGGAGTCTGGAACCCCTTCAATAGGTGTCAGGTGAACCCTGGAATGGTCATCTAGGAGAGAGAAGACGGCCATGAATGGCAAAAGCATCAGGATGACGGAGGACCTTCAGTGAAAGTCAAACGAATCTCCAAGAAGGTCAACCTTCACAAGGTCTGGTTTTCAGTGCAGAGGAAAAACTAGAGAAGTGACCGCTTATTATAACCTATCATTGTCTTGCAGGAGTCAATCTGGGTCGGTCACCGGGAGGTTTGTCTTCCGAGCTTTCGGACTTGTGCAGGAGCCCACCTTCAGCTACTAAGATTGTTGGACGAGCAGGCTCAAAAACAGCCGGGGAAATAATTGGAAGTCTGGGAAACAGGATGCTTGTCCTTCTACAGCAGTGATGGCTAACCTTTTCTGGACCAAGTGCCCAAAGAGCGTGCAAGCACCCCAAAATTGGGTTTATGATTGAATGATTTAATTCTTTTTTAATTATCTTAACTTTTGTATTTGTATGTTTTTTAATTTTGGCTGTTCACCGCCCTGAGTCCCCTCTGGGAGAAGGGCGGTATACAAATTAAATTAATAAAATAATAAATAAATAAAATAAATAAAATTCAATGTGCCCTCCTGCGCATGTGCCCCGCTCCCATGCATACCCCGAGCGACCCCCTGCATGTGCCCCACCCCTGCGCATGTGAGCCCCCCCTGACCTGAAGGCCAGCTTGCTGGTGGGACGTGTGTGTGCATGCGTGTCGGAGATGAACTGGGTTGACGGCTCATGTGCCATCAGAGAGGGCGCTGTGTGCCACCTCTGGCACGCGTGGTCTACAGGAATGTTGATTTATCACCAGCCTATCAAGTGCTTAGAAGTCGAGAGCCGATGACTTAAAAGTCAACACACCCCAATCAACATCTGAAAAGCCACATACAACAGGCGCTATAAACACCATGCAGACAAGATAGCTCTGCAGACAAGGCACTGTAATTTAACAAGCAGCTGTCTGCAATTAAAGTAAGTTCGAATCTTGCCAGGCTCAAGGTTTCCATCCTTTCTAAGGTAGGTTAAATGAGGACCCAGTTTGTGGGGGGAATAAGCTGACTTTGTATAAAATATACAAAAGGATGAAGGCTATTGCTTAGCGCATTGTAAGCCGCCCTGAGTCTCCGGAGAAGGGCGGCATATAAATCAAATTAAAAAAAAAAGAAAAGAAGAACAGCACACATTCTGCTAGAGAGAAGTTCCCTGAAGATCCAGTACGAGTCCGAAAGCTCGGAAGACAAAACTTCTGGTCCCGGTGACCGATCCCAAATCGGACCCTGCAACAACATTATCCTGCGACACATATATTCATAAGCGATATTATTGCCTTGTCTATGGAGATTCTCATAAGTCATCCAGATCATGGTTGTCCCGAAGGTGCTTTTTCAAAAGGCAACTGGACTTCCTTGGTTTTTTTTTCTTGAAGACATTTCGCTTCTCATCCAAGAAGCTTCTTCAGTTCTGACTTGTTGTGGCCCGTCAGCGGCCTGTGCAGATTGTAGCTGATTCCGACAACGAGGAGGCTGGTGTGGTGCTGCGCCAGCAGTCTGTGCGGCTGGCGCTCGAGTCGGACAGTGAGGAGGCTGGAGAAGATGTGGTGCCAGAGGCGGGGATTCAGCCAGGGCCTTCAGAACCTCCAGAAGCTCCCATAAGTGAAGAGGACGAAGAGGAGGAGCCTCTTCTCGATGCACGAGCACGCAGAGTTTCCAAAAGGCAGGAGTGGTTCCTCAGGAGGAGGTCTCCTCGAGAGTAAGGCTTGGGGCTAATTGGCCACTCCCTTAGCCTATTTAAGGAGGAACACCAATTGCAGCAAGCTGTAGGGAACAACTTTAGTTCAATCTTCTTCGCGTCTGGATTCTCTGCAAAATTGTTTCTGGGCTTTCTGCCAACTCTAGTAAGACTATGATTACCTTATCTTAGAATTCTGGTAGGCTGTTAAAACAGTTTATTAACAGCCTTTGGTTGATAAAGACTGAGTTATTTGAGTAATTAAGCTTTGTATAGAGTTTGTGTGTGCTGCGTTCTTTGGGATCCATAGCTGGGGCAGAACATGACTGAATAGTGAAGGATGGAAGAATTTCTGTTCTTTGCAATCCTCTGGTCGTTAGCGCTCTCTCTGGGAGTCATTGAGGCCACTTGGAGGCTTATTTGTGTCCCTAGGGTCACCTGAATAGTGTAAATCGGTGTGAAACTGACTTCTGATAGGACTGTGCTGGAAAAATGTTCCACGGCCATTTGCACTATTCAGGTGACCCTGCAGGCACGGATAAAACTCCAAGTGGCCTCAATGGCTCTCAGTTGAAACTATTAGCAGTTGCTCTACATCACCAGCTCCAGTCTACAACACAGCTCCTTTCAGCACTTCCAAGAGGGCTCCACATCCATTGGCACCACTCAGGTGACCCTGAGGACACAGACAAACCTCCAAGGGGCCTCAACGACTCCCTAAAAGGATGCAAATGACCAGCTGTCTGCAAGGAATATATCTCCTTCTGTTCCGCACCATCCAGTCAGAGCTGAAGAAGCTTCTTGGATGAGAAGCGAAACGTCTTCAAAGAAAAAGCAAGGAAGTCCAGTTGCCTCTTGAAAAAGCACCTCTGGGACAACTGAGGATACAGACAAACCTCCAAGGGGCCTCAACGACTCCCTAAAAGGGTGAAAATGACCAGCTGTCTGCAAGGAATATATCTCCTTCCGTTCCGCACCATCCAGTCTGAGTTGAAGAAGCTTCTTGGATGAGAAGCGAAACGTCTTCAAAGAAAAAGCAAGGAAGTCCAGCTGCCTCTTGAAAAAGCACCTCCTGGGGGAGGGCCTTCTCTGTGGGGGCACCTACCCTCTGGAATCAGTTGCCCCCAGAGATAAGGAGAATCCAAGACCTTAGTGCCTTCCGTCGTGCCCTTAAAACCCACTTTTTCCAGCAAGCCGGGCTGGCTTAAGAAGAAATTTTAAATGTTTTAATTGGTTTGTATTTTTAATTTTGGGCCAAATTTATATATATTTTAATTGTTTTTAATATTTGTATTTCATGTTTTTTAATTCTGGCTGTACACCGCCCTGAGTCCTCAGGGAGAAGGGCGGTATATAAATTTAAAAATAAAATAAAATAAAATAAAATAAATAAAATAAAACTGAGGACACAGATAAACCTCCAGGGGTCTCAACGACTCCCTAAAAGGATGCAAATGACCAGCTGTCAGCAAGGAGTATCAATCCTTCCGTTCCCCACCATCCAGTCTGAGCTGAAGAAGCTTCTTGGATGAGAAGTGAAACGTCCTCAAAGAAAAAAATCAGAAAGTCCAGTTGCTCCTTGGAAAAAAAAAAAAGCTCCTTTGGGACAACCAGAATCTGGATGATTATGAGAATCTCCACAGAAATTTATGCCCAATCTCTCATCTTTTTCCACCAACTTTCCACTCCTTTGTGATCACTGTTGTTTTATTTCAACCCAACCTAAATGATTTTTTTGGGTCTTCTTCATCCCGAACGCCATCACTCTGCTAAATAAATAATTCCCTCAACACGGTCAAGCTATTTACTAAGTCTGCACTACTATTAATCTTCTCATCGTTCCCACCACCCATCTCCTCCCACTTATGACTGTTTGACTGTAACTTATTGCTGGTATCTTTAAGATTTATATTGATATTGTTTCCTGATTGCTTATTTGTTCCCTATGACTATCATTAAGAGTTGTACCTTATGATTCTTGATGAGTGTATCTTTTCTTTTTATATACTCTGAGAGCCTATGCACCAAAGACAAATTCCTTGTGTGTCCAATCACACTTGGCCAATAAAGAATTCTAATCTAATCTAATCTAATCTAATCTAATCTAATCTAATCTAATCTAAAGGAAGCCATTTTACCAAGAATTGGAATTTACTGGCGTTATTTTTGTGAGATTTGTTTTCTTGAGCTACTCCCGAAGGACACGTCTCCTAGGCAACCTCCTATGCCTCGCTGCATCTCAGTTTTTGTGCACCACAAAAGAAGGGATGGCCAAAAATCAATTGTTCTCCACCTTCACAATAATAGCAGTTCCTGACTGGTTGAGAGGGGTCTCTCTCTCTCTCTCTCTTTTTTAAAGGAGATTCATATTTGGAGGTTGGGCTATTTAAGCAAAGAGTAGTTTTGAAGAAGGGGCAGAGAACTGTAAATGTTCTTTCGAAGGACAGCAGAGAAGATTGTGGGTCGACTGGATGCAGGGATTTCTCTTGGTCGACACTAACCAGGATTCAAAGCCGTCACCCCTGACCACAGTCTCTGTAACTGTGATCCACTTTACTTAGTAAAGGTAAAGGTTCCCCTCGCGCATACGTGCTAATCGTTCCCGACTCTAGGAGGCGGTGCTCATCTCCGTTTCAAAGCCGAAGAGCCAGCACTGTCCGAAGACGTCTCCGTGGACATGTGGCCGGCATGACTCAACGCCAAAGGCGCACGGAACGCTGTTCCCTTCCCACCAAAGGTGGTCCCTGTTTTTCTACTTGCATTTCTTTTACGTGCTTTCGAACTGCTAGATTGGCAGAAGCTGGGAGAAGTAACGGGAGCTCACCCCATTATGCGGCACTGGGGATTCGAACTGCCGACCTTTCAATCAACAAGCTCAGCATCTTAGTCACTGAGCCACCGCGTCCCACTTTACTTAGCAGTGAAATATAAAAGGGATTGAGTCCTATTAGATCGTCCACTTCTCTGGTCTTGATCTGACTTCAAGGAGGATGATCTGTCTGGAATGATCCAGACAGTTCTCCTTGATGTCTCTTAACTCTGTTGGTACCCAAATCTCTACTTTTGGGCTCTTCCTGACATCATTTATTTATTAGTTGTGGGTACCGGGGGGTTTTAAAGAAGAGATTGGACAACCATTTGTCTGAGCAGGAGGGTGGACTAGAAAATCTTCAAGGTCCCTTCTGTTATTCTTTATTCTGTTTTATTTATTACATCTCTATGCTGCTGATAGATAGATAGATAGATAGATAGATAGATAGATAGATGGATGGATGGATGGATGGATGGATGGATGGATGGATGGATGGATGGACGGGTGGGTGGATGGATGGACGGACGGACGGACAGACAGACAGACAGACAGACAGACAGATAGATAGAATAACTTGTCACTTTGAATGTACACTATTTGGCATACATTAAAATGAAATTTCGTTGCATACAGCTCTCAAAGGGTCACCACCTCCAATATACACAACATAAACGTGACAAAATAAACAAACATACAAATACAAAATGATGCACATACCCACATATATTCTATGACACAGAGAAGCAGCTCCCCTACAAGGTGATTCTGGGTGGATTAAAAATTATATATACATATACATCATCCACCTCGCTTGCTATAAATTCACGTGTATCATATCCATGGCAATTTCCAGACACGGGGACTTTAACTCCCGTAATTCCCTAGATGGCATGGCCTTTGCTGAGAACAGATTGCTGGACTCGATGGGCCAAGATTCCGACCCATTAGACCAGGGATCAGCAACCTGGGGCTCTGGAGCCGCATGTGGCTCTTTCACCCTTCTGCTGCGGCTCCCTGTCACTCAAAATATGCGTCACAACTGCCAATGTGCAACACCCACCGGCACGCAATTTATTGAGCTTTTCAATCCCCGGTAGGCCAACCATGGATAAATCCCAAGAAAAGAAAAGTTTCAGAAGAAAACAGAACATTTAATTCAACTACGTATGCTAGTTTTGTGGCTGCTCAGGAAATAGTCAGGCACAGGAAAGGTTTTGTGGCTCCCGGTGTTTTCTTTTCTGTGGGAAACGAGTCCAAATGGCTCTTTGAGTATTTAAGGTTGCAGACCGCTGCATTAGACCTTGCTTACTGTATCTTTTTACAATTGCACCACAATCAAAGGTGGTTTCAGCCGGTTCGGGCAAACCGGTAGTGGCTACCTGTGGGTGGGGTGGGCCTGCCCAACCATCCGGGCGCAACGCCGTCCTATATCACTGTGTTTTTGATGCCACACACACGTGTGGACGGCATGCACAAGTGAACTGCCGTGTTTTGTGACGTCGAACGCATGCGATGGTCAAACCGGTTGCTACAGAATGGAATCCCACCTCTGACCACAATCTCTAGAAAGCAATTGGCATATCAATACATACAAGGCAAAATGTTGACGTATCTGTTCTTCTCCTTGTTTTCTTCTTTAGAGGCGGCTTCACAGGTGGCTTGGATCGGACATGCTGGGAGGGCCTGGAAGGACAGAGAGGATATAAATAACTTGGCTGCTACCCCTCTGCTAACCACGCCAAACATTAACCAATCAAACCAATCTTCATTAAGATTGAACCGGATGTTAATTTTAATCTGGTTTGCCAAACCGGTAGTTGCAAGGCCTGGTTGACTCTGCCCACCCCGCCCCTCCCCTCCCCGGAGTCGCCACACGGCCTGTTTTGGATGCCGCAGGGTCCATGTGGAGGCTCTGGGAGGGCAAAAAAATGGGCCTCCTGGAAGTCCAGAAAAGGGCCTGTTTCTGGCCTCCGGAGCCTGGGGAGGCCATTTTCACCCTCCTGGAGGTTTGAAGAAAGCCGCTGGAGCCTGGGGAGGGTGAAAAATAGGCCTACTGGAAGTTCCAGAAGTCCAGAAACTGGCCCATTTCCAGCCTCCTGAGGGCCTCCAGAGCATGGGGGAGGTCATTTTCACCTTCCTGGAGGCTCAAGGAAAACCTGGGGAGAGTGAAAACGCCCCCGCACAACCGCCTGTTGTGGTGCAGGAAACCAATTAGGCCATGTCCCCATGGCCACACCCACCCAGCAACTCAGCAGAGAACTAGTTGCTAAAATTTTTCAATTCCACCCCTGATTAAACCAATCTTCAAAAGAAAAAAAACAAGAAAGTCCAGTTGCTTCCTGAAAAAGCACCTTTGGGACAACCATGACCTGGATGACTGAGAATCTCTACAGACTATTAACCAACCAACCACTTTTACTGCTGTTTGACATCGCTTCTGTGGCAGCAGCCAAATTCACTGTAAACTCTCCTGTCAAAGGCATGGATAGAAAACCCTTGGGAGGACACCGAGTTGCCAATTCTGCAATCTTGGCACCATCCACCAGGGTGGATGGTAAGTTATACATTGTTTTAAATAAGTTATAAGTTTATAAATAAATTGTAACAAAATTATGTTGGAGACTATGATTTCTAGTCCTGCCGTAGGCATGAAAGCCGGCTGGGTGACTTTGGACCAATCAACTAGGAGATGGTGAGTTCTAGTCCCACCTTAGGCATAAAAGCCAATTGGGAGACTTTGGGCCAATCACCAGGAGACGGTGAGTTCTAGTCCCGTCTTATGCATGAAAGCCAGCTGGGTGACTTTGGCCCCATCACAAATTCAACCCTGTGATTCTATTATTCTTGCAAACAGATTTCAGTGAAGGAAGGGTTTTGGTGCTAACGTGCTCCACAAGGGGGCAGCAAAGCTTCCCTCTGGCCAACATTCAACTTTAGGAACAGAACTTGAAAACACAGGTAGTCCTCAGTGTGTGACGACCCGGGCGGACTTCAACTCCCAGAATTCAACCTTCAGTTCAGGAAGTTGAAGTCCACCCATCGACAAGCTGCTGTAGTTGAGAAACTCTGTATATTTATTTATTTTATTTTAATTATTTGTTTTAATAAAAATCAAAAAAATCCAATTTAAATTAAAAAAATCTGATTTTTTTTGATTTTTTAAAAAAAATCATTGATTTTTATCCACCCTGGGAGGGAGGGAGGGAGGAAAGAAGGAAGGGAAGGAGGAAGGAAGAGAAAGAAAAAGAAAGAAAGAAAAGGAAGGAAGGAAGGAAGGAAGGAAGGAGGAAAGAAAGAAAGAAAGAAAGAAAGAAAGAAAGAAAGAAAGAAAGAAAGAAAGAAAGAAAGAAAGAAAGAAAGAAAGAAAAAGAATTCTATGTAGAAGAAGAAAATCTAACTGGCATAAAATTAATTTCCACCATGATAGAATTTTTTTTTTCTTTTAAAATAAAAAAAACCTCCCCATTTCAAAACCCAGAAAGAATGACCGAGCGGTTGGAGGAGGGGAGGAGAAGTGAGGTCAAAAGTCAGCCAAGTACCCACACTGAATTCCTCGCGGAAGAGCTTGTTGTCGTCTGCCATTCGCCGGTTAATGTCCTCCTCCAGTTTATCCACAGGCAACGGCGGGTACTTCCGGTTGGTGCTGGGAGATCTGGCCAGCAGCGGCATGCTTTGCGGTTCTGCAGGACGGACAGATGGGAGAAAAGTGGTTCGGTTGAGGCGCCTGGAGGCTCAGCGGGCTGAGATGGTCAGCCAGTTCCAGGCCATTGATGCAATCCCACTGGAACGAGGCCCTCCGGCTCTTCGCCACCAGCGGCACTTCCCTCCAGCCTTCGCCCAAAGCCCCACACCAGGAGGCTGAAGCAGACCCCAAGTCTGAATTCCTGCCCCCCTCTGACCCGCACAAAAAGACCCCGAAGGGGGAGACTCTCTGCAGCAACACAAACGTTCATTGCACGTATCCGGTCCAGGAGCCGTAGTTTGAGGACCCCTGATTTAGTGCAATATAAAAAATGCAAATAAGTTTTCTGCGGACCACCAAAATTTTCTCACGGACCGGAAACTCTGGATTAGATAGATGAAACTCAACAGGTCTTTTCTGGTTTGGGGACCCCGACACAATATTAGAATGCCATGTTGGAAGAGGTCTAACTTGGCGGAAAGTCAGATTTAGGATTTTCGAGTTCCCGACACCGGAGAGAAGAAACGGTTAAGACTCACCAATGTCATCTGTCCGGCCATTGGACAAATGAAAGGAATTGGAGTGGCTCCCGGCCTGTTTGTGTTTTTTGAACCTATGAACAACAACAAAAAAATAATAATAATTGGGAAATCAGCAGTGGACTCGACATCCCGACAAAATTTAACGAAGGTAGTCCTTGACTTACAACCATTGGTTTTAGTGACGTTACAACAGCACTGGGGGGAAAAAAGTGACTTATAACCGTTTCCCACACTTACGACCTTCAGAGCAACCAGATGGTCATGTGACTGAAATTGAGACGCTTGGCAACTGATTCGTATTTATGACGAATGCAGTGTCCCTAGGGTCACGTGATTCCCTTTTTGGGGACTTTGTGACAAACGAAATTGTAAGACAATTGTCATCGCCTTACGACCATAATTGAGGCCAAAATCTCTGTTGCTAAGTGAGACATTTGTTAAGTGAGCTTTGACCCTTTTTGCGACCTTTCTGGCCACAACCGTTAGGTGATTCCTTGTGGTTGTTAAATGAATTCAGCTTCCCTGTTGACTTTGCTGGTCATGTCACAGACGTTGACCACATGACCCCAGGACGTTGCAACCGTCATAAATATGAGTCAGCTGCCAGCATCTGAACTTTGATCACGGCGATGCTGCAACGGTCATAAGTGTGAGAAACGATCATAAATCGCTTTTTTTAGCGCCATTGCAACTTTGAAAAGTCACTAAATGAACTATTATAAGTCAAGGACTATGTATATACATACAAACATACATACATACATACATACGTGTGTGTGTGTTTTCCTTTCTTTATACCTTTTCACACTTTTATCCCTATTCTCTATTTATTCTTTATCTTTTCTCTGTTGGCTTATGTTGTTCTTTTAAGGTATATGCTTTGCAAAATGTAATAAAATTACTGGACACTGTTAAGAAATGATAATTACCTAATTTGTTAGGTTGGCAATATATAAACCCTCAATATAGCTTTAAGACTGTATTGCTGTATTGCATCATACTGTGTCCTGATTGGTTAGTTCTGTAGCCAATGTCCTTAAGAGGGAGCTTGAAACATGGTTTGTTTCTCTTTGCTGATCATTACTGCTCTTTGCTGATCATTGCTGCTCTTTGCTGTGTTTGCTATTGTTTGCAACTGTTTATTGTGTATGACTACGACGACTGGTAAGAAGACTTTGTATATTGGAATATCCCTGGACTATTGTTTTACTATCTACTGCTTTATCTGTGTATGACCTGGACTGTTTATTGGACTGTGCCTTATTCCTATTTCCTAAAAGTAAACACAACTCAGTGTATCTGTGTGTTGGCTGAGATTATTCCCAACTGCTCTCATGTGCACACCCTTGCTACTCAAGGGTTGCTCTGCAAATTCCTTAACAGACACGGAAGAGTAATATGCTACAGTTGGATTCTGCACACATTCATGCCAGCAACACGAGGCAACGCCTGGCATAAGAACAAACCCAGATCAAAAGAAGGGTTGCAAAGGGACAGAGAGAAATTAAAATTATACGAATAAAACAAGGCAACTTTCTGAATATTTAAGAGTCAGGCTCAATAATTTCCTCATAAACCGATCTTCAAAGCAAGAGGTTCTCGATGAAGCGTGACCTCGCATAATTGCGTGTTATCAAAATGCAGCAACCGGCACATCCTCATTTAAATATTCATGAACCCGTGAGTTTGTACAACTTTGAAATGGCACCATTTCCAGGCCCAACAGTTAATTCTAAAAACCAGGGTATCCGCTCCTCGGAAAACGCTGCAAGAGATCGACGAAAATACAATACTTAAAAATACAGGTAGTCCTCGTTTAATGACTGCTCGTCTTCAGTTTAACGACTGTTCATTGCACAGCTCGTTTAATGGCTGTCCAAGGTTACAACGGCACCAGAAAATGTAACTTATGGCCGGATTTTTTCAGAGTTACGACCTTTGCAGCATCCCCATGAATCATGTCATCAACATTTGGATGCTTGGCAAGCGGTTCATATTTATGACGGGTTGCAGCATCCCGGTGTGTGTGTATGTGTGTGTGTGTGTGTGTGTGTGTGTGTGTGTGTGTGTGTGTGTGTACGCGATCCCCTTTTGCGACTTTTTGACAAACCAAATCAACAGGGATGTTCTGCCCCAGCTATGGACCCCAAAGAACGCAGCACACACAAAATCTATACAAAGCTTATTTTACTCAAATAACTCAGTCTTTATCAACCAAAGGCTGTTAATAAACTGTCTTAACAGCCTAACAGAATTCTAAGATAAGGTAATCACAGTCTTACTAGAGTTGGCAGAAAGCCCAGAAACAATTTTGCAGAGAATCCCAACGCGAAGGAGATTGAACTAAAGTTGTTCCCTACAGCTTGCTGCAAGTGGTGTTCCTCCTTAAATAGGCTAAGGGAGTGGCCAATTAGCCCCAAGCCTTACTCTCGAGGAGACCTCCTCCTGAGGAGCCACTCCTGCCTTTTGGCAGCTCTGCGCGCTCGTGCATCGAGAAGAGGCTCCTCCTCTTCTTCCTCTTCACTTAAAGGAGCTTCTGGAGGTTCTGAAGGCCCTGGCTGAATCCCTGCCTCTGGCACCACATCTTCTCCAGCCTCCTCACTGTCCGACTCGGGCGCCAGCTGCACAGGCTGTTGGTGCAGCACCACACCAGCCTCCTCGTCGTCGGAATCAGCTACGATCTGCACAGGCCGCTGACGGGCCACAACAGGGGAAAGCCGGATTCACTTAACAACCCGGGTTACTAATTTACCAACTGCGGTGATTCACTTTAACAACGGTGGCAAGGAAAGTTGTAAAACGGGGGCAAAACGCACTGAACCAACATCTCGCTCAACCACAGGAATTCTGGGCTCAGTTGCAGTCGTTGTTCCCGGTAGCTTTTGTTGCAAAAGTTGGAAGGAGATGCATTTTATTTTATTTTATTTGCGTTAGGGTGCACCCTGGCAAGATAACACTGCAGTGGCTGCGGTCACGTTTGACAGCCCGTGGAGGAAATGGTCCCCATGCGGTAGGTTTTGTTCCTCAAAACAAACGAGGCCTCGAATCAAACTTGCCTGTGCTGATTTTACACACACACACAAAAAAGTGTCTCCACCCTTCCTGTCAGTGGGTGGTTTTGTTCTGCAGCCCATTTTTTTTTTTTAAATCCAGGTTTCGGTGGGTGGATCATTTCAGATGACAGCAAAATTATCCATTTCGCGTGCTTCTCGCAATCTGTTTCCTGGTTCGAGTGGGAACCTTTTTATTCCTGGATTCTTACGTAATTTGCAAGTTATAGAATAGAATAGAATAGAATAGAATAGAATAGAATAGAATAGAATAGAATAGAATAGAATAGAATAGAATAGAATAACAGAGTTGGAAGGGACCTTGGAGGTCTTCTAGTCCAACCCCCTGCTTAGGCAGGAAACCCTACACCACTCCAGACAAAATGGTTATCCAACCTCTTCTTAAAAACTTCCAGTGTTGGAGCACACACAACTTCTGGAGGCAAGTTGTTCCACTGGTTAATTGTTCTAACTGTCAGGAAATTCCTCCTTAGTTCTAGGTTGCTTCTCTCCTTGATTGGTTTCCACCCATTGCTGCTTGTCCTGCCTTCAGGTGCTTTGGAGAATAGCTTGATTCCCTCTTCTTCGTGGCAACCCCTGAGATGTTGGAAGACTTCTGTCATGTCACCCCTAGTCCTTCTCTTCGTTAGACTTGACAAACCCAGTTCCTGCAACCATTCTTCATATGTTTTAGCTTCCAGGCCCCTAACCATCCTTGTTGCACTTTTCTGCACTCTTTCTAGAGTCTCCACATCTTTTTTACATCATGGCGACCAAAACTGAATGCAGGATTCCAAGTGTGGCCTTACCAAGGCCTTATAAAGTGGTATTAACACTTCACGTGATCTTGATTCTATCCCTCTGTTTATGCAGCCCAGAACTGTGTTGGCTTTTTTGGCAGCTGCTGCACACGACTGGCTCCTATTTAAATGGTTGGACTCCAAAATCCCTCTCGCAGTCATCACTATTGAGCAAGGTACCACCTAGACTGTACCTGTGCATTTTGCTTTTCTTGCCTAAATGGAGAACCTTGCTTTTTTCACCATTGAATTTCATTTTGTTAGATAGCGCCCAAGGTTCAAGTCTATTTTCAATCTCTTCCTCCCCTCCCGTCACACACTTCTTTTCACGCGCCTATTGCTTTACACCTACAAGATGACCAGGGACTTTTGTCCCCTGATGACGTCAACATTATTTTTGGAGCTGAAGAATGCGAGAGGGAGGGAGGGAGGGAGGGAGGGAGGGGGGGGGAGAGAGAGAGAGAGAGAGAGAGAGAGAGAGAGAGAGAGAGAGAGAAGTTAAACTTCATCTCTTAAAAATAACCTTTTCTGCATTTCTTGGGAGCGTAGCCCTGTGTTAAAAAAAACCACGGAAACCTGAATCTATACACTCACAGACAAGCCAAGGCTTGTTGGTAGGAAAAACCCAAATTGTTATTATTACGGTTCGTTGCAGAGTCAACCAGCTGTTCAGACTGGATTTGGCATTTTTTGTCTACCTCTGGAGTCCCTCCCGAGGACGTGGGATGAACAGATGTTGATGTTTGGCGGTGTTAAGAAATATCGTTGCGGACTATAAGGTTTTCCCAAGCAAAGTTGCCCTTTTTTGCAATTGCACCTGGGAGGAAAAGGACGTGTTAGGGAGATGTTTAGGCTGGATTCGGCATCGCTAGCCACCTCTGTGGAAGTCCTTCCCAAGGAACCTGAGATAGACAGATGTGGATGTTTGATGGCGTTACAAATTTCGTCGCACGATGGAAGCTGTTCCGAGCTCTCTGGGCACATTGAGAATGTATCTGCTGAATGTAACTCCGCACTGGTGACAAGAAGGGCATCCGGCCAGTTAACACTCAGTTGGCCAGACGCCACTTTGCAAGGGATTATGGGGTTGTTAAAAGGGGATGATGCTGGAAGTTGTTCCGAGCAAAGCTGCCTTTTGCAACTGACTGGTTTTTGTCAATGTCGATGGTGTTCCAGTGGTGCTCCAGATGTTTTGGGATTGCACCCAAGGTGCCTATGACTATCGGTGCTACCTTTGCTTTCTTTGTGCCGTAGTTGTTTCACTTCTATTTTGCAAGTCTTTGTATTTGGTTATCTTCTCCAAATACAGTTTGGAGATCTTCTCCAAATACTTTCTTCTCATATTGCTTCATTGCAGTCAGCTAGACGTTCAGGCCAGAATTGGCATTTTTATCCATCTATCGAGTCCTTCTTAATAACCTGGGATAGGCAGATGTTACTGTTTGATGGTGTTAAAAGTAGCATGGCAGGATGTAAGCTATGCCGAGTAAAGGTGCCTTTTGCAATTGACCGATGAGGGTTTTGTCAACGCCGACGGTATTCAAGTGATGTTTCGGTTGTTTAGGGATTGCATCCAAGGTACCTATTTTTTATTATTATTATTTGGTTAATCTTTAGTGAGATTCACAGCCTTTGAGGCTGGTTAATAGCTCAGCAGCTCGAGTCCTAACCAAGGACCTAGGAACTGTTAAGGTATCGTCGGAGGATGTAAGCTGTTCCGAGTAAGGTGGTTTTTTGTAGAGTCAAAATGTTCAAGTCCGGCAAATTTAGAATTTCTAAATAGCGGGGTAGCCCTTTGGGTATTGCTCCAAGGGCTCCAATTACAATCGGGACAACACACGATTTCTTTTTCCACAGTCACTCAACTTCAATTTGCAAGTCCTGGTACTTTGTGATTTTTTTCTTGCTGCTTATCTTCAATCCGTGCATCACCAGGTATTGCAATGTCAATGAAGCATACTTTTTTCTTTTCAACTATTGTTATGTCAGGTGTGTTGTGGACCACGTGCCTGTCAGTCTGAATCCTAAAGTCCCACAAGATCTTGAGTTTCTCATTCTCTAACACTTTCTCAACCTGATGTTCCCAGTGGTTTTTGCTGTACTCAAATCCAAACTTCTGGCACAATTTCCAGTGAATGGTTTTAGCAACACGGTCATGGTGTTGTAGGTAGTCAGTTTGTGAAATTTTGCTGCACCCGCTGATCAGGTGGTCGACTGTCTCATCTTTCTCATTGCAGAGGCGGCATTTGCTGTTGGTGGTAACATGTTGAATTTTTGCCTTCATGCAGTTTGTGGCTAGGGCTTGTTCTTGAGCTGCCAAAATAAAGCTTTCAGTTTCTTTTTTCAGTACTCCTGATCTTAACCAGTTCCAAGTTAGTTTCTGGTCAGCTTTGCCTTCAATACTTTTCAAGTATTGGCCATGCAGAGCTTTGTGTTTCCAATTTTCAGCTCGCTGCTCAATTACTTTATTACTATTATTATTATTATTATTATTATTATTATTATTATTATTATTAAATTTATACGCCATTCATCTCTCTTTGGCTTTGAACTGGAGATGAGCACCGCCGCCTAGAGTCGGGAACGACTAGCACATATGTGAGAGGGGAACTTTTACCTTTACCCATAAGAAATAAGTAAATAAATATACTGGGCAGGCAGAAGCACATTTTAGATTGATTCTTGTGTATTTTTTCAATCGTCTCTCGCAGCCCTACGGGGAAGGCATGCTAATGCAATGCAAACGGGAAGGTGAAGAGGAGAAAGTCACTCACCTTAACATGTAGAGGACAATAATAATAAATACTATGATGAGCAAGGAGGAGAGGGCCACCATTACAGCGATGATGGGTGTCTCATCTGGAAGGGAGAGAGAAAACACGAGAGATTTCAGGTGATGGGTTTTGGCTCGGCAAATGGCGACAGTAAGCATTTCAAAGCTTCTCCATTCGGTCCCCAAAAGGTAGCTGAACGTTGGGAGGTGAACAGAAGAACTCTGAAGTGGATTTGAAATGAAAAGCCAATTTTTACTCCCACCTGTAAAGGCTGGGTGACTTTGGGTCAATCACTAGGAGATGGTGAGTTCTCCAAGGTTCTTTGGAGGTTTCCTTTCCTGAGGGGAGTAGAAAGCCATTTTATCAGTGTCTTAAGTGTGATATTCTTCATTTGTTTCAATTGATATGGCCGCCCACCTCACGTTCATGACTCTGGGTAGCTGGCAGTGGGGAAAGGAGAAAAATAGAAGGTAGCGACAATGGGGACCAGGATTTATGTTGCTAAGCAAGGCTGTTGTTAAAGTGAATCACGCCCAAGGTTATGGCTACGTTTGCCGTTTCGTTAAGCGAATCACGGCAGTTGTTAAGTGAATGATTTGATTCTTAAGTGAATTTGGGTTCCATGATTGACATTGTTTCTCAGAAGCCAGCTCTCTTCCTTTCCTTTCCTTTCCTTCTTCCTTCTCTCTTCCTTTCCTTTCCTTTCCTTTCCTTCCCTTCTTCCTTCTCTCTTCATTTCCTTTCCTTTCCTTCTTGATTCTCTCTTCCTTTCCTTTCCTTCTTCCTTCTCTCTTCCTTTCCTTTCCTTCCCTTCCCTCTTCCTTTCCTTTCCTTTCCTCTTTCTCCTTTCCTTCTTCCTTCTTTCCTTTCCTTTCCTTTCCTTTCCTTTCCTTTCCTTTCCTTTCCTTTCCTTTCCTTTCCTTTCCTTTCCTTCCTTTCCTTTCCTTTCCTTCCCTTCCCTTCCTTCCCTTCCCTTCCCTTCCCTTCCTTTCCTTCCCTTCCTTTTTTCCTCCCTTTCTCTTTCCTCTCCTCCATTGTTTCTCGGAAGCCAGCTTGCTGGATAATTCTGGGAGTTGAAGTCCACAAGTCTTAAAGCTGCCAAGTTTGAATACCTCTGTTTTAACAGAACATTTAGATTCAAGGCCAGCCGATACTTAACATGCTGACACCCTACAATAAAATTGTTCTGAGCGTGTTTTGAGCAGCTGAGAGCAGGCTTTTCTATGTGTGTGTGTGTGTGTGTGTGTGTGTGGGTTTGGTTTTGTGTTTTTGCAAAAAGACATCCCTCCCTTTTCCCCCAAAAAGAAAGAAACGGAGGGGGGGGGAAGCAAGCCTAAAGGATTGGCACCAAAAGGGCAGTGCCCTTTGAAAGAGGCAACAGATTTACAAATGAACTGCTGGCTGGCTTGGAAAACTGAGGGCTTTGGACCATGCCCTGTGTCCTCGGTCACAGGGCAAGGGGAGGGGAGGGGAGGGGAGAGGAGGGGAAAGGACATGGCAGCAGGCGGAAACCTACACAAAATAAACCAGTTGGAAACCCCTGCTTTCTGCTCCCTGCCTGCGGTTAACGGGCAACTGTGAAGGAAGAGAAGAAAAAAGAAAATAAAAGGGAAGAAAGGGAAGGGAAAGAAGAAGAGGGGGGAGGGGAGGGGAGGAAAGGGGAAAGGAAAGAGAAAGGGAGGAAAGAAAGGAAACGAAAGAAAAGGGGGAGGAGGGAAAGAAAGGAAAGGAAGAGAGGAAGAAGGGAAGGAAAGGAGAGGAAGAGAGAAGGAAGAAGGAAAGGAAAGGAAAGGAAAGGAAAGGAAAGGAAAGGGGGAGGAGGGAGGGGAGGAAAGAGAAAGAGAAAGAGAAAGGGAAGAAAGAAGGAAGGGAGCAGGGGAGGAAAGGAAAGAAAAAGAGAAAGGGAGGAAAGAAGGAAAGGAGAAAGGAGGGAAGGGGATGGGGAAAGGACAGAAAGAAAAGAAAAAGGAAGGGAAGGGAAGGGAAGGAAAGGAAAGAAAAGGAAGAGAGAAGGAAGAAGAAAGAAAAGGAAAGGAGAAAGGAAAGGAAAGGAAAGGAGAGGAAGGAAAGGAATGAAAGGAAAGGAAAGGAGAAAGGAAAGGAAAGGAAGAGAGAAGGAAGAAGGAAAGGAGAAAGGAAAGGAAGAGGGAAGGGAAGGGAAGGGAAGGGAAGGGAAGGGAAGGAAAGGAAAGGAAAGGAAAGGAAAGGAAAGGAAAGGAAAGGAAAGGAAAGGAAAGGAAAGGAAAGAGAGCTGGCTTCTGAGAAACAATGTCAATCATGGAACCCAAATTCACTTAAGAACCGAATCATTCACTTAACAACTGCCGCGATTTGCTTAACGAAACAGCAAACGTAGCCATAACCTTGGGCGTGACTCACTTTAACAACGGCCTTGCTTAGCAACATAAATCCTGGTCCCCATTGTCGCTACCTTCTATTTTTCTCCTTCCCCACTGCCAGCTACCCAGAGTCATGAACGTGAGGTGGGCGGCCATATCAATTGAAACAAATGAAGACTATCACACTTAAGACCCTGATAAAATGGCTTTCTACTCCCCTCAGGAAAGGAAACCTCCAAAGAACCTTGTGGTTTCAGTCACACATAATACAGTAGTCCTCCACTTACGATAATTCGCTTAGTGAACATTCAAAGTTACAATGGCACTTTGGGCCGTTTTTCCACATTTATGACCCCTCAGTTACGTGATTTACATTCGGATGCTTGACGACCGACTCACATTTATGACGGTCGCAGTGTCTCGGAGTCACGTGACCCCCTTAGGCGACCTTCCGATAAAGCAAAGTCAGTGCGGGAAGCCAGATTCACTTAACAACCGTGTTACTAATTTAACACCTGCGGCGATTTGCTTAACGAACGCGGCAGGAAAGGTCGTAAAGTGGGGCAAAACTCACTTGACAAATGTCTCAATTAGCAATCTACATTCTGGGCTCAATTGCAGTCGTAAGTTGAGGGCAACACAAGGGATAAAAAAAATAGAACCTTTGACCGAAAGATTTACAATATATTTGCCAAAGTGGTGCTTTGAGAGCTTACCTCGCCGAGGGTCTGAGTCACCTGAATAAATTCAAAAAGAAAAAAAAAATAATTAGAATAATTTCCCATGATGGCTAATCAAACCAGGATTAACTTGAGGGGAAGGCCTAAAAAAGCAGCAATTTGGTATTCAGCTTTTCTCTTATTTGTAGAGCTGAAGGATGAGAGTCTTCTAGCGCGGAGAGTCAAACTCATTTAGTGACCGACAGAAGTTACAACGGCACTTAAAAAAGTGTCTTAGGACCATTTTTCACATCTACAACCATTGCACCATCTCGACGATCCTGAAATTCAGACACTCGGCAGCTGACTCGTATTTATGACGGTTGCAGTGTCCCGGGGGTGTGTGTGTGTCACGTGATCCCCCTTTGCGACCTTTTGACAAGCAAAGTCAATGGGGAAGCCAGGTTTACTTAACAACCGTGTCGCTAACTGAACAACGGGAGTGATTCACTTAACAAGTGCAGCAAGAAAAGGTCGTAAAACTGGGGAAATTTTACTTAACCAATGTCTCGCTTAACAACAACCAAAATGTTTTTTGGCTCAATGGTGGTCATAAGTCAAGGATGGCTTGATTCAACTCTTCCTTTTTGCAATTTTTCCCTCCCGATTTCGATCTTCCTTGAAAGGCAGCAAACCAGATGTTAATGTGAGAAGGGCGGTATATAAATTTGAAATAAAATAAAATAAAATAAAAATAAAATGTGTCAATCAATTCAATTTCTCCTTTTTAAACGGTCACGCTCTCCTTGAAATTAAAATATGGGCCACTGTTTTTAGATGCATTTTTCTGGCTGATCATCTTTCTCAGATTTGCACGTCTTTTTTTTTTGCAAGGGCTACATAATCCGTTGTGTTAACCGCCTGCAGTAACTCTTTAAGATCTTTCTCCTAGTAAGTCCCCACCGCTATCTCAAAACCGCAGTAGATATGAAATTAACACTTCTCTGCCCCCAGGTTAAATGGAACAGGATTATCTGCCGGAAAATATTATCTGGAAATTCTTTTGAAACCCCTTGCGGTTTCTTCACTAGCATAAATAGTTGCCACAACTCAGCAAATGTGTGTGACTTATCTAACTCAAGCACATTTATCTACTAAGAAAAATACAGCAATCCCAATCTTTGAAATATCTTCATTAGTTTTACACCTGTCCATGTACAGCAGTGGCCAAAATTGTGGAAACCTTTTGGGAAAAGTGTATTTCCGAAATACACTTTTTCTTCGAGTAGTACCGTAAAATTATAGATCAATGGAAAGATAATTTAATCAAGAATGTAATGCAGTAATTTTTAGGAAGGATTTGCTGTTAGAAGAGCAGTTACGGTATAAAGAAGAAAAGTGAAACACGTAGCAAAAACAAGATATACAAAAATGATCACCCTAGAAAAAATGAGATATACAAAAATGATCACCCTGTCTGTTAATACTTTGTTGGGTAACCTTTAGCATGAATTATGGCCTTACAATGTCTTCCCAGTCTTTTAGTTCTGCAGTTGTTTATAATGTGAAACCAAGATTGAAGGATTGCTTCTATTAACTGGGTTTTATTGCTGGGTCGCTTCTGACTAACAAGTTTCTTTAGTCGGCTCCATAGATTTTTCACTGGGCTATTCCCAGGCCATTCATTCCAGCAGTGGAATAGGATTATCTTGAAACTCCCCCCCCCCCAAAAAAAAGTGGTGTTATTAGCCATCAAACCTCAAAAATACACTTTTCCCAAAAGGTTTCCACAATTTTGCCCACTACTGTATCTCCTGGGCTTATTATTTAAAATTGGAAGAACGAAGGAAATTTAATATATCAAATTAAGGAGGTGACAATAGAATTCCTGTTGGAATTCCAATTAAAAAAATCGGTATGGAAAGTCCTCAACTTATGACAACGGAGGCCCAAAATTGCGTTGCTCAGCGAGATGTTTGTTAAGTGAGTTTTTGCCCTATTTTACGACCTTTCTTGCCACTGTTGTTAAGCGAAACTTAACAACTTCTTAATTTAGTAAGACAGTTAAGTGAACCCGGCTTCCCCCTTGACTTTGCTTGTCAGATAGTCGCCAAAGGGGAATCACGTGACCCCAGGACACTGCAACCGTCATAAGTATGAGTCAGTTGCCAACTATTTGAATTTTTATCATGTGACCATGGAGGATGCTGCAATGGTCATAAGTGGGGGAAACAGTCATGATTCACTTTTTTTCAGTGCCGTCGTAACTTTGAACAATCACTAAGCGAACTGTTGTAAGTCGAGGACTAAATGTTTCTGTGGTTTCTAGCAAACATTTATGATTACAAAAGAAACTTTATAGAAGTATGAAATCTCATTTCCCCCCACTCCTTCTGTAGCCATTCCTGGGAATTTGCCCTGCCCTTGCTTGTGGCAATCAAAATGCCCCCAAGATCAAAAGATATAATATTGGTTTTAGAAGGACAAAGTTTTAAAAGGACAAGAATTTCTCAATCAAACAGTAAGGGAATTTTTTTTAAAAAAAATATATACAGCAAAATGTGCTTACCGGTATGTCCTGTGATCTCAGCTATAAATAGAAAGCACACAAATAGAGCATTTATAAATGATCTCCAAAATTCAACATCATTTCTCCAGTCTTTTACGGCTCTCTATAAACTGTCTTCAGATACTCCCTTGTTGATGCAGTACTTTCTTGCATTGATGAATGTTGCAGTTCTTTCCATGACTTTAACACTGTGACTCTGAGTTCTAGTCCTGCCTTAGGCGCAAAAGCCCATTGGGTGACTTTGGGCCAATCACTGGGAGACAGTGAGTTCTAGTCCCGCCTTAGGCGCAAAAGCCGGCTGGGTGACTTTGGGCCAATCACTGGGAGGCGGTGAGTTCTAGTCCTGCCTTAGGCGCAAAAGCCCACTGGGTGACTTTGGGCCAATCACTGGGAGACAGTGAGTTCTAGTACTGCCTTAGGCACAAAAGCCGGCTGGGTGACTTTGGGCCAATCACTGGGAGACAGTGAGTTCCAGTCCTGCCTTAGGCGCAAAAGCCCACTGGGTGACTTTGGGCCAATCACTGGGAGACAGTGAGTTCTAGTACTGCCTTAGGCACAAAAGCCGGCTGGGTGACTTTGGGCCAATCACTGGGAGACAGTGAGTTCTAGTCCTGCCTTAGGCGCAAAAGCCCACTGGGTGACTTTGGGCCAATCACTGGGAGACAGTGAGTTCTAGTACTGCCTTAGGCACAAAAGCCGGCTGGGTGACTTTGGGCCAATCACTGGGAGACGGTGAGTTCTAGTCCCGCCTTAGGCAGAAAAGCCCACTGGGTGACTTTGGGCCAATCACCGGGAGACGGTGAGTTCTAGTACTGCCTTAGGCACAAAAGCTGGCTGGGTGACTTTGGGCCAATCACCGGGAGACGGTGAGTTCTAGTCCCGCCTTAGATAGGTAGGTAGGTAGGTAGATGATAGATAGATGATACATAGGGAGAGAGAGAGAGACAAATAGACAGACATAGATAGGGAGAGAGAGAGAGAGAGATAGACAGACAGAGAGATAGACAGACATAGATGGATAGAGAGATAGAGATAGATAGGTAGATGGATGGATGGATGGATAGGTGGATGGGTGGGTGGGTAGGTAGGTAGGTAGGTAGGTAGACAGACTGACAGACAAATAGACAGACATAGATGGATAGAGATAGATGATAGCTAGATAAGATAGATAGATAGATAGATAGATAGATAGATAGATAGAGAGAGAGAGAGAGAGAGAGACACCAACAGACAAACAGACAAACAGACAGACATAGATGGATAGAGATAGATGATAGATAGGTAGATAGAGACAGAGACAAAGACAGACAAATAGACAGACATAGATGGGGAGACAGAGATAGAGACAGACAGACAGACATAGACAGATACAGAGATAGAGATAGATAGATAGATGGATAGATAGAGATAGATAGAGACAGAGACAGAGACAAACAGACAGACAAATAGACAGATATAGATGGAGAGAGAGAGAGAGAGAAAGACTGACAGATGGACAGCCATATAAAGATAGACAGACAAACAGGTAGATAAGATAGAGATAGATATTAAATATAATAAACTTAGTAAATAAGGGATTCCATACTTGCGGTGTTGAAGGCTTGCGAAGTCGCTAGTGCACTTGTGAAGTTGGCCTCCACCGTCGTCAACGTTTTATCCGTCGCGGTGACATTGGGAGGAGATTCTGTGGCATTCGGTGGAAGGGCGGTGGGCCCAGATGTGGGCCGCAGAGTCTTGTGTGAAGTCGTGGCCACGCCCACGCTGGGCACAGTGACAGTGGCGTTGGTGGTTGTGGCTTCCGGCACTTTCGGAGGCGGGTGGCTTTGTGCCACGGTCGGTGCCACGCCCGGTGACGTGGTCGGCCTCTTCATCGAAGTGGTGGGCTTTGCACTAGTCGCCTGCGTGGTGGCAGTTTTCGCTAAACTGGTGGTGGGCAAGGGACTCTCCGTCGACGGATGTACTAGGCAGAACGGAACAAACAAACAAACAAACAAAAAAAGACATTTTTAAGCTATGCTGCTTTCCGGAGAGAATCTTATTCTCTCCTGCAACGCATAAAGATTTCTTTTAAGGAACTGAAGTAAATGTATTGTCAGGAAATCAACAGTCACTAGGCCAGGGCTCTGCAACCTTAAACACTCAAAGAGCCACTTGGACTTGTTTCCCACAGAAAAGAAAACACCGGGAGCCACAAAAACTCTTCCCATGCCTGACTATTTCTCGAGCGGCCACAAAACTAGCATATGTAGTTGAATTAAACGTTCTGTTTTCTTCTGAAACTTTTCTTTTCTTGGATTTATCCATGGTTGCGACCGTCCAAAGTTACAACGACACTGAACGGCATTTTTCACACACTGACGGCCGTTGCGGCATCCCCCGCGGTCACACGATTTACATTTGGATGCTCGACAACAACTGACTCGCATTTATGACGGTTGCAGTGTCCCCGGGAGACGGGCGGTGTCATGCCCTTTGGCGACCTTCTGACCAGCGAAGTCCACGGGGAAGCCAGGTTCACTTAACAACCGTGTTACTAATTTAAGAACCGCAGGAGTTCACTCAGTGGTGATATGTAAAATTTGTTACTACCGGTTCTGTGGGCGTGGCGTGGGGGGAGGTGGGGTGTAATATGACTGAGTGGGCGTGGCCAACTTTTTTTTTTTTTTAACTTTTAAAACCATTTTTTCTACAACCTCTTCGGCTGAGGAGGTTGTAAAAAAATGCTTTTAAAAGCCTCTGACGATCCCAGATGATTTGCCTGATCGGCAGAGGCTTTCTTTTTTTTTTTTTAAAGCCTCTGACGATCCCAGCTGACTTGCCTGATCGGCAGAGGCTTTCTTTTTTTTAAAAAAAGCCTCTGACGATCCCAGCTGACTTGCCTGATCGGCAGAAGCTTTTTCTTTTTTTAAAGCCTCCGACGATTCCAGCTGACTTGCCTGATCGGTTTTCTATAACCTCTTCGGCCGAAGAGGTTGTAGAAAAAAATGCTTTTAAAAGCCTCTGAAGATCCCAGCTGAGCCGCGCGATCATCAAAGGCTTTTTTTTTTTAACTTTTAAAAGCATTTTTTTGGCCAAAGAGGTTGTAGAACAAATGCTTTTAAAAATAATTTTAAAAAGCCTCTGATGATTGCACGGCTCAGCTGGGCAATGGGGGGAGGGCAGGGATTTTTGCTACCGGTTCTCCGAACCACTCGCCTCCATCGCTACCGGTTCGGGCGATCCGGTCCGAACCGGGAACATTTCACCCCTGGATTCACTTAACAAACGCGGCGAGAAAGAAGTCGTCAAATGGAGCAAACTCACTTTAAGAAATTTCTCGCTCAACAACCTACATTTTGGGCTCAGTTGTGGTCGTATGTGGAGGACTACCAGCAGTAGAAAGGCAAAGATACTGGCATTAAATAAAAGCGTATCAACGGTCAAGGATAGACATATATGTCTAAAGAGATTTTGTCATGTCTGCATTGAGCCAGTCTCCTGAAAAACTGACAGGTAACTCACCTGAAGTTATATTGGCAACACCAAGGTATGTTAAGCAGCTGCTGAATAGGATAACAAGGAAGCATATACCCATATTGGCCTGAAAAACAAAAACACAATCTTTTGTTAGTGATCCGTGGTTGCATTAAGCAATGTATTTTGTCCGACGCACACCACCTTTGCAAATGAACGTTTTTCTTCGGTTAAATAATATTAATTTCATATTAATAAATAGTATTACTATGCATTCATAAGAATATTTCTTAATAGTTGTCCAAGTGGATAACCGAGGGAACCCAGAGCTCTTCATCGGAGTATAAACAAATGTTCTTATTTGGTAACATTTATTCTCCAAAATTCATCGCCTGGAGGCGGCTGTTTCCCAATCTTTACATAAGTAGCTAAACTATTTCCCAATTTCTATCATCAGGTGCCAAAATTATTTTCACTCCAACAATCTACTCGCTAAAAACAAAAAAACCAACCAACCCATGATTATAGGTGGAGAAGGAAGGCAAAGATGTTACATTAAAAATAGGAACTTTATGCCGATACGGGAAGTCCTCAATTTACGACAGTCCATTTAGTGACCGTTCAAAGTTACAATGTCTCTGAAAAAAGTGACTTATGACCGGGGGCGTGAAATCCAGCAGGTTCTGACAGGTTCTTTGAGAACTGGCAGCAGAAATTTTGAGTAGTTCAGAAAACCGGCAAATACCACCTCTGGCTGGCCCCAGAGTGGGGTGGGAATGGAGATTTTGCAGTATCCTTCCTCTGGAGTGGGGAGGGAATGGGGATTTCTTGGGGAATCTTCCCCTGCCAGGCCCACCAAGCCACCACCACACCACACCCACCAAGCCACACCCACAGAACCAACCAAGAGGTTGTAGAAAAAATGCTTTTAAAAGTAAAAAAAAACAGCCTCTGATGATCGCACGGCTCACCTGGGCATGGAGGGGGGGGCAGGGATTTTTGCTACCGGTTCTCCGAACCACCCGCCGCCATCGCTACCGGATCAGGTGATCCGGTCCGAACCGGGAGCATTTCACCCCTGTGTTGGATGTATAGTCAGAATCTACGTCCCCTTTATGAGCAAGAAAAAAATGGAGTATAAGATTCTCAAAGCGTCTTGCGCTAAAGGGATTTTTTCCTAACAAAAGCCCCAAAAAATAAATATTACAGTTCTTTGCGATACTTATTGTATGCATTGCTAAATCAGTAGAGATCACAAAGCACCTGATCCAATAAATAAAAAATCTTTAATTGGTAAGGCATCCACAATAAAGAAATCAAAACAACCCCCCATAATAATCAAAGTTAAGCACAATATAAAGATAAATCATAACGACAATGTAGGCAGTCCTTGAGTTACAACTGCAATTGAACCCAAAATTTCCACTGCTATGCAAGTTGGGTGCATTTTGCCTCATTTTTAGAACCTTTCTTGCCACTGTTGTTAAGTGAATCACTGCAGTTGTTCAGTTAGTAACACCGTTGTTAAGTGAATCTGGCTTCCCCCTTGATTTTGCTCGTCAGACGGTTGCGATTCCGAGACACTGTAACTGTCATAAATATGAGTTGCTCAGCATCTTAATTTTATTTATTTTTTTAAATAGTCTTTATTAAACATTTTTCACCTTTAAAAAAAAAACCAAGAGAAAACAAGACAAACATAACAATGTAGTCGTTTTACAGCTTTCCGTATCAACATAGATGTTCTGTTTTTATAATTCGTACTTCTACGTTGCCTTAATTTTGATCACGTGACCCTGGGGAATGCTGCAACGGCCGTAAGTGCGAAAAAACGGTCGTAAGTCCTTTTTTTCCGGCGCCGTTGTAACTTTGCTCATTAAAAACAGACGGTTGTAAGTCGAGGACGTCCTGCACGGATCAAGCAAAAAGCCTACCAATAGTTTTTACGCCGTCAGAATTTGCAAGAAGTGCTAGAAGCATCCGATGACCAAAACGCAACTCAGGAGAGGAAACGTTTCCGATGTTAACATCGCACACAGCTGTGGGGGCGACGGTTGCGTCTTGCAAACCGTCCCGGCACGTAACTGACCTCATGCCTCCTCGTTGCAGGAGGGAAAGGGAGGGAGGGAGGGAGGGAGGAAGAAAAGACATTCCTGCCCGATTCTGTTGCAATGAATGAATCTATTCCAGCAGGAAGTCTTGGGGTTTTCCAGCTGAAGGGGGGGCTTTTCCCGCAGCTTGATCAGGAAATGCCGTTATCGGATTCCAGGTGCTACGAGTGGAAATCAATGTCTTGTTTACTAACGTTCTCTGGAACTGTAAGGAGAAGCCATATTTCTTTCCATCCATCCATCCATCCATCCATCCATCCATCCATCCATCCATCCATCCATCCATCTTTCAGGGGTGGGTTTCACTTTTTGTTACCGTCAGTTCCGCACATGCGCCCTGCCTCAAAAACATCCCTAAATAGGATGGCATAGAGCCAGGGCCCACCCGCGATTTCCACTACCGGTTCGCCGAAACCAGTCCGAACCGGCTGAATACCACCTCTGAACCTCCCTTATCTCTATTATCTATTCACTTCCTATGTCTCTCATCTCTGTCTCTATCAATCTATCACCTTTTTATCTCTCATCTCTCGCTCTCTGCATCATCTCTCTCTCTCTCTCTCTCTCTCTCTTTCTTTCTCTCTCTCTCTCCCCCTCCTCCCTTCCTCCCTCCCTTTTGGAAACATGCACAAAAGGGGTTATCCTGGGAGCCGGAGCCGGCTCACAGGGTGCTTAGATCTGGCCTGTGGGGCCGTCCTACAAACAGCAAAGGACCGGCCCCCGGTGCCTCTGCCAGTGAAAATGGGCTCCCAGGCTCCATTTTTGGCTGCAATGGCCTACTGCTGTCCTCTGCCAGTGAAAACGGAGCTCGGGGAGGCCGCATGCGGCAGAGGGCAGAGGGCGGCAGGAGGCTGTCGCAGCCTAAAACGGAACTCGGGAGACCGTTTTTGCTGGCAGAGCGCTCAGACCACCACAGACATGAGTGATGTCAAGCTGGCCATGCCCCCCCCCCCGGCAGTCAAATACAACCCAGGTGCGGCCCTCAATGAAATCGTCCGTCCGTCCGTCCATCCATCCACCCACATACGCATGCCTTAAAATTAATGACTCGGCTAATCCGTCTCTCCTGCTGGATAATCTGGTTCAAGGTTGACCCGCTGTCTTCAAATGGATCTTTTTAATTAGATAAAAAGATAATCCAATTTAAAATTTAATGAGACACTAAGATGAGCAATCGGCAGGCCTGCTCGATTTAACTGGCAGGAAAATGAGGCTGCTTTGCACAGCTTCCCACAATATTTGGGTGGGGAGGGAGTGAAAGAAATGGGGAGCAGCTAAATGAAGTATCTCTTCTTTATTTAAGATGTTGAAGAGATACTTCCCACCAGAGACAACAATACAAAAAAAATAATAATTAAGAATTCGAATTGAGAGAACACAAAAGTCCTCGACTTACAACCACAATTGAGCCCAAAGTTGCAGTTGCTAAGGGAGACATTGGTGAACTGAATTTTGCTCCTTTTTACTGCCATAGTAAATGTTAATGTACCATGATCCACATGTTAAGTGAATCACTGCAGTTGTTAAGTTAGCAACAAGGCTGTTGAGTGAATCCAGCTTCGCAATGACTTGGCTTCTCAGAAGGTCGCAAAAGGTGACGGGGCAGTCGTAAATATATGTCAATCAACAAGCTCCTGAATTTTGATCACGTGATGATGAGGATGTTGCAACAGTTGTAAGAGGGAAAAATGGCCAGAAGTCATTTTTTTCGGTGCTGTAACTTTGAATGGTCACTAAACAAACTGTCGTAAGTTGAGGACTAATGGTTAAGGCACCAGAGGTTAGAAGCTAGGAGAAAGTGAGTTCTAGTCCCACTTTAGATATTATAGCCACCTGTGTGATTTTGGGCCAATCGCCAGGAGTAGTGAGTTCTAGTCCCACCTTAGGCATTATAGCCAGCTGGGTGACTTTGGGCCATTCACCAGGAGACAGTGAGTTCTAGTCCCACCTTAGCTATGAAAGCCTTGGTAGTACAGGGGTTTAAGGCACCCTGTTATTAAGCTGGTTATTAAGACCAGCTGCCTGCAATTACTGCAGGGTTCGAATCTCGCCAAGGCTCAAGGTTGACTCAGCCTTCCATCCTTTCTAAGGTAGGTAAATTGAGGACCCAGTTTGTGGGGGCAATAAGCTGACTTGGTATAAATATACAAAAGGATGAAGGCTATTGCTGAGCACATTGTAAGCCGCCCTGAGTCTTCGGAGAAGGGCGGCATATAAATCAAAATTAAAAAAAAAAAGCCAATTGGGTGACTTTGGGCCAATCACCAGGAGACGTTGAGTTCTAGTCCCACCTTAGCTGTGAAAGCCAATTGGGCGACTTTGGGCCATTCACCAGGAGACAGTGAGTTCTAGTCCCACTTTAGACATTATAGCCAGCTGGGTGACTTTGGGCCAATCACCAGGAGACAGTGAGTTCTAGTCCCATCTCAGGCATTTTAGCCAGCTGGGTAATTTTGAGCCAATCACCAGGAGACAGTGAGTTCTAGTTCTGCATGAGACATGAAAGCCAGCTGGGTGACTTTGGGCCAGTCCTTCTCTTTCAGCCCCTCCTTGCAGGATGGTTGTTGTGAAGAAAAGAAAAAGAGTTTGGAGTATTAGATATGTTTGCCAACTTCAGGGTTTTTTTTAATTAAAAAAAAACAAAAAACAAAAAACAAGATATCAATAAATAGATGAAACAAATTAGGTCTTCTTATCTAGGATTTACGGCCCTTCAGACGTAATGAAGAATAGTCTTCAAAATCATTCTGTATCATACCGACGAGCTTTGTCACCTTATAAGGGAGAAGGGTTGTGTAGAATTGTAATAAATAAATAAATAAATAAATAAATAAATAAATAAATAAATAAATAATCTACCTTTTCAGTCTTGCTTCGTATTTTAAATACGAATATTTAAAAACTACATGAACAGGCACTGCTTAAAAACAAAAACCCTGTTTCTGCTATAAGAATAGATTTCTCCTTCAAAGGGAGAGAAAAAAAAAGGGATTCTTTTTTTCTTAGAGCCCAAGAC